GGCTGCGGGTGCGGGTCTTTTGTTTCTCGGTTCGAAAGAAAACGGAAAAAACGCGTGCGGAAGCGAAAAAAACGCGAAAATCAAAATAAAAATCCAGAATATTCGCATCATTCAAATGGAAATCTTTTATTTCCTCAGATAACACGCATACAATTTATAATAATCGCGGAAAAATAAGAAAATTGTATCATTTTGCTGCGGAGTTCAAGGTGAAACTCTCCAAGATGCTTTTGGCACAAAACCACCCCGCAATACCTATCAACAATTTATGTGTACGAGTATGTTGGCTGCGCGAGTGGCAGTTTTATGCGTTTTATATACCGAAAGATGAACCCGCCGCCACTGCCACCACTACCGCCCCCACAGTCGAAGGAGGGTTGGCTCAGCGTAATATATGTGCATGGGTCGCTGTGTAAGTTCACCCCTGGGGCCTTAATCGGGCTCATTTTTAACCCGGCAAGTCGAACTTGTACGAAAATACCACAAAAACATGCATTTTTTATAAAAACATTCAAATAATAACAATTACACACAAAAATAAAAGAATACAAAATATTTTTACAAAAAATTAATTTTTTGATGATTTTCGTGTGACACTTTGTATATTTTTAGAGATTACCACAAAAGTAGAAAAATACGCATCGAGAACTCAATAATTTAACGGATTTAAGAAGACTTTAAAGGTCTAACATTCAATAAGTGAGAAAAACTGACCGGATCTTAGCTAAAAATTGAGAAAAATCTAAAATAAAACAACGCCATTTTGTTTTGTGTTGGAGATTCCGTTCGAAATATACATGTTACTCGTTATATTCGCACAACTTATAAAGATGCAAATTTATGGAATCACTTTTCCTGCCGCTGACAACCTAATATCTCCTTTGTATACCGATCGATCTTTTTTTCGCGATTTCTTTTTTCTCCCCGTCAGCGTGTACAAACATTACAAGTTACACTTTGCATCGCGCAGAGCACAACGTGAAGCTAATGCAATTTCCTCGGCGACATCGTCATCTTTTTGATAGTGATAGATTTACTCCTCGAACAATATTTATTCAGTACTTATGCATACATATATACATAACATGAAAGAAAGACTGGTTGCCTACGACTGGGCGGTCAATACTTCTGTTAGATTAAAAAATAAATTCCAAAATTATTTTAATTAAATTACGCTCAAAATTTGATGACATTTATCGAGTTTTATGTCGACGCCGCTTGCGCCAGCTTCGTCAAAGTTTTCGCCGCTGCCCTGGGTGGCATAATGACACAGCGAGTTTGCTCTCAAACTGCGTTTAGTCGGTGTTAATTAGTTCGCACTTCATCATTGTTGCGTCGGCGGGGGTGGCGCCCGCCGGGCATACGTAATGACGGACGCACAGCCCGCTTGTTTATATTTGCACGCTCACTTAGTGCCTTTCGAGGTCCGAGCGCTAATAAAAATGTTTACGAGTTTACGAAAACGAACAGCGCGCGCGGCGCTGCGATAAATTAATTTAGCAGATTTAATTAATTGCCATCGCTGAAGTTAACTCTTGCATTGTTCGAAACTCGCTGGAAAACATGTTAATTGATTTAGACGTTGATTTTTACACGTGTACTACACTATCCTTACTAATATTATAAAGTCCTGATGTTTGTTACACTTTCACGCAAAAACTACTTAACAGATCATCATGAAAATTTGTACACATATTCTTAGTGGTCCCCGAATGGTTATAGGCTACTTTTTATTTAATAAAAAAAATTATTTTTTAAATAAAATAAAGAAATTGTTTAGCCAATAATACCTCTGCATCTGGCTATTTGACTACTTTAACGCCATCTAGCATTCCAGCAATGAAGCTCAAACCTAAGTACTATAGTACCATCACACTGTATTATCACACTGTATTACCGACAGCTACGTCAACATCAAATCCAATTGTCTACACTATGGAGACTGTACACTATACTTCCATAGACTATACTTTCAGCCATTTTAATCTTCCCGCCATTCTACTTCATTGTTACTTCTTCTGTGACTACAGACGCGTTCGGAAACAACTTCATTATTTTAGATATTCGCGAACGAAGCCGCGGGTTAAAGCTAGTAGTATATATAAGCGGGTTTTAAGCTTAAAATAGTTAAGATTTTGACCGTAAGATGTCGCTAGATGGGATTATTTCAATAAAAGTTTAATTCCGGCGCAGTTTAATGACATTTCCAAAGCAATTCCGATGTATTGTTCATCGCAGAAACGTAAACCGCTGCCTCACCAAACAAAATTTAATTACCCGCGCGTCTAGGGCATTGTGCGTCCGCCAAACTATATCGCGTCGTAAATTTGCGAAAATAGTTCGCCGTCCGCGCGCGCGCATATATCGATCGGCTTGATTTCGATTTTAATTACGCATACATTAAATCATAATTAACTTCCGGCGCAGATATCAGCGGATAAATTATTTACGAAGCGCAATAAAATCTTTATTTTAATTTCAAGCATCGTTTTACTTGTTTTTTTTTCCTGTTATATTATAGGCAACATATATAGCGCTGAAAGTGTAAGGGTGGTTGAAGTGGTGGAATGTTGGATGGGTTACTAAAATATTGAAGGGCAACCCCCTTAGATATGCAACATAGGTACCGGATATAAAACTACCTGGTATTGGCCATATCTTAGTATTACGCATGCGGTGCGGCGGCGGTGGCGGCAGCGGCGGCGTCGGGGGTGGCCAATCCACCCGGGGAAAACAATTTATACGACTCCGCAGGACTAGACTTCGCGGGACGACTCCAACACACGCATGCACGCTACTCATGCGAAGAAATGTGAGTGCGAACGTGTTGGGAGGGTTGCATGGGGATGAAGAGGCGCTGTAATATTCTAAGTAAGCTTGGACTCGTATTACATACGAATTTTTACGTTTCAAAGAACGAGATACTTAAGAAAATGTAAAATGTTTCCAGGGGATGAACACACACACACACACACACACATTCAGAGAAATAAATAAAGAAGTAAATTTAATTTTTTTGCAATTTAATATTCCATGATTGTATCGCTCGTAATTTTTGCGCGCGCAATTAAAAACGCGCAATACACTTGTTAATAGAGTCCGCGCATTAAATCAAGAGTTAAGTAGTGCAAATATGGAAACGAAATAAAGCGCAAAACAGTCCTGTAAATGATTACCGCGCGCCCGTGGACGGCGGTAAACGATCGGAGCACGTGTACCCGCAGTTAATCCTTGCGTTTTACGGCCGGGGATTATTAACTAGTCATTCTCCGCGCGACTTGACGACGCTCATTAACAATGGCCGCTCGTAAACGGCCAGCGACCGAATCGGCATCGCAATCAGGCGGCGCGGCGTCGCTGCGATTATGTTAACAGGCGCGTAAATCACCTAGAGACGTTATTAAGTGCAAATAATCTGCGGAATTAACTCAAAAACATCTTAAAACATGTCGCAATTCATTCTGTCAGCCAACTCACGCCATCTATGTAACATTTTAGTACTACAATTTGTTATACTGGTTGCCTATACTACAATACACGTCACGTTTGATTTCGCACGTTGCTAATTGCAAAAAGTCAATGAAATTAACTCAAAAACATCATAAAACACGTTGTAATTTATTTCAGCTGCTAATTTACGCCATCTATGATAGATTTAAGTACTAAAAGTGCGTTTTACTGCTTGACAATACCTAAATTCATGTCCCAATTCATTTAGCGCCATCTATGAAAGATTCAAGTACTACAACTGTGTTTCACTGGTTGCCAATACTATCTATGTCTCATAATTAAAATTTACAGCCGCAAGACTTCTTCCACCCTTAAAAGGAACATAATACGTGTTTTGAGAGAAACAAGGATTATAATCGTCCAGACATATTTACACCCGGCTTTGTACGCGTTGCGCTCAAGGCATTTCCTGCATTTTCAATGATTTCAATGTGTTCCCCCACTCCAACTTTTATTCTTCCGTCCCTATTCACTATTTCACTATTCTCAATGCGTTTTTGGCTTAATTTCTCCAACGTCTGAGCTGTCATATGAATTAAACGTCTTACTACTCTCCATGTCACCCTCTGTGTGTGCTTTTGAAATATTTAAGACTTGTGACATTTTCGTATTTTAATGATTTCGAATGTTAAACATGTTTGAATGTAATTATCACTATTTTATGTGATTTTATGAAATTTTGCAGCGTGCGTGAATTGCGCGTGGCAAGATTTAGAGAGCTTTAATTATTAAAGTCGGCAAGCGAGTTATACTAGTTACACTCAACCCCCACACCCTTACCACCCTTATACCAACGCCACCGCTAAGCATCTAACTCATTTGCACCCTCCTGAAAGGTGCTCAGCGTCATTATACACATTTCTTATTTATACAAAGATTACAGATATAAATAGCGGAATTAATTATGTAACCAGGCTCGGGAGCTCCGCCCATTAGTGTCAAGTCAAGTAGGCGGAGCATATCTACGCATGCGTCAAGAAAAAAATATATACAGAGTGTTTTAAGATGTTTTAAAGTAAAAAAATGAATTTTCTTAGAATTTTGCACGAAATACATACTCGTATGAGATCTTGTGACATTAAATTAAATCCATAGTAACATAGTGTGCAGGTGCATAATAAACATGTCGGACACAAATCGCATTTGCGCCAGCTATTTCCTGTTTAGGGCCCGCGCGCGTTCAGATTAAAATACACGAAAATTACGACGGCCGCGAATTGTAGGTCATGACGCCCCGGCGGCGGCGCGCCACGCGTCTAAGCGAGAAAGAATGATGACTGACGTGGGGTGGCTGGAGAGAGTGTGTGTGAGCGCCAGAGGTTGCGGGGGTGGACGAGCGTGAGCGAGGCGCATAAAGGTTCCCGGGCGGTAATTGTAGTAAATTGATCTAAATTAAGCGATATTTAATTACGCGAAACGAGAAACGCACACGCCTCAAGCAAACCGGAAAACAGCGAAATATTTTCGAAACAATTTTTTTGACATTTGCCAAATAGTTTTTACAAAATGTCAAGTCGCAATGTCAAAATTGTAAAAATTTCAAATTCAACTCTTGTGCAGATATAGGGAATTCTTTTAAGAGGAGACACGACACAATTTCCGGTTTGGTGTATACGTGAGTAGCTAACATTTTGTTTTAACCTTAAACTATGTTTTTTATGCAACTTATTTCCTGTATACACTTTTCATAGTGGAAATATAATCAACATAACCGTAAATAGTGAAGATGTGTATATTTGGTTGCCTATAGTTGAAAATATAATAAAAGTGTATAAAATGCAAGATTGGAATTTGATGTACACTAATGAAAAACGAATCCGAATGGCGTTCGTTGTACCCCTTTGTGCCCACTTTGCGATTACATTATACGCACTTTGCGCTGGCGCTCATTCATTTCCAGCGCGCCGAGGATGATATAGGGGCTGGCAGGGATGGGATAGGGATAAAATCCTTACACTTATTATTTAAAGTGCTTTAACACGCCACATAAATCTCTTTTCTTCGCCGCGCCGTTTTATCCGTGTTTCGCTGCACGCGCTTTCTTTCGCGTTTATTTAATACGCTTAGGACGACGCTTCGTCCTGCGGATGAGCGTCGAACGTCTTCATTGCGAACGAGCGCTCCCCTTGTTGTCAATTTTCGACGCGTCGCATCGAATAAATCGGTGATTCGAGGATGGGAAAATTTTAAATTTACTACACAACCGACATTCTTCCCTTTTTGGCGTGAAATCCTTTTTAAACTTTCCAAACAAACCATTCACAAATTGTATTATCGCCTTTATTCATTGTGATTTTAAGATGCTTAAAAAGATTTGCAATGAATAAAAATTGTGATTTGTCTGTGAATACAACACTGACATTAATCAAAAAATATTAATTTCACTCTTGTGGTTTGGTTCTTTTATGGCGTAAAAACCAAAACATTGAGATAGTGATATTCAAAGATGATGAAAAGTTTTTTTTGCGGCGCGATTCTTTGAGACACTCTCATTAGTTTTTTGTGCGGTGTCACCAAGAAAACTTTAATCATGGAAATGAAGGAAAAAAGATAGTCCATTAATTTGTATTCATATCAAACCATCACTCATTTTTCGCATATTTATCAAAGTAAATTGAGGGAAAATGACACAATGAGAACATTCGGGTACTATTTGCACGAAAATTGTCCCGCTGGGAGTTCGTAATAGGGAATAGACGGATGACCAACATCAATGTCGTCCTGCCTGAAGGATTCTCTTTTCCTAGTCAGCGTCTGGGCGGAAATTTCACATTAAAAACTTGTTTTTCGTGGTTTAACAAAGGAAAAGTTAAGTTTTTAAAGAATTAATAGTAAAAAACTTAGATTTAAATTGAATTGTACTTATTTTAGCATAAAATAGCAAATATTAGAGGTTAGAATGTTGTTTTTGCGCAATGCAAGGTTTTTAATACGAAAACAATGGCGACACCTTGTGGTAAATAGTTTAACAAAGAAAAATGTAAATTTTCTAAGGATTTGTAGCAATAAAATCTAAATTTCTATCTATTTATGCTTATTTCATGCCAAAATAGCAAATTTTTGAGGTTATAATCACATATTTAACGCAATATCAACTTTTTAACCTAAAAACAAGAGCGACATCTTGTGATAAAGAGTTTAGCAAAGAAAATTAACAGTTTTCTTGAGATTTATAGCAATAAAACTTAAATTTATATCAATTTATGCAAAAAAAATCAATTTTTGAGGTTATTTAATGCAATATAACCTTTTCAATATGAAAACAATGGCGACATCTTGTGATAAAGATGCCCGCCTTGATAATTTGACAATTAACCCACAAGAAGTTTATTTACCCCTCGAGGAAGACAAAACAAACGACATGTTAATGAATATAAAATTTGTTTGCGTCGCCGCGATGGTAATTTAAACGTTGTCGCGCTGAAATTAGCATTCAAGGGACGAACGCCCCGAAGATGGACGCGGTTAAAGACCAAGAAAAGAGGGCGCCGCACGGAAACAATGCAGCCTCTTCAATTGGCAATTAACGTTCTAATATGCATTTTGATTTGAGAGGGCGTACAAACGAAATAAAACCACAAGAAAAACAAAAACAAAATAAAAACCCAATTTGTCAAATGCAAGACATTTTTTAGGTTAGGTAATTAACACTTGGGTTATATTTGATTTGTAAGGTTGTGTAAGTCACAAAAACACTTTGTATAATTAAAATTTTTTTTGTGTTTTTATTATTTTTGGTGGGATATTTGTAATCTAGGAATTGTTGTATGTTGTATGTTGTATGTGCAATTGTATGATTGTGGATTTGCGGTGTGTGTTAGGGGATGCAATACAATATGTTTCATGACCCTTGCACACGCCGCGCACATAAATGTGCGGTGCTGTCACATATCCGGAAAGAAACTGCTGGTATATGTAGAAATTGCAACGACTAGGACTCATTCTGCCGTTTGCTCTCTTTTTTATGGCAGGTTTATGGCCGACGGCTGCCGGCTCCCCAAAGTGATTGTGGTCCTCTTCCTCGCATTGTTGGCCCGCATTAGCAGTGCCACGCAGCGATACGACGACTTGTTGGATGTAAGTATTTCAATTCACATTCAAAATCGTAAAAAACAAAAAAATCTATTTGGGATATGAAATACCGGTATTAAAACCGGTATACCGGTATTTTTATTGTCAAATACCGGTATTTTTTAATTGATATTGTTTTAGACGAGTGAATTTACTGAGTAAATTAAAAATTAATTTTTTTAAACCGGTATTTTGATATAAAAAATACCGGTATACCGAAATACCGGTTTTGAACTAAAACTTCACATCCCTAATTTCTTTCTCTCTTTCTAAACGATATTTATAGATAGTTTCTAGTGCAATACCCCGAAGGTGTTTGCTGATGTATCGGTTTAAGGCGACCGTAAATTCGAAACGAGTTTTTCCCCACAACTCTTAAGATATTCGAGTTAAAAGCAAACATCTCGAAGGATATACGTTGCCCACATATTGATCCTAACATCCCTCACATTTTCATTTACTCACCTTCCTTAAAACAAGTGAATTTAACCATTTTTCATCATTTTTAACAAAAAAAAATATATTTTTGTCTATTATAAGTTTCCACAGCAGAATATAATGCTTTCTATGTAGATTTTACCCCCTGGGTGGTTTGGGCGGGTTGTGTGTGTAGGGGTGAGGGCGCAAAGTTTGAAAAGCTGCGTTTTCTCGGTGCGCTCGCGCTCGGCTTTTTATTTTCCTATTACCGACTGGTTAAATTATTGTTTTACTTAAAGCCTCGGCTCGCCTGCTTAATAATTGATAAGATTATACCGCCGGGGGTTGGCGCCCCGCGCTCGCGACATAAACAACGTTTTCTTGCTTCGGCCGCCTTCGTGGCCACACGAAGTGGAAGCAAACAGTTCCACAACTTCAAATGCTTCCAACACCAACCTAACAATGCATTTCTTACATAAAACACAAATTATACAGAGTGTTCTCCTTTAATTTCTATAAAAATCAATCAAAAAAATAAAAATTTATAAATTTTTATTCAAAAAATAATTTAAAACACCCTGTATGCCAAGCACGATTACAATACACTATAGAACTATTACCCTTAAAGGAGGGTGCACGGAAAGTGGGTATATTATTCGCTTTGTGCCAAATAAATAATTTCCGGCTACCTGCGGTAGATCCTGGGTCCTTCGAGGCGTATTTTTTAAATTATTAGATCCAAGTCCACATAAACCACTGCATAAATATTAATTTCCCCTAAAAATTCTATTGTTCCATTTCCAGCGAGTCAGACTAAGCACAGGTAATGACCCGGAAGTGCGTGACTTCCTGAAAAGTGTCCTCAAACACCATCGGGACTTCAGGTGGATCACCCACGCATCATACAAGTATGACCAAGGAGATGATAACCTCCTTTCACTTGGTGGGAGCTCAAAAAACAAACGATCGTTTTATGCAACCAGTGATGATTCCCATTCCCAAAACAAACCGATGACGAGATATGTCTATAGACATGAACCCACTTTTGATGACTTTGATGATAACGATGATGAGAGTGACAATGATGGTGACCTACAATCCTTTGCTTCCAATTCCGGTATCCAACCAAAATCTACGTCTAAACTAACTGATGAAGATTTAGATTTTGATGGGCCTGTGAATGATGTCTATCCATATCAGGATCATGACCTAGGTGTACCACAAGATAAACGTTTTGTTCGTGAGACCCAGGATGCTTTTTGTATGATGATCATCATTTGGATGATGATGACCTGCTTGTGGGATCTCCAGAGACTAGTTATGAAAATGATGAAGAGTTTGCTTCTGAGGATAGACATGACAGGTCGAAGAGAGCTGCTAGTACCGAAGCACTCTTGGATGAAAAGATGTTATTACACAGGGTGTTACAGAAACCTGTAAATGTTAATACAATGAATTCTGAAGTGTATCCAAAGCGATTTAATGGTAATGAAGTAATGGATCTTCATCCTTTGGCTTATCATATGCCTGGGGATGCTATTGAGGTGTTTCCGAGTAGTCAGAAAGGTGTTTTTTATGCACCAGGTACCAAATTGGAAAGATATGGGGATTTTGTTAAGTCAGAACAGGATTTATACAATGAAGAAGACTTAGAAGATAGAATAAATCATAAACAGAAACTTGCAAAGCGTAAATGTGCTGATTCTTTAGCTGAAACTGATTTTAAGGTTCCAGAATTGTTTGGGTCGAACAAAAGTCATCCTTCTAGTATTGACCAACCACTTTCTGAGTTTTACTATTCTATCCCACATGATGTAATTGGATTAAATCAAGATTTACTAGGAGAAAATCGTGATGTTAATAATGTTTCATGTAAAAAATTCAGAAGAAGTTTGGAAGTTGCTCATTGGGATGATAATAATCATTTATTAACTCGTAAGAAAAAGAAAGCCATCAAGATTAAAATATTTGATGATGGCGAATTGATTAAAAACATCGAGAAGAACAAAGATGATAATTCTGTGGTGTTAACAATCAAAAACAACGAAGAAACCAAAGAAAAATTAGTTAAATCTAATAATAATGATAATAATAATGAATCAAAGTTAACTGATAGGAAAGCAAGTGATAATGATCAAAAAGTTATGGGTGATGATGATAATACTTTAGAAAAAATCGATACTATTATAAAACATGATCAAGAGTCTTTGAAACAATTTACTCAACGACCTCTGAATCAACATCAAAATCAACGTCAAAATCAAAATAAACATTCAAAACATGTTTCTAAAGATGATGCTAATAATTCAAGTAATCGTAATGGAGAAGTCTCAAATAGACGTGAAGATAACGTTGAAGATGACCAGAATCATCCTCGGAAAGTGTCTGCCCATCGATTATCCCATGCTAAAAAGTACAACAGAGTCAATGAAATGGGTACAACTGTTGTTCCTTATGTAAGCCCAACTGAATCAAATGAATATCCAGGTGTTTTGGAACCCAGATTAGAAAATTCTTACAAACCACAGTATTTACACCATCATCACGTGAATGAATATCAAAATAAACTTGAAGATCAAACAGAACCTACTTCTGCAGCTGAACAAAGAGAATTGGGTAAGAATTTCAATGATTTCCGGACGGAACCGATGAGTATAAAAACCACAAGTGAAAAAGTTATCATTATACCATTTAAAAAGTCCATTAATCATGAAAGTCAAGTGATATTAATTGATCCTGTGGTAAAAGAAGAACAAAATGGTGATGATAAGTTAGGTTATGGTCTACGCATGAAAGAATCTGATGTTTTGTATGATGTAGAAATAGATAATGAAAACCCAAATAAAAAATTATTAAGAAACACGTTGGATGAAGAAAAATTCATGGAATCTTTAAATGAAGAAGATAAAAGTAAATCACCCAGGAGTGATGTCCAAGGACAAAGTATCAATCATCAGGATCAACCTAAAGCAGATGCATTTAGATCAAGAAAATTATTTGCTATTGACATTCCACAATATGAATATGTTGATGAAAGTGAAAATGAAGATTTACGTGATAAGAAAGACGTCAGGGAAGTTTTAGGAATGCGTAAAGATGAAGATTACTCTGAGGATAAAATCGATGTGTTTGGGGATAATGATAAACCAAAGAAAAAGAAGAAAACTAGGAATAAATTAGTAGATACTAAAAGAGAAAATGAAAGAAAGATTAGACAACGTCTACTTGGAAGTCTCATCAACTCCCAACAGGAAAGAAGAGCTTTGAAGGTGAAATTAGCAAAAACTAAGAGTAACAAAGTGAAGAAGGATGTTAACAATGTCAGGGAAGAAGATTTAGCTTCTCATGATGACAACTATCAACATTTAATTATAAAAAATCATGAGGAAGATCAATTGGCGGATTCTGCTGATGAAGAAGAAGATAAAACAAAGCAGAACAATAATAATAATAATAATAATAATAATCAAAAACAACATTTGGTAACCACAATTAAAGATAATGTAAACCTCGACAGATGTTGTGAGAATAAAAATAACAACAAAGTAGAAACAACTTGTTCCAGTGATACTTCAGATTCCCTACCACCTGAACCACCTCCACAACCTGAAGAACAAATAGAAACAGGAGAAACAGGCGGAAATGAGTTGGATATCATTGAAAAAACGCAAGCTATTTTGTTGCACATAACAGGACCGCCATGTTCTCATCAATTAACACCAAAACCAATTGAAGATGATAATAACGACGGTCCGGATTCAAAAAGAAGCAAATCTCAAGTGGATATAATAGATACCGATTCACCTCTGACTGTCGAACATCTGAATTCGTACAAAGTGACATCTGGTGAGAAGAATCCGGAGAATGTTGTTTCGGAAATCATTAAACTCGTACAAAACTATAAAGAAAAAGTCAATGAATACAACAAAAACAATCGAAAAGAGGTTATTAAAGATAATGTATCATTAAAACCTGGTAAGGCATCCACTCACGCACCGGAAATTGATCTGAGGAAAGAACTTCAACATAACCATGTTTATGAACACAAAAACAATAAAAATAATGATTTAACACCGGAAACAACTACACTTGGATATACTCAGGATATTTCTGAGGGTAAAAAGGTGTTATCATCAGATGATGAAGACGATTCAGCGATTCATGCGCATGCAATCATGCATTCAAAGAAATTACACCCAGTGAAAAGTAACAAATGTGATATTAAGTCAGGAAATGACCGTGCACAAGAATTCATATTACCTATGAGTGTTCAAGAAGGTTATATCAAACCGGAAGTCGTAGCTGACGGTAATGCAATTGACAATGACAGCTCAAACAATGCTGATGCTGATAAAAACGTTAAAGAAGTTGATAATTTCACTAATGTTGAAGATTCTGATGAAAATATCAAAACAAAACAGAAAAGAGATAATTATTTGAAACACAATAATAATAAACAAATAGAAAACCCTTTAAAGTTTACTCCGGATAACCTAGAAAGTTTTAACGATGTCATTGAACGAGATGAAGGTCAAACAATGTCAAAACGTGAAGAAACTTTACACAAAGCAAGAATTGCACATTATTTAAACCCAGGATTGTTAAATGAAGATGAAATTATGAACCATCAAGTTTACAAGCGTGATCTTCATGATGATGACAAAGATTACACCGAAGAGGAACTAGATAAATTGATTGGAATGGTTGATGACAGTTCAACTGATGTGCAATCTGATCAGGATCTCCTAAAGAGATATAGACGATATAAAAACTTTGAACCCTTTCTATACAATAACATCCCAAGACATAGAAATTCTGAGGAAGCTGGAATGTCTTCAGAACATTCTATTGTCATTCAAACAACAGTAGCTACTACTAATTTGCAGTGTGGTGAAGTAGAATACAAGAAAACATTGGAAACTGGTGCTGTGGATCATATACATAAGAAGAAAAACAAGAAAAAGTCACATGGACATCGTTGTAACTTTGGTGATGATGAAGAGTTTGGAGATACATGTACACAACATTTAGAGACACCGAAAAAGTCAAAAAGTCAAATATCTCTGGAAAATAAACAAAAAGAACAGACTAGAGAGCGAATTATGGTAAAATATTGTTTTAAAATGTTTTGTATATGATTATTAATTAGTTTTATGTTAACAGGAAGATAAATTAAGCGAGAAACAAAAAGAACAGGAACATATCAAGAATGTCCTGAACGGCCATCTTGTCCTAGACATCATGGAGAAGTTCCACACGAAAGTGAAAGGCAACGACAGGTTAAACAATCGATTTGGTCAAGCTATGGGTAAGAAATGCGCTGCTGATGAAGTTGTAAGTATATGCAACCCAATTTACACCTAAATACCTACAATATTCTAATCTTCTTTAAAGGATCTCATTGATAAATTCAAAGAAGAACAATCAAAAGCAGACGTACGTCATGCCCAACTAATGCTTCATCAAGTAATAGTCTTAATGAATAAAATCGTCGCTGAACAAGTCCATCGTCGTACATGCCTTGTCCTTTCTCCTACACTGAAAAATTATCTAAAACGCACCGCTGGTAACCGTGAAAGACTGTCAAAGTCAAACGTAGTAGCTGAAGGCTACCCTCTACCGCCAGTGAAAGGAACCAAAGGAAGTGCTAATAAAGATCTCCTAATGGACGAATCTCAGGGTGACTTTTTGTTCCCGCAGGGAGGTGATGAAGACCAACCTCTATCCGCCATGGATGCAGCTATACTCATGAAGAAAAAGATCAACATGATCAGAGCCCTATTGGCTAAATACAATCATATGAGTCATAGTTGTCAAGTGAAAGTACAACCTGTGCATGATTATCTCATTCAACACTTGAAAGCTTTAGAAAAAATGTCTCAGAATAAAAAGTTCGGGGATGTGCCTGATGCTTGTGAGGTACCATGTGTACATAACCAAGAAGCAGGACCAGGAAGAGGAGCAGGTGGAAAAGAAAGTGGAAGATCACCAGAACCGGAATTTAATGGTGGAAGTACTACAATAATATTCTCTACAGGAGAAGAGGTTAGTTCTCAATCATCTGGAATGAGTAGTCTTGCCCCTGGTGGTGAGGCAACCAGTCTTACAATTTCTCCAGGTGGAGATATAAATCAATCAAAAGCAAAAGCCAGAGATGCCACTTTAAAGCCACCGCATTACAAAGCAAACAATCAAAAGCGTATTTTTCGTCATTATGATGATGGTGATAGCGACACTGATAACGATAGTGATCAAAGCGCTTATCCCTCGGAGAAATACAGGAAACTAGTTGAAGCTGCGGCTAATTATCGCCGGAAAAGACAAATTGAGGAACGTTTAGCACGACTTTTTGGTAAAACACGCACGAAGAAAGCCGAACCTGCCACAACAAGTAAAAACGATGAGAATGTGGAGCCAGACTTAAGTAACGCTGCTTTTGAAGCGCCTGTTGTTTACTCATTGCATTGATCATCCGGAAAACCGGATAATAGTATTTACACTTTTATTATTCATCGATTTGTGATGTGTTTTTACTGTTTTTACACGTGTAATCTTACAAAGTTTGTGAAAAATGTGAAAAATATCTTGTATCAATAAAATTTTCTATTTGAGGTTAAAATTTGTTAATATAGGCAACCAAATCATCACTAAAATTAACTTTTTAGTAAAAAATATAAAAAAATTAAAATTTAAGATACGTGCACAGAAGAAATAAAATTTTGTCTGTTGGTCACGTTTTCACTTGTTTTCGTAAGTATATCACGAAGTTTGCGCCTCCCCGATGATTTCCACAAAAGCATCAAATCTAATATCAATTTATCAAACAATTTCCTACAGAGAATTCACGCGTGCACGACGTGTACAATGTCGGCGTCTATTTTTAGTCGAGATTATCTGTTGCATTTGTATTCATTAGTTTGATAATCGTCAGAAAAATAGTTTCAATGCTCCAGAGGCCCTGATAAAAATACCACCTGCGACGAAAGCAAGCAAGTTGTGTAAAACATCTTAATATCTTCAACATCTTTAGCATCTTCGTTGTTTTTTGTAACAAAAAGTGCGATAATAATTTATTGTTTTATTTTGGCGAGCAGGCAAGAAGGATAAACGTGGGATTTCGTACAAATATAATAAGCCCTTGTTTTGCGGCGCGTGTTTCTTATTCTTAGGCGAACTTCTCAACTTTTGCGCACTGGCTGTGTGGGTTCCCGAGTTGGAGGACACAGGTGTTTGGCGGCGGCAGGCGCAAGGCACAGAGAATGGTATTATTTAAAAAACAAAAGAACGAATGCGCTACACTCCACTCCGGGTTGAAAAGTAGACTCTAGCGCGCGGAGGGTGAGCGGATAAATCCCTTGAAATGCAGATCCGAGTCGTACTCACACGCAAACAGCTCTCAGCTCACCAAAACGACATTATTTCCTTCATCCACGCGAGCGACCTATTATTATTGCGAGTAAAACTCGTAAAAACATTTTTTCGCTCGTTTATTACACGAATCTTATTTTTATTAATCGTCTGTAGGTCTGTATTATAAAAAACAAATTTCATAACTAATATTAATCCCATAAACTATAGGCAACCAAAACAACACTAAAATAACCTTAAATGTCAAAAATATATTATATATTCTTTTGTGCTGTCAAAAAACTAACACAAAGTAATAAAATAAACTATAGGCAACCAAAATAACTTTTTGTGACCAAAAAAATAGAAAAAACTTAAAATTTAAGTTTAATACGTCTAAAACTTATTATCTGTAGTCGAAACAATCGTAAAATCTAAACCTCAAGATAATACTCCGTCGTTAAACTTCATAATAAGCCGATTTGCTTTGTTTCGTTGTATTTTTCCGTTGTTTCTTATTCTATTGTTGGCAAACAGATGTCTTAAATGTTCTCGTTACGGTTGCGCGTGCGTGTCGGTTAATTCGACTTCGATTATACTTTATTCGCGCAGCATTTGTTTCCCCCGGACACGAGAAAAGCGGGAATTAAGATTTACGCGAATATAATCCCGTAAAACTTTCTTGGCGTTGCCTAGAAGATTTATATGAAATATGTTTGCATAAATATTGCATCAAAACCCAGAAAAAATGTCATAATTTTCCAATAAAGCAAACATAACCAAACAAAACAACTAGTTTTTATAGGTTATATCAAATTTAGGTAAAATAAATGTTGGCAAGTTTCTCGGGAGACAAAAACCAACTATGAACACACAGAGCAACTAAGTTTGCTGCTACACTTTCCCGGTCATCGCGTTGTGCGAGTGGAACTTGCCATGCTCAGGTGTCATTCGGCGCACATTGATTACAAAAACTAATTAGGCAGTAAACTTAAAAGCTGTTTCAAGTCTCGCTGCGTCTCGCCCGCACTCGCGTGCACTTCCTCCACCCTCCAATTTGTGCGCTACCCTTCTTCTTCTCGCCGAAGAGGAATATTTTCGGCGTTGGTGCGCGCTTCGCCTTATTAATGTTATTACTTGTGTATGGGGCGCGCTTTAAATATATTCGCCGCATTCGTTTGCGCCGCGCGCGGCGTGCGGTCGCACGATACCCGCGGCATCATGTGGCCTACAACCGCCTCCCGGCCCTCTCTGCCGCCCCAAACAAGCGCTATCATCGTTCGCGCACACCGCGCTTGTATTTTATACCTTTTAAAACACAGTCTACGCGTGTACACTAAATACATTTTCATTACAACCTCTTTATAAATTATAATTAGACGTCGGGGATAATTTTTTCGTCGTTCTCGCTTTTATTTTCAATTATAAACGTGGAAAAATGGAAAAAACTCGGAAAAAATTAAATTAGAACAGGAAGTTGACGGTTTTTCATGTTTAACTAGCGCCATCTATGATTTTACACTAGTTATCAACATTTTTTTAGTTGTTTTCTTTTATATTTTCAATTATAAACGTAAAAATACTTTAAAAAATTAAAAATATTAAAATACAAAACCGGAAGTAGACATTTTCTACGTTTAACTAGCGCCATCTATGTTTTTATAATAGTTTTTATCATTTTTTGCTATTTTTCCTTCTATTTTTAAATACAAACGCGAAAAATACAGAAAAAATTCAAAATACAAAATCAGTTGACATTTTTAATGTTTTTATGCGTTTAACTAGCGCCATCTTTGATTTTACACTAGTTTTTAACATTATTTTGTTGTTTTCTTTTATATTTTCAATTATAAACGTAAAAATAGGCAAAAAAATCAAAAATATTAAAATACAAGACCGGAAGTAGACATTTTTATGTTCAACTAGCGCCATCTATGTTTTATTGCAGTTTTTAACATTTTTTCATCATTTTTCCTTCTATTTTCAGCTATAAACGTAAAAAACACGTAAAAATTGAAAATACAAAACCAGTTGACATTTTTCATGTTTTTATGTGTTTAACTAGCGCCATCTATGTATATTTTTGTAATTTTCAACATACTGTATATAAATATCCATGCGTAGCACTCCACGTTTTTTGATTGATGGTCTTTATGCATAATTTTAATTGCATCCTCTTCCGGAATTACTAAACATCATTTTTAATAGAAATTATTATACGCGTTATTAATTTTCCGTCTTGGCTCTTTGCCGGCAGCCGGCAGCCGCCGCCAGGGGCGGAATTGGTTCGCTGCCTCTGCGCGCGTACGCACCCCTGCCGAGGGGGGTGCCGAGCGCAAAAAAATGATACATTTACTAATAGCCACCCCTCATCGTCACAGCTGAGAGTCAAAAGTTAAAAGTGAGAAAAGTGCAAAAACGTTTCATCTGAATTTCGAAATATGTGCGCGCATTTTTTTCTAATTCCTTTTAATTTCGCCGTTGGGTTTAAGCGCGGCAAATTGAATTCGACTTTTTGAATTCGCATGCCCGATTCGATTCGAATGAAATAATGCGCGCGGAAAAACTTCGCCACCGCAAAAGTGACAATCGAGCCGCGGTGCAAACTCGTCATAATAGTTTAGTTTGGTGGCATTGTACGCCGATGGACGAGATAAAACCGCGCGGGCTTTTCCGCTCGCCGCCTCTCAGTGTACACACTCAACTACATTCAATTATAAACGCGGACGATATATACATAAATGCGCGTATTCGCACGCTGCGTTTGTTTCGCCGCCACCGCCGCCGTCGCCTGTAGAGCCACCACCCTCCTAGCGCTCATTGCCGTTCGGAAAACATTCAAACTGTGGCGTTGACTGCTGATGACTGCGAGGAGGCCGCGGCGGCGGCTATTGTGCGACGCCGCGCACAATGCGCTTCCTGACGGATAGATACGGAGGCGGGAGACGCGCGCGCGGCGGCGTTCATTTCCCCGCGCATTGTCTTAACTGTCAGATAGGCGAGCTACTCGACAATCGAGAGTATTACGTTTCGAAAACGCATCACCAACTGTCAAATCATGCCATCTTCCAGGCGTACGGCCATTTTCATGCGTAACCTAACTTGTTACATAGGCAACACTCATTGCATCATTATTTATATATATAAAAATCGTTTTTTAATTAAAATAAACGAAATTATTGCTTGAAAAGTTGTAAAAATTGTTTTTCTGGTGTTTTTAATATAAATCTTAGTTTTATTTACACTTTACATGCCAGTATTATCAAAAAAACTAAATTTCTTTACAAATAATGACAGAAAACACTATAGGCAACCAAGACATCACCAAAGTAACCATATTTGTAAGTTTAATACGTCATCTTCCAGGCTTACGGCCATTTTCATGCGTAACTTAACTTGTTACATAGGCAACACTCATTGCATTCATAAAAATCACATTTTTATTAAAATAAACAAAATTATTGCTTGGAAAGTTGTAAAATCTGCTTTTCTGGTGTTTTTAATATGATTTTTAGTTTTATTAATACTTTTCAGGCCAGTTTTGTCCAAAAAACCTAATTTTTATTGCAAATATTAACGAAAAAAGCTATAGGCAACCAAAACAACACTAAAGTAACCTTGTTTGTAATAAAATATTAAGAAAAACTTAAAATTTAAGTTTAAAACGTCAAAAACTTATTATTTTTATACAAAACACGTAAAATTTCAATCAAAAAATTAGTATTTTATTACAAATAAACTAATTACGTGTTGTTTTATCAATAAACTACGTTTTTCCGTAGTTCGTTGTTTCTCCAGCGATGCGTGCGAGACATGTGCGTAGTTCGGCGTGTTTAGTGAGCAAACAGGCGCGCGGAATTTAGTTTATTTGATAAATTCGATAATTGGCGCACGGCGTAATTGGAAATTTCGGGGCGCATGCATCGCCGACATTAAACGATAAACGCACAGAGAGCGCGCGCCGCACGCCGGGCGCATAAATGGGAAATTAATAAAATCAAACAAAATATGCGGCCGCCCCCGGACGACCCACAAATTTCGCGATTGAATTTCGCGTTCTGCGGACGCCGTTATTGATTCGCAAATAACTCGTCCGCGGCGGCCCCCTCGCGCGCCCGATGCACATTTGTTGCACGCGCGCGCGAAGTCGATTATTTAAACATCATCCATTTTGTTGAGTGGCAATTAATAACAGCGGATTAATTTCTATTTATGCAGCCACGCGTCGATCATCAACCATCGAAAAACTACTGTTTATTACCAATTTGTATTACAAATATTTGCATTTCTAATGTTTTCCTTCATTTACGGTGAAATTACTTGCTAATTAAACAAATCTAATGCAAATCTAATAGTTTCTAATCAAATTTATTCATTTTACTAAAAATTATTTAATTATCTTCTTTAGTTTACGAAATATTTTAATTTTTTTTAATTAAATTATGTTTTTATTCAATTTAAATCAATATCTATATATATAAAAATGAATTGCTGTTCGTTAGTCTCGCTAAAACTCGAGAACGGCTGAACGGATTTATCTTATCTTGGTCTTGAATTATTCGTGGAGGTCTAGGGATGGTTTAAAAGGTGAGAAAAATTCGAATAATTGCCGGGAAAATCCTCAAAACAGCTCTTTTCTATAGAATAAAATTTGACATTGAGATTCAATCATAGTTATAGTTAAATAGTTGAATTCGAGATGGCGCGCTGAAGTGCATTATTGACAAAACTTTATATAATTAATTTCTTTAAATTAAAATTGCTAATCTTATTGATAGAATTGACTCTTACTACGAGTATGTCTAGAACAAGAGAGTAAAAACGAATTACATTTTTATTAAACACTGCCGGAACGAAGTCGCGGGCAACAGCTAGTAATAAATAAAAATATTGATTTATTCAAGTTGTAAGCCATAATACGTCAATAAAATGCAATGTTTACTTTTTATTGTTTATCTGTGTTTGTATATCAATCGAACTGACTTGGTTTTATCTCTGCTGTGTTCTGTTCGCGATAGATTCAATAAAATATTCAGTTTAATACACGTATTGACACCTTACGACAATTTTTGTTACTAAATATTAATTAATTGATGCTTATAACAACAACAAGTTAATAAAAACTTTATATAGCAAAATAATTATTGATAATTGAATAAAATTAAATGTTTTTATAAATTTTTAGGTTTTTCATGCAAATTTCTTCACCAAACTAATTGAATTTATCGAAAAACTAAAAAAATCGATAGTTATATAAGAGAAACTGTCTTAAAACATTAATTATGTTACATTAACAATTTAGAGTTCTCCAAGACGTATTTCAATATATATTTACTGCTGTTTTAAGTGTTAAAACATGAACAAAACGCAATGTTTACATTATTCCTAGAACTGAATTGTTTTTATGGATGTTGTGTTTCGATCGAGATCACGCGATGAATTCAATAAAATGTTCAGTTTAATACACGTATCGACATCTTCCGACAATTTTTATAGTTATATTTAAATTTATTTGTGTTATAAACAAAAAATGCTTATAAAACTTCAAATAAAACATAAATAATTGTCAATTTTACGAAAATACACAAATCAACCAATTTTTAATCATTTTATCCACATTTTTCACTAAAATTCATTAATTTACTAAAAATAAGTTAATTTTCTTATTTATTTAAAGAAATATATTAAATTTTGTAATTTATGTCTTTAAATTCCTTAAAATCAATACCAAAACAAGTAATTTCACCGAAAATTAATCCAACTTTCATTATACCATAATAATTCCCCGGAAAAGACAAAAGAATTTCATTATCGGCGAATCCAATGTTAAGAAATTAATCACCAACTATTAATTTACCTCTATCATCATTATTATATCAAATACCATTCAATTAATTAACCAAAATCAATTTTAAAACTGAGTCCGGTATTGAACTCATTGTTTGTACAAAATGGCGCCCGAAATGAAAGCCAATCGAAGCGTGAAAACTGCCGAAAAGTGAACTATAGTTCGAAATGACTCGGACTTGGAAATCGATGCCGGCAAACAAGATTAATTACAAATATGTACACGTTCGACGTGCGGACCGGGCCTCGCCGGGCGGACGGTGCGGCGGCTGTCAATCAAGCCGCCTTCAGGCACGCTCGAGCACACATTTCGGGCGGGCGCGAAGAGGTCCTTCGTCCTGCGTCCGACCGTCGTCCGCCGCCCGTCGCCGCTTCGCTTGGCTTGCATTTTGCGCGCTTAGCAAACAGTTGTTAACAACCAGCGACGTCATGCTCGCCCAGTCGCGCATTTCGTATTTGTATTTGGGTTTCGATTGTATGCGGAAATGAGGAATACTGAAGATAGATATATATAGCAAACTACTACCTTCAAATTGTTGGAATCGTATCTTGTAGATGTAGAGAATGTAATACGAAGTAAAATGTGTGTTGAATGCGTGAATACAGTGCAATGTTTATATTCTTTGATTTGTTGTGGTGTTGATATTTCTAGAACTGATTTGTTTTTGTGTGTTGTGTGTTGTGAGATTGAATAAAATGTTTGGTTTGATACTCGTAGCGCCCTCTAGTGGCGTTTTTAGTTACTACGTTTAATCTTATTTATACTGGCAACAAAAACTATAAACAATCTTCATAACGCTGCGTACAAAGAAATAATAATTCCCAAGTAGAGATTAAATTAAATATTTCTATCAGTTTTCAAACATTTGGTGGGCAATTAATTATTAACAGCAAATTAACAACAAAAACAAACAACAACAACAAAACAGAAACTCTAAGAAATTATTATTTAATTATTTAATTATTATGTAATTCAAAATATTATTATGGATATATTAATAACAATCGAGATTACTTTAGGAAGTAATGTAATATTCATTTCTTGCAATGTTGTTTTTAGTTTTAAGTGTTGAATGCATGAACAAAACGCAACGCAGTGTTTACATTTTATTGTTTATCTCTGTTCCAATATTTCTAGAACTGACTAGTTTTTATGGATGTTGTGTTTCGATCGAGATCACGCGATGAGTTGAATAAAATGTTCAGTTTAATACACGTATCGCCATCTAGCAACGATTTAATAACTATATTATATTTTCTTTGTTTTATTCGCCTAAAATGTTAATTATACATCAAATATAAGATTAATAGCTGCTAGGTACGTTAGTATAAATATTTAATCAAATTATTAATCATTTTTAAAAATGTTGGTACCAAATGTATTATAATTTAATCTATCGCTTTGTAAACGTAATACATGTCAAGAAAACATGTTAGAACATGTTAAATTCAGGTACAAAACGCAATGTTTACGTTCTATTGTTTATCTCTGCTTCGTATATCAAGAGAACGGACTAGTTTTTATGTGTTTCGACTGCGATCACGCGATGCATTGAATTAAATGTTCAGTTTAATACACGTATTGCCATCTGATGGCTCTTTTAATGACTATATTTGATTTTATTTATGTTAATAACAAAATCAAGACATTTACGCATGGAATATATCAATAATAATTGCCAATTGGACAAAACTTAATTAATCAAACATTTTTGAAGTATTGCGTGTACATTTATTCTCAAAATGCTTTTAAATGAACAAAAAAACAAAAAAAACAATTCGAGAAAGCTATATTAGAATATTATAATTGTTAGTTTTATTATGCAAATGACTCCAAAGTGTAAATTACAAATCCATAAAACTCGATGCAATTACAATATAAATATTGAATTATTTATTTACACAAGTTTTAAATGTTAGATGCATCGACAAGTCGCAATGTTTACATTCTATTGCTTATCTCTGTTTTTATACCGTTCAATCCGATAAATTTTTACCTGCGTTGTGATTTGTTTCTGTTCGTGATACTTTCAATAAAATATTCGTTTTGATACACGTATCGCCCTCTTGTGGAAATTTTTCTAACTATATTCAAATTTATTTGTGTTATAAACAAAACATGCTTATAAAACATTAATAATTGTCAATTGTGCAAAAATACACACATCAACCAACTTTTAATCACTTTATCCTCCTATTTCCTTCAAAATTAATTAAAATCAAACAAAAACCAAAATGGTGTCTAAAACAATAGACCACTATCCAGCAAGTCTTAAACCACCGTTCTACCACGCATGTCCACCTTTAAAACTCGGTTTAAAACACGTAGACAATCGAGAATACTTCAACACATATCGCAATGATCACCTATCCAAGTTTCAAGTAAGTAAACATCCTCAGAATGCAAATGTTTCAACCACAAATGTATTTTTAAGATGCCGCAATACAATTGGGGCTACATCGAATCAATGTACATGCCTAAACCAGACAGTCGAATACAACGCGACTTAGGAAAGTATCTCCAGTTACCTAAACCAGAATACACAATGTTAGACGCCGAAAGAATGGAAGAAATCGATTCGTTTTATAAAGTCGCACAACTACAACGCGCAAAACTAAAAGACGTAACTGGCGCTTTACATCCGATGGCATACTTCAAATCCAGCCATTATTTATATCAATGTGCACCAGATCCAACTAGGTAAGTAACAACACTTAAATTAAGTAAAATATTAACGATTTTACAAGTAAAATTAACGAAATTGAGTAAAAATGTTTGTTTTCAGCACATATTTCCTATTTCCGCACTCCTACACGAAATATCGTGATCCTCTGGTGTTGCCAATAACACTAGAAAGAACAAATCGAAGCCCAATGCTGCCAACACGCGCATTAACAGGAAAATACTCGCCGCAAAGCGATATAACATACAAAAAGTAACAATTTCTCCCCAAACGCTTAAAATCATCATCTGTATCATATCAAATCTCATTTATTTAAAATATATTGTATCTACTGACTATCATTTGTACAAATTATTCTTACTCTCCCCCAGAAGCCAAGTTAAATTATAATTCAAACATTAATCCATTGATTGTAATTTAAAATAGACTAAATTACATAATTCTATGCAGACGTGTGCCTAAAATTTAATAATTTTCTTAACACGATCGACTTTATTCTCAATCGAAGGCTTTTTCTCAACTGCATTGTTTAGTTTATTCTTTTTCTCCGTGCTAGCTTGAATTGTATTGGCGCAGTCTTGGAAAACATTGCTTCGTGCAATGCTGACATCTTGTTTAATCTCGTCTTCTTTCCGGATGTAACCTGAGGGTCTCTGTTGTTTGAGGCGATTGTTTTCGTAGTTGCGGATGATTTCTTCCATGGTTTTACCTTTGATTACTGAGTAGACATGTTGTTTTGTGATGCGCAACATGCGTTCAGAAGTACCAACATTGGAAGCGGCTACTGTCGGTAATAATCGGCGTGTTACCCGGGCTAAAACCGAAGCGTACTGGCGGAAATTCTCGTGATCCATGCGGATATTCACACTGCGGAGTGCTTCATATACTGCCCATTGTAATTTCTATCAAAAAAAGTTAAAATTTATGTTTTTTACAAAAGAAAACATAAAATAAAACTAAATTTATTTACCTTTTTATGATGATCACTCAATTCAACAACAGATCCATTCAATAAAGACTCACTCTTCACCCTCATCAACCCTTGATCCCTCCCAGTGTTTTCCACTTGACCACCACTCAATCTCGACCCAGATTGATGTTCATTTTGCAGAGAAATACTCCGCGCAAATTTACATCCCAGAAAGCCTCTATCATCGTCCGAATCTAAGCGTTTTCTTTTACAATCTTTGTTATTAGTATCATTATCCTTCATGGACTTTGAAGGTGACATAAACAACGCTCGTTTCGGTGTAGATTTCTTCCAAGGACTTCCGCTTGCATTCGAAGTGCTTGGAAGTGAATTACGCGACATTTTCGTAACAGTAATATTCTTCTCAGGACTTTGAAACAGCGCACGTTTCGTAGCGCTCGCTCGGATTGCAGCAGAAGATGTCGAAGGAACAATAGAGTCGGAAGACGTAGATGGCGCTGTGTTCTCATGATCTAGCACTTTGAAAGCCAGCCGTTTTTTCGCTGAAGAACTTGGCGTCGGCATGATTTTCAACGGGGTTTTTCTCGGCGTTTTTCGAACGCTTTTCGTTCGACGTAAAGCTTTCCGGGGGGATTTTCGTGGAGATTTTGTTTTGCGTGGACTTACACGACGAGATAACAATTCAAATCGTCTGTAAACACATTAAATTATGTTTTTCACTCAAAAATAAAATAAAATAAATTAAAACTTACTTTGCATCGACCATAATCTGCCTGGAATGCGATGAACTAGCTGCTTGTATATTAGCACTTGAAAATGTGATCCTACGCCGTGCCAAATGACTCAATCTTCTCCCTGGTGATTTATTCACCCAGCGTAGACGATTCGCTTTACGTTTCGATGGTGTATTTGCGACTGATTCAAATACTGTACAACTGGACTGCGTTTCAGCCCCGACGTATCGCTGCCCGTAGCGCATTAACAACGCCTCAGTGTCTTCCGCCGCCTTGCTGTGATTATAGCTGTACAAACAAAAACAACAAACGCACAATCAGCAAACGAAAATTCAAATCAATTACAAACATCAACCTACTTTAAACCATGACACCGATCGTGTAATATGTGCGGCCAGGGTCTAACAAGGGCGCTTTCCAAATCACAATTGACCATAATTGTCTCCCTAACAGCATTTACAGAGCAATTAGCATCGCTAATGACTTCTTTCTCCTTCATATTGTTGGCATTCCAATAGAACACTTGGTGTTCATCACTGTAGAGCTTTTCAAGCATCTCCGCGACTGTAACATGAGTTGTTGTAAAGCTCGGCGGCGGCAACACGCCTGATAAACACTTGTTGATCTTTTTCATGAGAATCGAATCAATTTTCTGCACATATTGCTCGGTATTGACAGAAGTTATGCTCTCGACTGATTGATTTAAAGCACAAAGAGGTTCAGCATCATCAAATAAATCTGGACTGATGTCTGGATTCACAGTATTGATGAATTTCTTTGTGGGTGTTGCCGAACTGGATCTTCGCCGTCGTTTTTGTGACTTCCTAGGCGTCATTTTGACATTCGCCATTTTCTGTTGACTGGACTTCTCAAACGCGATATTTTCTTTATTGCTGCCATTTGAATCATCATCTAGATGCACAAATACAGGCTGCTTATCAAATTTGATGATTGGTGAGATTTCCTCATCAGTTTCAGGCACTATATCATCAAGAACTAAATTTAAAGCTGGTTTTGGATGAATTGTACTTTTCTCACTGCTAGAACTGCTTCCTGATTGCAGTGCAGTAAAATAACTTATGTGTTCTTGGTAGACATCCTGATTATGTGTCTTTTTAACACTTGGTGGCTTTTCTTGCAGCGCATCTTCGGATATGAATCGTGGTGATTTGTTAATGAACATAGTCGCTTCTTTCTCGGCGTGTTCAAGTGTAGCTTCCAGCGGGTTCGACATGTATCCACTATCGGAGTCAGGCGCTTGAAGACCTGCACCTACGACGTGTTCGTAGCATTTCAGAAAGGAGAGATCCATGATGCTGCGACGCTGCGCTGTTGGCGTGCTGGTGAAGACAGTCGACAAACGTTTGTTGATCTCGTCGAGGACTTTTGTCTCCAGCTGTGTCTTGATCACGTCCGATTTGCGCTCACGTTCGAAACCGGCTGTTACAGCATGTTCACTCATTGTTTACGCGGTTATTGAGTGAATTGTGTTCGCGTTTTAGGCGGGCTTCGCGCGCGCCAGCACCATGTTGTTAGGAATGTGTTACAATTGCAAATGAGTTTCGAGTTACACGTTTGAACTGCAGTGAACTGTGATTATGTTGTGCGCTGTGATAGTGTTGGGGGCATTTTGGTTGGAGACGCTTGGTGGTGGCGCTTACGACCGAGTTGCCACCGAAAACCCGCCGATTTGTCTGCGTCGCAGCTGTGTGGTGAGGCGAAGGTCGCGGTAGGTAAAACTTTTGTAACGGTCGTTTAGTGTATATAAAGTTGCCTAACTTTAAACCCAATAAAATCAAATTTATTCTTTTGTACATTATCATCACAATAAATAATGAATACAATCATAATCAATATTAACAAACAAATCACACAATCATTGATAAACATTGTGCTTTAATGTTTTGTATTATATTTTTAATCACAACAACATTAACATACGAGTATAACAAGATTTGGTTTGATTTGTGTTCACAAATTTCAATTTCAATTGGAAAAGTGTATTTAACAAGTAAGGGTCCCATTATTAAGTCAAATGTTTAACATTATATCGTTATTTGTAAACAATTTACCACGAATTGTTAATGTTGGCAACTCTGTATCATGCGCGCGCAGGCGATATTACTGCTAAAACATAGCGCTTACATCATTTGGACTTCACAAGTTTCCTAGCATTCACGGTTTGCAGACGGGCGTTGATCATTCAACATAGAAGTACGTTCATGTAAGTTCTAATACTCGAATTGATACAAATATCGTTCAATTTGTATTCATTTACAGACAAAAGACAAATTAATATCAACTTTACTGAGCTTTGCGCTGCAGATAACCTCGAAATATCCGAAGTTTCTCGAATCATGAGTCAAGTAAGTTTTTGTTTATTTATAATCAGTTTTATCTCTGCATTCTTGCGTCTTGCATTATTTACAATGCATTCTTTATCAATCATGTACATATATATCTTATTGCGTGGTTTGTTTTGGACGTAATTTATTCTTTGGTTATAATGGTTAAAAATCAAAATGGCCGCTGAATAATGCATCAGCATCTTTCACAATGTTTCCCTTTAGTCAAACAAAATATCATACAAGTAATGATTCTAAAAAATACTGATCTTTGATAATAATTATTGCAATTTCCAGTACGCGTTTCAAACGTATTCACTTCTTACTCAACTTTTCTAATATCTGTGGGTAATAACCTGCCTGGCGGTGTGCATCCAATTTGACGAATCACCTGTTGCGCCATCCATGCGCCCCATTTCATGCACCTCAATGGCGGCAAGCCATTCAAATGCCCGAAAATAAACCCGGCGACAAACGAATCGCCACATCCGGTCGTATCAACAATTTCGCTCGGCTTCATCGCCGGCACTTCATACTTAATCACCTCATTCTGATAATACGCATGCACACTCTTCGGACCATTCGTAACAACCAACAACTTATCACTTTTCCCAGCGACCAATTTCTTAATCAACTCCTCTTTGGAAATACCGATTCCTTTCGCTAGTTTAGAAAACTCTTTACTATTACCAAAGAGAATACTAGAATTCTCCACGAAGTGCATCATTTCATCTCGTAACTCAGTCACGAGATACTCCGCATTGAGATTAAACACAAAAGGCTTGCCTTCAGCCTTGCATAGATCTAAAATATGCCGGGAAACTTCTTTACGCTCAGTGATGAAGAACCCCTCCATGTAAATGAGATTGCTTTCTTTAATAAGCAGACGATTCTCAGCGTTGTCGAAATGTTGCAGTGCGTAACACTCCGCAGCGCCGATGTGCGCAATCAAAGATCTAGAAGATTTGTAGACGAGGGACAGTACCCATCCTGTGGGTTGTTTGTCAAGGAAGGCAAATCTACGGGTACACAAACCAAATGGCGTATAAATATACAACATCCGCCATTTTACCTCAAAAAAACTCACTTTGTTTTCACGCGGAACTCTTCCACCATGTTTTTGAGCAGTGTGGCGTTGGAGTCGGTGCCAACCGCGCCGAAAACAACCGTCGAACGCTCATGATCGAACAACCATTGTAATATTCTCATTGTATTCAGTGCCGAGCCGCCGGCGACATTACTCCAGGTATATCTAAACGTATAAATCACGCCAAGGTTAAAAATAGCATGCATAGGATATAATTATGTATTTCGGAGCGTTTGTCAATTGTTTCATTATTTGTTATGATTACTTTTGTTGTTTGATCTCCTTGAGGATGTCCTGCATCTCCTCGGGAGTGGTCTGCTTGTGGCCATCTTCTTGCAGCTTAAATTTATTGATGATGTCCTTGTTCTTCAGCTTGACAACGGAGTCGAGCACGGGATTGCCGAACGCTAGAACTAAGGACATTTTTCGACGCTCACCGCGCTGCGACTGACCGCTGACCGCAATCAAGCGCGCTAAGTATCGATTTGAATATTCTATTCTATATTTTGTCGGACGATACCGAGATTATTGCGCTCAAGGCCAAACAAACTCAGCGGAGTGTTGTTGGAGGTTAGGAGTTTCCGAAACAATTGAATGCGCATTTGCGGCGTATACAGCTGTTACCCGAATTGTTTACATTGCGTATTAATTACACATGTAAGTATTAAGTATATAAACTAGGCGCTGATAAGATAATGATTGAGAGGCATGGTAGGAGCGGTTTTTACCATTGGTTGACGCATAGCGAAGTGCGTATAATATACACGTTGTGAAACTTGACGCAACACCTAACTTAGGCCCCACATCACTGCAAAATTTGATTACAAACATTTTCGAATGATCATTTGTGTGTTGTGTCATTTTACAGACAAGTGACACGCATAAACAAGCGAAAAAAGTGACAATGGAGGCACACCAGCTCGCCAAAGAGTGTTATCCACCTACAGATAGTGATGATGAGTCTTTTGAGGTGCTTGAGACCGATAGTAACATTGGGGACATTCGTAAGGACGACGAGGATTTCTCACAGGATGTGAAATCACAGCTGTTGCCGTCTGAAGGCATTGATAATGCGCTTGATATGGCAAATGATGCAATGTTGAGTGCAATGACACTGCAGTCTTTGCCACAGATGCCTCAGCTGAGTATGAATCAGTCTTTTATTTCAACTACAAGCAGTGTCGGGTCTATTGAATCGAAATTACTTGAGGAACTGCAGGATAAGGTGAAGAATCTTAAGGAGGAGAATGGTATTTTGAGAAGTAAGTTGTTGGAAATGTAAGTTTTGAATTGAATTTATTGTGATGTTTTGTTTTGTAATGTAGATATGATGGCTCAGCAGAGTTTAGTTACAAAGAGTCATTCAGATATTCTGACTTCATGGAAGGAGGATGTTTGTAGAGTGCAAGAAGCGCGTAATCAGAAGTATGAGAAGATGAAGGTGTTTGTTGATCAGGTATGTTCAGTAATTGTATATTAAGTATCAAGTGTGCTAAACGGCACTTAAATCACATTTAGCCACGTGATACTTACGTATTTTTTCTATTTTCTCTTTATTTCCAAGTTTAGTTTTTTATTCAAACTTTTAAATTTAATTATATTGCCTTGTACTGCACTGTCAGCAAATGCGCAGGCGCAAGCTCCGCCCCGTGACTAAAGAACTTTAGGCTGTCCATGTTTAAAGTATCACTTTTCGTGTGTAAAACTGTGGAAAAGTGGTGCTTTAAACGTGGAAATAGATAAAATACATTATTTTAATTTAAATATTATTATAATATATTTAATTATTAATTAATAGTTGAGAAAAGAAAATAAACAACTGAAGGAAATGCTCGCGTCAGCTCCAAACAGCGCAAATGCTTCTGTCCCACCACAAAACACAGAATCCCAGGAAACTATTCAAAAACTCGAACAACAAATAAAAGAACTTGAAACCAAGCATGATAAAGAAATAAAGGACAAATCCGATGAGTTAAAACTTGTAAAAGAGGAGTTAGAACAGACAAAAGTCAAGCATAACGATACAGTCCGTGATTTGCAAAAAATAACTTATGAATTTAAACAATTGCAAGATCAGAGCATTGTTATCGTCCAAAAAGAGCAGGATAAACTGCTAACTGAACGAGACCATCACATGAAGATCATTAACGTGCTCAAAGATGAAAAAGAAGCCATGGAGAGACAAATATCAGGCATTAAACAGAATCATCAGGATCAGGAGAGTGATTTACAGCAGAGACTCGAGAACGAAGTTTTTACGCTGAAGAAAAAACTTGCTGATGCTGAGAAACAAGTGCAAGACTTACAGAACACTAAAGTTGATCTGAATAATGTTTCTGAGGATTTAGTCACGACTAAAGAACTCAATGAACAGCAGACATTGCGTATTAAAGATTTAAAAGAGAAACTCGCGGAGTTATCGAATGTTCATGGGAAAATGTGTGGGGAATTCACTAAAGCCAAACAAGACTACGCAGAGTGTCGTAGTATTCTTGCGGATAGATGTCATGAAGTCATAGAACTACAAAGTGAATTAGAAGATAATCGTAGAGAGGTTGTTGCTTTAAAAGCATCTGTTGAGGGTAAAATTTACTTGGAGGAACAATTGGCTGATTATGTTAAGCAGGTGAATGCGAATGACGAAGACTATAAACGTGTTGAGTTGGAAAATCAAGAAGCAGCGAAGAAAGAACAAGAATTACAGAAGGAGAATATGCTGATGAAGAGTCAATTGTTAAAGATGAAGAATGACGAGACTGCTGAACTGCAAAGGTTGAGAATTCAACTCAGCGAGGCACAGAATTCACTTATCGAGACAAAGGAAGCCAAAAAATTGTCTGATAAAGAAGCCGTATGTAATCGGAAAGCTGTGGATGAAATGGAGAAGAAATTCATGGAGGCCAGGTGTGATCAGGATAAAATCTTAGCACTTGAAGAACAAGTAAGTGTTTTTTTAATTAATTAAAGTTAAAACTGAAATAAATCTGTTTTATTTTAAATATAGCTGAAGATTTATCGTGCGGATTACAAAGCAGAGCGTGAACGTAAAATATTCGTCGTGGAGGAGCTCAACAAAGTCTCACAGGATTTGGAGAATGTGCAATTGCGCAATCGTGAGTTAGTCGATGAGATTGAGCGCTTGCGCGCGGCGCAAGAGTTCGTCAATGTCAATGCACCCCAGGCGCAGCCAAAGGTAAACATTGATAATACTCAAATTACGCAAAAAGTGTCACATTTCAGAATTTTTCCAGAGCCATACGCCGTCTCCGCCCCTGACGCGTTTCCCATGCCCGTTGTGTGGCGAAATGTTCCGCTCTCTTCGACTTCTCGAGGAGCACGTAGATCTTTGCATCAATACACCGACTTAATTTGTTTTATTAGCATAAATCTTTATTTCTACTACTTTAAAATTTGAAACCTAGAAAATGTTTAGATGTTGTTTTGCGATTCAGAAAATATTGAGTTAATTTGTTGCAGGATTCGAGCTATCGGTGCCCGCGATGTGCGTTCACATTCTACAATTTGATTGCTCTGCAGAATCACGTCTATCGCTGCATCGAGTTGGAATCGTTGCCCTAGGATTATGTATAACTAATGATTATATATCTGACAAATATGTTTATGTGCATTTAGTGGAAGACTTGTTTTAGTATTTGACAAGTTACAGAGTTTATCTTGTGTTTTTTGTAGTTTTACGAAGTATCTCTTATTGAATCTATGTTATAATTCGTAATGGCGTCCTTTGAGGATTTTAGAAGCGTTAAAATAAGATATTTTAACACAAATGCTGCTTGCAATCTATTGACATCCTGATGAAGTCATATTCATCTTTATCCTAATCATAAGTACATATTTAGTTTATTCATATACATGATAAGGTCTTGTTGTTTATGCAAATGCAGGAAAAGTAAATGTTTTCAAAGAGTTTACTATGTTGTAGAATGTAGAGGGAGTATGAATTGAATCATGGTGGATTTTTGACATTTGACAGCAAACAGCTGTTCTGATTGTGACGCAGGTTGCACTGTAGTTTGAATGCAAACAGCCAGTGGCGACGGCCACGGCTCGCAAACAAAGAAGCGCGATTTCGGTCGGGACGGGACTCCGCTGCGCCCCGGACAAGATGTAAACATCGCGCCACCATGGCTGAGGAAAGGGGATACGTTACCTTCAACTGTCAGAAATGCCTGGTGCCGTTGCGACTCGACGACTCGCTGCACTCCATCGGCGAGCACACACTAGCTGAATTAACACGTAAGAATACCAATCGCCAATTACCCCTCAAAAACAACCAACTAGTGCTGTTAATTGTTCAATATTTCACCCTAGTGCCCATCAACTCGACGCCGGACGTCGACATCGAATCGCAGGCGACCAGTTTCGACAACTATGTGCATCCCTACAGGTTGTCTGACTCAGCAAATGGGGCCAATGGCGAATTTATGCTGATATCAGATGGGAAAGAGATTCATGGCTTGGGAAAGAAGATGGAGGTAACGTCAATGCAACCAACAAAACACAAGTTTATTACTTATAAATTTATCTTCAGGTGGAAGCAGCCTTATTTGATACACTGTCAGGACACTCAAAAATTGATCATCCCTTGTGTGAAGAATGCACGGATCTGTTAATGGACGAGTTAGAAAGACAGATGAAGCTGGCAGATAGTGACTTCAATGATTTTAGTCAATATTTGAAGAAGTAAGCAAAAATTACATCATTTTTCATCATATTTACTAAGAAATTACCAAAAATATTTTAAGATTGGAAGCTGACGTTTCCGAACCGAGCATCGCCGACCTCCAGAACGAACTCAAAAGTCTCCAAGCTGAAGAGGAACAATACATGGCTGAGCTACGCGATAAAGACCAGGAGAATAAAGCAACTCTTGCGGCGCTCGCTGAACAGGAAGCCGAAGCGCAGCGTTTGAATCAGGAAAGCAACAATTATTGCAAACAATTCGCACGCCATCGGTACGATTACATGACGGTTGAGGATGATTACAAAAGCTTGGAAACGCAGCTGAGATACATAAACTATCAGCTGGAGAAACTGAAGAAAACGAACATTTTCAATGTGACGTTCCACATTTGGCACTCGGGACATTTCGGGACCATCAATAATTTACGCCTCGGCAGATTACCGACGGCGCCGGTTGACTGGTCGGAGATCAACGCTGCCTGGGGACAGACGGCGCTGTTATTGAACGCTCTCGCACGCAAGCTCGGCTTCGCCTTCAGCAAGTACCAGCTGGTGCCCTATGGTAATCATTCGTATATAAGAGTTGTTGATGAACAGAAAGAGTTGCCATTGTATGGCTCGGGTGGGTTTCGGTTTTATTTCGATCCGAAGATCGACTCCGGTATGGTCGCCTTTCTGCACTGCCTGCAGCAGTTCAAGGAGCATGTCGAGAGCGGCGATCGTGACTTTAATCTGCCGTATCGCATGCTCAAGAACGGAAAAATCGAAGACAACAATACCAGTTATTCTATTAAGTATGTATGCAACCAATCATACACCAGCGCCATATTGAATTTTTGCTTGGGTTGATTTCAGGGTGCAATTTAACTCGGAAGAGCAATGGACGAAAGCCCTCAAGTTCCTGCTCACCAATCTGAAGTGGATCACCACCTGGATATCCACACAGTTCGAGAATGAAAGCGTTTGAGAAGTGCGTGTGTGTTTATTTACGAACATTAAGTGCGAATGCGCCACAAAAAGGTATCAGATATTTAATTTAATAAGAATAAAAACAACAGACAGTTTAAATATTGATAATCTCACCGGAGATTTGCAACTCTTTGGCGGTGGATACTTGTAGCCTTGCGTACGTCCCGCCTGCGTATCCTTTCACCAGGCGCTCTGGATTCACAACGGTGCAGCCAGAAATATTCTAAAAATTAAGTTATTATCCGCCATTTTGATTTATTGTACACAATTACCTTTATAAAATGTCTGAAATTCGAAGGCACGATCAGCACATGCGGTGAAGTCTCCATCAACCCGTATTTCTCCAGCAGGCCATAATCAATCGGCATTTTACTCTCAGCTGACTGCAGAGGATAAAAGGATAACTGCCCGAGTAAATACTGACTTAATCTTGTCATTCTATCAACACCACCAGCGCCAAACGCGAATTCTTCTTTTCCGATATTGAAGAGAACATCGGCTGTTGTTACTGCAACGTGTAATCCATTGATGTCTAACATACAAGGATCAGGAACAAGCAGTAAGTTTGGATATTTGTTGAGTAATGTGTACGCAGGCGTCGGAAACACCGCGAAATGATGAACGTCACGAAGAGAAGCCACAATCACCACCTGAATATTTGTCCTGTAGAAAAATAGGATAAATAATTAACAAAAGAAGTTAATATTTAGTTACCCTTCAAGTGGCGCCATTATACTCTCAATCAACGTGGAGAAGAATGCATCGAACGATTCAGTCATCGTGCTGATATTATTATGGTCCTCATCCAGGAATGGACCGCTTAAAATTAAAACATTTGGACGTGCACTAATCACAGACGATAATAAATCTTGCAGTGGTTCATAAAGCAGGTTAGTTTTTAATGTGAATGGCCCCGATGCGGCGATAATTTGCAACGAACCTGTAAGCATACATGTTAGGCAACCAATATAACCAAACATTTGGCCATCCGGTGGCCATTTGCAATTTTACCAGTCTCGAGTTTCTGCACGGGTGCAACGGACGCGTCGTTGAACAGCTCAGTGACTTGCAGTGTTCCTTTGATAAGTTTCCCCTTCACGATGGCGACCTGTCCAGGAAACAACGCGCACGAGGCAAGTTGTGATAAATTTAAGCGTATTTTCTCGCCGTTGGAGTAATCACCACCTGTGAGCTCCAACAACGCGGAGGTTTTGTTCAGTTTGCCGTCGCCGTCGCATACGATAGTGCCGTAGTACGTACTCTAACGGAAATTTTTTGAATTAAACGGCGAATTAAAATGGCGAAATTGTGCAATACTCACTTCGGCCGCATCGCGTTCGAGAAACGGTTCTAAATTGATATTGTTCTTTTGAGCGATGATTTTCGCAACGTATTCGGTGATCCCAGCCTGGCACTCGCGCTGTTTGTGCATATAACAATACATTTGTTGGACGTTCGGCGGCATCCATTGCAATTCATCACCGAATAGTTTCACATGAGCCGAATTCAAACAACTAGTATATTGTATTTTCGAGTCGGCGCCATGCGTGAGTACAACTTTGCCTGCATTTGCTCTATCTGCATAGTTACCAACCTGTGAACTGCATCTTTTATGGTTAACTAGCTCTCTGCTACAAAATTCTTAGTTTTTAAAATAACTTACAGTGAAACATCAACGGAAACATCCTGTGTTAGACTGTCATTGAAAGTTTGAGTTAAGGATTTCTGAAAATCAAGAAAAACAACTAAATTTCGATTCATATTTGATATTTTATTAGTTATATAATGTTTGCGTTTTATAATTGAATGTTTTTGAGTGCATAAGAGGTGAAATGCAGCGAAATTAGAAAGACGAGTAAGGATCTAGTCATGGGCTAAGCGTAACATGCACTAGACCTTACTGATCTTGCCAAAAACGAGCAAAATTTGTTGTCGTTTGTATAGTTGCTAGTCCATTGTGGCTGGTTGTTGGTTTATTCGCGGTTAATGAGTGTGGATCTAGTCACGAAAATCGTATCAACGGGACACCAGACACACACTCATTAAACACAAAATAAATTTAAGAGAAAACCACAGCGCGTCCCCCAGAGCCCCGGTGAGAACGTAAACGCGAATGAATCAACAGGTGGATGTGTATCTATGATGCACGTTATCGCAGATTGCGCGGACGGAAATCCAACTCGCACAAAACACAGCTTGGTGATTTTATTCGCGCTTGCTGCGCGAATCGCTCGTAGAAATGGTGAACAAAGTAGCGCGGCGTCGTTTGGTTGACGCTTGACGCTCACAAATGGCGGCGGAACGCGCGGCGCGGACGGCATTCGATGCACTCGGCTCGAGTAAAAAGGATCAAAGAATAAGACGGCCTTGAAGTCGTTTGTCGAGAAGCCCGCTCTCATGAACACGGTCACGAAACGTACAGTGGCGCCACCATCGCGCGACTATCCTACTTCAACTCGTGCATTAAAAGCGTACTAAACAAAGATGGAGGAAAGTTATTATGACAAGAAACAAAAAATAACAGTTGACGGAAAATGAACAAAGGCCACACGAAAACCGTACAAAAAAACAACGAAAAATAATTAAAACAAGAGAAAAAGACTTACCGAACTGACCGAAGGTGTCTTTGGCGCTTGTTTAATTGGTTTCTTCCTCTCTGGTGTCTGCACTACAGTATTAGCAATGTTTGTTGTGTTCACCACTTTGTTCTTCATCAATTCGCGGCGTTCTAGAAAATCTAAACCCTCGAGTGATGGCGGGGCGCTCTTTAAATGAGATATTGTGAAAGCTGCCCAAACATCAACTAGTTCTTCTTCGGTTAGTTTGTAACAAATGCATAATTCTAGGCCTATAAGTTCCAAAAAGAGTGGTTTAACCTCGAAAGCGTGAAGTTTTGAAGAAAACACTTACATTTTGCTATCACAGCGTCGTCCGGAGATAATCCAATGAATTTAAAATCTTCCACTAGTTTATCCGCAGTGTAATTCGACATTTTTCTGAGTTTTTACACGACTTTAACGCTTTTCAATCAGTTGAAGTTTCAGAGAAACCGAAGAAAACAAATGAAAAACGCGCGAATAACAGCTTGACATTTGTCACTTCACTTGAACATAGGCAACACAAGTTACACAAAAAAGATGGCGAGGGTTTTACAAAACTGAACTTTTATTTCATTTTATTTATTTATTTACTAATTTTACGTTTTGCTGCTGACTTTTCTTTAAGCTCAGCTACAACACTCGGTAGTTTCTTTAACAATTCCTCTTCAGACAGATTGAAATCATTATCAGTCCAGTAGTTCTTCATTGCTTGCATCACCGCCCCCATAAAATTACCAGCCTCCACGCCATTTTCTTTCAAAATAGTTCCGTTCAACGGAAATTTGGGTAAAACCCAAGAGTTAAACTCTTCAATATGTTCAGAATTTAAATACTTCAACAATTCAACAACGTATTCTCTTGTATTCTTATTTTTCGCCTTTAAAACTAAAATTTTATACGGTTGCAAAGGTCTGGGATCTAATTTAGGCTCACGATGCTGTACAATAAACAGCATCAAATCCCTCTCGTATGCAGAGAATTTAATTCTTGCATGTAGCTGCATAGCTTCTTCTTCAGTGTTAATCAAACTTGTGAGGAGAGTGATCGCGTTTAGTTGTAAATCATTCGTTTTTAAATTCATGAGAATTTTATCTAATTCTTTCAAGTTGTAATTTTCTGGTAGACCTATGTGTGGAGCACAATTGCACTCCAGGATCTTCTTCAGTAACTCTCCAGAAAAGTTTCCCTCAAGAATCTTTTTTAATTCTGTCCAAATACGTTCACCGCTGATTTGTGCCAAACCTGAGGCGTTTTCTTTAATGGCTGTGATTGTAACTTCATCGTGATCATCCGGTGTGGATGCAATACGTCCATAGAAACGGAAATAACGTAAAATACGCAGGAAATCCTCCTGGATACGTGTTACAGGATTACCGACGAATGCAACTCTTCGTTTTTGTAGATCGTCATATCCATAAAAATAATCATAGATATTCCCATTTAAATCTAAAAATAATTTAATAAGTTAATGAAGTTAATGAAGAAATTTAGTTTAAATGATTTAGTTTTAATTTGTAACCCACCTAAGAACATTGAATTAATAGTTAAATCACGTCTATTTGCATCTAGTAACCAGTCAGTTGTATATTGTACTTCAGCATGTCTACCATCAGTGAGCACATCAATCCTGAGAGTTGTAACTTCAAAATTCTCCTTGTCATTGATCCTTGGAGTGATTGTACCATGTTTTTCACCTTTCGCATTGATCATTCTGATGTTCTCTTCAGTGAACATGGTTTTCATTTGATCTGGTGTTGCTGTTGTAGCAAAATCTAAGTCTTTTGGTGTTTTCCCACTCAGTAAATCACGCACAGCCCCTCCGGCGATGCGAATTTCATATCCATACTTGTCAAATATTGTAGAGAGTTTAAGAAGTTCATCAGTGAAGATTGATTTGAATTCTGAAGAGTCTAGTTTCTTTATGATTGGATTTTCTCGATGTTTCGGGGCCATTTTACGGAATTTTAATAGATTTTGTTGAAAAATTGACTAAAATATATTTCAAGGTAATATTATAAACATATGATATAAATATTTATCAACTTACAGTTGAATAGGATACAATTCGATTGTTAAATATACTTCGTGTGACAATGCGGAGTAACAGCATGACTTTTGTGAGAAGTGCACCTAACATATCAAAACAATATTCCACTTTTTTGTGTACTTCATTTATGATGAAAATAAATGCAAGTTTTTGAAAGACATTGTGAGGTTAGTACTCGACGTGCCACTGACAGACCTACACGTACTGAGACTACTGTTTGGTGTTTTTCATTCAGAAACAATGGTGTACATCGCACCAGGTAGGATTTTCATTATTTTCTTTATGTTTGTGGTGTCTTACATTAATATTTGTAGATGGGTCGGTTCATCAGACTCGCCCTTGGAGTCTAGGTCGTGTTGTTGATATATTTTGGGGGACAATTAACTTTGTACCACAATTGTAAGTACATAGTACATATCAATAGATTTGATATTTATTAGAATTGAAAATTATTACATATATTGAAATGCGTTTTAAGTTTCACTTCATTATTGGGATATAATAACAATAATGCTGTTACTGGTGGTAACAGACAAGGAGGAGCTGGGGGAGGAGGTAGTGGTGGACCTGGCGGGTAAATTTATTCATAGAATTAGATTTATTTTAAGAGTGAAGTATAAATACAAGTAATATTTTAGGAGACCTCCAAATGTAAGAACTATGAGTGATATTCGCCCAGCTGGGGGTGGATGTAGTACTTGCCCAGGGTAATTAATTTAATTTAAGATCATCTATAAAAGTTCTCATTTATTCAGTATACAATTTCATATTTACATTACTTAAACATTAGTATTACCAGAAAATGTATTCATTATTTTATTTAAATATAATTCTATGTGCACTTTAAGTGGAGATATCACTTATTTTTAAAGAAAGTGTGGGGTGCGGTTAAAAAAATGTTGACTAGTGTTTTACACGACCTTAAAAGAGGGTAGAGACAAAAGGGGAACCTTGAACCCTGCGACCACTCTGCTGGACGACTCAGGCACGACTGAGCGCGGTGCGCCCTGTGGGCTCGCCTTTTATACCTGCGGACGATCCGCAAAAAGTGGTGGGGGTAGGCGCGCAGGTACCCGATTGGTCGCGCACTGCGAGTACCTTGTCATTAAGGGCGAGAATCGCTAATGCAACTTCCTCCGCGACTTTTTGCGTACGGTGCTTTGAATACGAGTCACTTCTACCGCTAGCCTCGTACGGTGCCCTGAATACAGTCACTTCTACCGCTGCCCTTGTACGGTGCTCTGAACACGAGTCACTTCTACCGCTAACCTTGTACGGGTTGTACCCTGAATGCAAAAGTGACTCTCATTCCGTGCACCATACCCCCACTCTTTTTTGTGGATCACCGCAGCTGTAAGACCCAGTCCAAAGTGAGCACACGGGGCTCAGTCGGGTCTAAATCGTCCAGCAGTCCAGTCGCAGCTCTCTAAATTCTTTTCTCTTCTTCTTTTGGATCAGGTTTAAATAATTGCCGTCTTGTTTATCACGAAGCATGTCACAGAGGCTCCCCAATAACAAATGACCTAAATAATTCTCAAATAAAACAGTGGGAGTAATTCACGCCCGACATAAAACCCAATTAAATAAATGAACGGATTAAACAGGATGCGCAATCAGCATAATTCAGCCATGCACACTTCCCATCCGCAACAAATAATAAACTAATATGTACATTCCAAGTGATTTTATTATATTATAAGTGGTGTTGTGTGTATGTGTGGAAGTCAAAAATTGCACATCAGTATCATATTCATAAATATTCACAATAAAATTCAATAAAATAATCATAGCAAATGTTTCGAGTGTCAAATTCGAGGCTGATGATTGATCAGGTACAAGAACACAATTTCAATGAGTAGAGAAACATTACTCAACAACACTTGATACAGATCATTATACATATTTGATTGCTTTTGTTGTGTTGGCGTAAACAATAATCTAGGATTTCCGCATCGCAAAACACAATGAATAATAAAAATAAAAATTAAAATCAAAAACACTCTTAAATCTCTCGATAATATCACAAAATGCTTACATCTATATAGCCGAAATTTATAAATTATGCACACGGTACAGACTGATATAACAATAAATTACGCTAGTAGTAGTTAAATAGTTCGGTGTGTGGTCATAATTTTATTCTGTTTTACTTTCTATTTTGTGTGTTCGTGTTTTCTACTTTACGGAATTTTATAAAATTGTTATGGAAGTTTCTCACAAACAAACATCGACGATTGTTTACCGACACATACCGCCCGCTACTCATATTTTAGCTTCTGTTTTCTTGAGTTTGAGGAATTATTCGAGGTTTGCGGAGATTCGCGGTGAGAATTTTAAATGCGAAACGCGCCGAACGGCCGACGCCGTCGTCTGAGCATAAACGGTTGCCGATTTAGCACTAGCACGGGCGGTTCATTCGATTGTTAACTCCATTTTATGTCGTAGCCCTTCCAGTTGAGATTGGGCGCGAGGTATACGGTGCGTCCTTTGTAAAAGAACGTTATCACGCCTCTGTACGCCGTTCTTGGCACTCCACTCTACAAAAAACATCCAATAATTATCATAATAATTAAAATATTATAAAATAATTTACTCTAAAGTCATCCATGAGTCCTAACATCTTCGCCGTGCGTTTGAACGACTCTTTCGTGTAGTACACTATACGTACAGGACCATCATGAGCGATTTTACCCTCACGCAACTCCTGGTAACTGACTACAGCACTTTGGTATACAGCATTGATAAACTGCTTATCGTAAACCTCCCGCGTTAAGTAACTCATATTCATTTTTGAGAAAGGCACAAATTTCTCGTTCAGCTTGATGTACTTCAGATGCTTTTCATAGAAAAGTCCACTGAAACAATCAAAAAATACATTTTATATAAAAAATTTGAAAAAATCATCAAATCTTACTTGGAAACTCCAATTTTTCCAAACGTACGCGTCCTGGAGATCTCCGGCCGTATACAAGCGCGTTCTTTACGTTGTTCTGGCTGTCGTATCCAATCATCCCAGTAGGACCTCGGCCATTTCGCAGATAATTCCTGCCATAATGCTTTATTAAGCATCCAGCCCAGTCCAGGGAAGAAATCGGTACGATATAAAGTTTCCGATTGTTTCTCATCGATCAATCCGACTTTTCCGTTATCATTCCACGCGGAAATACACCACAAAGTCGGGTCTTTCTCTAGCAAAGGATAAGTCCCAAGAAAATACTCGAAAAAGTCCGGCGCGATGTCCAAATCATCTTCGACGATGATCACAGACTTGAAATTAAAATTGAAGAAGATCTCATTCAGTGCCCAGCCGTAATGTCGCGCGATTTTGAAATACCCGCGGAATTTCTTTTCTTTCGGCGGGACTTCAATCTCAGATTGATCAGGTTGTTGTATGAGGGATACTTGTGGAATGTATTTGTTTATAACTGTTCTTGTTTGCTCATCATTGCAATCCTTTTAAAGAAAAAAAACAAGATATTTAATATTTTGGTAAATATAATATGGATTAAGATGATTTACCTGACTGACAATGATAGGAAACTGATCCGGATCCGGCCGGTATTGTAACAATTGATCCAGGCACCTGCTCACTGTGATTCTGTTGCAAGCAAACACCAAAACAGGTATAACTATCCCTGATGGATCCTTATTCCTCATCAGGACATGTGGTGATAGTTTATTATCACTTCCCAGTGCTTTTTCCTTCTCTATTTCAATTTCTACACCAGCCACTTTTTTGTTGTCCATAAATCTGTGTAAATTATGCACCATTTCTTTGTTCTTTTTAAACTCCTCTTGAATTCCATCTTCCAGTTTTCTGATATCCACTTCAAGTACTTGATTTGCTATTGAATCATTTGGAGTGCTTGCCAAGTTGGGTCTGTTTTGGAATGTGAAATAGAGCAGGAAGATCCAAGAGAAAATAAAAGTAGCAATCAGGCAGTATGTCCGTTTGATGCGCATCTTATCAAGCTTTCTGTTAACAGCAGTTCACATTATTACACGGTGGCAAGACTGGAATTAATAAAAAATGTTTATAAATATTTACTTAGATGATAATGAGTGATAACTTACGATTGTTACATTGGTATGCTATGTGAGTGAGGGTATTTGCTAAGTTGCGAGTGTAATTACTGTGCGGGCACCTCTTGATGATTTGTCAACCGTTCAGGTCCACGTTTCGTTGCCCGCTGGCCGCGGCCACATAATCGAATCGTATTGATGCGACGGAAAACAACGCGACTACTGCGGAACAACACCACGCGCCCGCCCGCTGAAGGCCGACGCGCACACAACGCGTTTTGCTTCACTGGCCCCTTGATGGTTGGGAGTCAGGGGCACACATGTGCGGCGCCTTTTGTGATGAGTTTTGAACGCGATAGGCGCGATGGCATTAATATTATCTTATTTGATAAATACCTGCAGCGGCACGATCATCATCGTCGTGCCAACTCGCCGCACTTCGATGTGTATCCACAATTTGACCTTTTCTTATTTTTATACTGAGTGAATTACAAAGATTCAACTTATTTTTAAAGTTTTTATGCTTTAAACTAGTTTAATTAGTAAAAATCGGTTCATTTTTTAAATAATATTAGTTTATTATAGTTTTAGGATAAATTTTACTGGTTTATGATCAATTTTTATTGTTTTATGTATACATTTTATGTTTATAAAATTATTTTGAAACACTTAGTATGTTAAATGTATACTTGGTTGCCTATATTGTGCGCAGTCAAAAAACAGCTGCCCCAGCTGCCAAATACCTTTGACAACCTGTCAAAGCAAAATCAATATGGCAGACAATGTCATGTAATCTGCGCGAATTTGTTATAAATAATTTCCACGGCGTGGAAATCTGTAGTTAACGGTGTAAATCTTCGGCGTAACGTGTTTTCTTGTGGTTGCAGCGGTTGGTGGGTGTTGCGGTGCGGCGTTCCGGTAGCGACAGACGTGTCCAGTGCACTCTGCAGGTGTATCGCTGATCGCTGATAAGCAGGACGTGTCATCTGACAGCAGGTAAATAAAGTACGATTTGCAGCACTATACAAATAACTATGCATGTGCAACGATAACAAATGCATATCGACTTTTAGTCTGTTTTTAATTTTACTATTGCGCATAGTTTGCACATATTGCCGCTGTAGTTTTATTTCTTGTTTTAACTAATGGCGTGAATACAGGGTGTTGTCGCTTTTGTAGATGTCGAAATTAATTCCGCCTCTTGTGAGCACCACGCCACCCCCGATTGGTCTCGGCGATGTGGACGATAATGAAGACGATGAGTTCGGGGACTTTGCTGCTGCTGATGACACCACATATGGCTGTGATTGTAAGTTTTTTATTAATTAATTTGCATTTCTACTATGATAATGAAACTGGAATTTCATGTTTTGCTTGATGTGTAAATATTTATTGTTTAACTTTAAGTTTTATTGATTTTCAAGCATTCTCCATTCCTAATACACCTGAAGATTCACCCAGAAAAACGCCTACGTTAAAAGTTCAACCAGAAAATTTACCCGAAGTGATTCCCGACGAAGAAATAACAAAAGATTATCAAGATAAACGGAAAAACGTGGAAAATATAGAAAATTCGCCGGAAAAACAAACCGGTAATGATGTGGAAGTGCCAAATCTAATAACAAACGGACACAATTATAACGACATTCACTCAGAATCAGTAAAACATGAAGATGAAGATGCGTCAATCAAAGATGATGATGACAGCGAGCGACCGCCGCAGTTATTTGACGATGATTCGGAGGAAAAGGAGGAAATCAGCGAAACGCCTTCAAACTTTAGCATTTCCTTTGATGATAATGTGATATGTGATGACGATGAGGAGGAGGATGAAAGCGACAACATGCCTATTGAGTTGCCAAATCATGTGATCGAGGCTGATGATGAAAAAGTCGTGGAAACTTGTAAAAATATTCAAGAGTTTGATGATTTTGACGATGAATGGAAGCAGGCTGAAGGTGAGCCCAAAGAAAGTGTAATTCCCGATGAGATTGTTGATGAAATTGATCAATTTGAAGATTGTGAGGAGGAGAAAAGTTCTAACCACTCCGAAACAATCGATGATTTCGGTGATTTTAATGCGTTTGCTTCAATTCCGACCGAATCAATCACGCAGAGTCAACAAACTATTCAAAATGCGCCTCTTTCAAGTGATATTCAATCAATTTCTAGTGATTATAATATGCCTGTAAATACTGAAAGCGATGCAAAGCAAGAGGGCGCTGATGATGATTTTGATGATTTTCAATTTACGAATGTCCCGCCAAAAGAACCAGAAATTCAGGAGAAAATTGAAGAAATTATTGACGATTTTGATGATTTTGCTGATTTCTCATCAGCACCTATTGAACCTCAAACGGTGGAACCTAGTCAACCACTTTCTCGCTCAGCGAGTTTAGAACAAGATGGCGATGATGACGATTTTGGTGATTTTGACGATTACACAACCTCGACGAGCACCTCCAATGCTATTCCATTGTTAAATCCAGAGAAAGTATACGAAGAAACACAGGTTATCTTTAAAGTCATGTTTGAACCGGTTACTCTCAATGAGTTGGACTATGAATATTCAGACGGGACTATAAAAAACACCATCTTCGGACAGATTAAGGATGTTACCGATACGCATGCGTTGAGGTACCAATGGGGCAAATCCACTGTGCAACAGGGTTTACTCAAAGCTTTAAACATTGATACTAGAAATATTGTAAGTTTTTCTTTGCCATTTAATTCTCGCATTTTTTCATGTTTGAGTTACTAAACGGTGGAAGTGAAGTTGATGGAGGTTGATGTTTGGTTGTAGCTTTACGCACACGGTATGCCGATGCCGAAATTTGCCGCTAATTTAGGCATGACCCCGCTTGAGCCGGTCAAGTCGGACATTTTGACTCCCACACAAGCGCCCATCACTCCAACCATTCCGTCCAGCGATAGGTCATCTTCACAGGCGACCACATCGAGTGTTTCACAGGCTTCACAACAAAATGGCGACATTCCGGCGGCGCAGTTCGACTGGAGCGCTTCCGGTTTGGCGAATCCATTGGATTGTAAGTATTCACTTAGTTGCTTGATGCTTTTTTGGGAATTGTGTTATTGGTCGGTAGAGGACTACACTTGTTGCGTGATAATTAAGTTCGTTCACACTTTGATGTCCTTTCTTATGTGCTAATACAATGTGTGCGTTGTTTCATGCTTGCCCACGGATCGCTACGTGACTTATCACAATCGTTTGTATAAACAATCCTGTTAAACTCTTTTAACTTCTTCATTGTTCGGCCGGCATTCTCGTTTTTGAATTTTTGCATTCGCGCACGTGCAGCTAACCAAACAAGCACTCTATTCGATCTGGAACAACTTACAGCCTCACTTAGCTTGCCCACGTCGACGACATGCGCTGTAGAAGTAGATAGTAATCACGCTAGCGGCAAATCCAATATCGACGAAGATTGGGACTTGTGGCTGCAATGTAAGTATTGCGTTACATTGTATTGAGTATTGCAAAAAACCACATACATCACGTATTTGTTTCCATGTCAAATTTATCTGTTTGCATCTATTTCTTGCTATGCCTATTTAATTTCGTAATTTTCTTCAATAATTTTTGACATTTCCAATTCAAAGCTGTCTCAAAAGAAGAAACTAAACCTACTCCGCGCACCTCGCGAACATCCGATGATATTAAGTTTGAGGACACGTCAACCCTCCAGAAACCACCCACTTATGATTCAGAATCGGTGAATAGTTTGCAATTTCCCGAAATGACCGACGTGGATGAAACCAAGCTGGAAAGTTTGGGCAGCGCTGATGATTTCAGCGATTTTACATCGTTCCAATCAACGTACCCCCACCAAACGCATCAAACTGATCCTCCTCCCACGACTTGGTCCACTTCTAATATGATCCCACTTCGGGAGACTTATATTGATGATGTGAAAACCGACTGGGTTGAAAATGGCGCTAAGAGTAATAATCATTCAAGAAAGTCTTCTTATGAATCTGTGGGGAAGGTTGAAGTGAAGGAAGAGCCTGATTGGTTACAGCCAACTATTTTGACACCTGTTCTTCCTCATAAAGAGATTAAAACAACAGCTCCAACTGTGGATGTGGTTTCAACTGAACCTGAGGATGATTTTGATGATTTTCAAGATTTTCAAACTTCTGCGCCGCCTGCAAAAGTAGAGCATAAAACACCGCCTGTACAGAATTCTGAAGTTATCACCGCGTATAGGGGCAGTTTACTAAATCCTACTGTCCTGCAACCTACTCTATTGGAACCGGTAAAAATGGCTTCGTCAATGGAACCCCGAACGATTTTGTGGCCTGATCCTGGAATTACTGATGAGGAGTTGGCGCGTTTTGATATGTACGCCAAGAAAGACGGTAACTATAGTCCTGCTGCCTCATCGGTGTCTTTGGTGTTAAATTCCGAGCCTGTCACGAGTTTGAGTAGCCCCAATGACCCGAGTATCAGTAGTGCTAGTGTATCCAAAGCTCCCGAAACCAAGATGAGCGGCCCAGCTGGTGCGCTCATGGTCGAGAAACACGTGGTTGTGCCGGCGAATAAAGTCATCCTACACAACGAGGTGCTCCTTCCGCCCAACAATCAGGTGGTTATTTCCAAGGACCTTGTCTTACCTATCTTGGAAAGCAGTCCACGAAAATATACTCCCCTCCAGAAGACGATACCCGCGCCTGCTCAAGACGATGATGATTGGAGCGATTTTATTTCCACTCAGCCTACGACAACAGGGCCGCCTTCGCGAGTATCAGGAATATCAGCAAGTAATACCTCACCTAGCAAGCACAGTTTGAGTAGCACCAGCACGTCCGAGCTGTCACTCTCGATACCGCAGTTACGTAGCATGCAAAATATGCAACCGCCATGTAAACCCCCCATTCCGGTGATCACACCGCGCGGTCTTGTGCAGACGAAAATCCCCTCGATGGCACCGAGCACGCCTGGCAAGTCGCTGCCGCAGACGGCATTGCACGTGCAGCCGCCCGGTGACGGCTACCAGCCGGCCATCATTAGCACGCAATTCGCCGCACAACTCAACCTCACCTCCCCGATCAACGTCGTCAATCAAACGCCGTTTTCAGATTTCCTGCACAACGGCCACTACCAGACTACAAGTATTCCAACGAATGGACTGCAGCAACAATCACCGCAGAGGAAACAGCTCAACGGGTTGCACGATGATGACGAATGGTCCGATTTTATGTCCAGCCAGCCGGTCAACACGGGGAATCACAGCTTGTACACACCTACAACACAGCAAATGCAGCCAGTTCAATCAGGTAATCCCACGCCGCCTATGATTAACTATAATCAACCAAATTTGTTTGGGGCTGCGACAAATTCACAACGCGCGGACTGGAACCGTAATGGTTTTCAGTCGGACTTGCCGAATATCATCACAAATCCGGTGCACTTTCAAAGTTACCCTACCATGAATACCCCAACGAATGTCTTAAACAAAAAATCGGCAGCCACCAATGGCATTTTGCATAGCAAGAATAAAAAACCGCAGAATCTGAACGTGGCGCGTTTGCCCGATTTGGACTTTGTTGCGCCTAAAACAAAAGTCTTTCACAACAATAAGAAATGACTAAAGGAGAACATTATGCTGTAATTATTTCTACATCGGAAATAATTTCGCATAGTTTTTGTGTAAAAATGTATTTGTGAGGTTGGGTGATATTTAATTTATTTCGTTACTTAAAAATGTTATTTAAAAACTTGCAAATTATTTATTGACGGACAGTCTCTTGAAAATTCTGGCGGTTCACAAACACTTTGTACATACAGTTCAATTTTAAAGATGAAAAATTTCGTGAGGTTTGTATCACACCGTTAAAATTAAACATTTGAAATTGAAATCTTTGAAAATCTTGAAATAATCTTAATCTTTGAAGCGAAAAGTAGCCAAAACAGTCTTATAAATAATTTTATTCTTATTTATTTATCTACTTAACATCTACTTATATTGGTGCATTGTGCAATGTTGTTTTTTTTCATTCTCTTTGCGTATTCTTTTCCTAATTTAAATATTATCTTATACGTCCAAACCGTTTCGAATCAGAAACAATGATTATGAATAAGTGATGTAAACATTTCAATGTTTGTACATACACGTGTATTATTATGTATTATTATCTACTACTTAATAACCGATTAGTTGATAACTTAGATCTTTATTTAAAGTTAATATTGTGAATCAAATGTATTTTGACTGTATCATACAATATGGTAATCTTAATGATAGATTCTAAGTTAGTAGCGAAATAACAGAAAACATGGTAAGTAAACAAGGCGCAATCGATTGCAATGGACATTCCGTATATACTGTAAGAAATATTGCGCAATTAATTAAAATAATGTGAGAAATTGAGTTTCTGCGCAATGCGTATGATATGAAACAAATGAAAGTATTGTTTATATAATAAAGGTGCTTTAACAGTTTTTTTCGGTGTTGTTGTTTTGCTTTTATTCAAAACAACGACAACTAATGGCGCGGCATCAAAAGTGGGATGTTTGCAGATACCTGCTAGCAACATTTGTCCCCACTGTCTTTTTGTCTAGTGTTGTTATGACTACCCGGCATATATCGTCAGTTTAAGATGACAAATTGTGTAGAAATGTTGTCATTAACATTAAAAAGTTCAAATTTTTGGTGCATTTGGTGTTCGTCGGTGTAGAAATTATTAAATCTCATTTGTAAATTCACATTCATGATTGTTTATAGTAGATAATTGAAATATAATTTGTTTTGTTGTGTTTGGTGCGCGTGTTTCAGTGTAACATGAATCACAAACGGAAAATATTCACGAATTCACCTTTAGCGTTTAGAGGTAAGCGCATTATCTTTTACTACGAGCTGCGTTTGCGTACTACTCGACGTAAAACAATACAAACAAAGTTTTTCGTGTTAATTTCATTCTCTTTGTATCATTCTCACAATCCGCTCATGTTTTATTATGTTTCTTTGATTCTTTTAACGTTTTCTTATCATGGGGTCCTTGCAAAACATGCTAAATGTGTATTTTCATATGAAAAATCACTATCGCAAGTTGAAAAACGTGCAAAGTCGTGTCAATACTAACAACACACCAAAATCTGCAGGTAGATCCAAGAAACCACGTCCAAAAATAAATGAATCCTCATCTGCCACGTAAGACTGTGATTTATTTAATCAATTAATATTAAATAAAATACTTTATTAATTATTGTGGATGTAATTTAAGGCAGGGGAAAAATCGGCCCCCAACGCGTCGTAATCCAGCGGAAATTGTTGATAAATCAGTTCATGAATTGGATTTAGTTAATCAATCTCCCAACAACAAGTATCAGACCACATCGCTGAGTTCTCAGACGGTGACGGAAAATTCTTGCTCGAGTGTTGATCACCATGAATATCTACAGTTTTCTTTGCATATCACCGAGGAAATTATCCGGAATGATATGTTTAAGAATGAAGAAATGATCAGTGTCTTGAAACGACATTATGAGGCAAATAAATCGAGGCTTGATCAGGTAATTAAAGCAATAAAAGTGGAGTTTTCTTTATTTAGTTTCATACTCTATTTAAGGAAAGACTACTTAAAACTATTGCGGAATTGTGCTCGGAGTTGAACCTTCCCATGGACACTTTGCTTCAGTTTGATCAAAATGGGACCTGTTCAGGAGGTAATTAAGTTTATAATTATGTATGGCTTGATAAAATAGATTTAACAATTGAAAAATGATATAGAAATTATCATTTGAATGTTAAAATTTGTAGAATTTATGATTACATTGACCTAAATAATAATAAAAAATACTCATCACGTAGAAAATTACATTACCTTCTAAATGAAGACGTTGCGTGAGAAATTCTACACGCATGGCTATTGATTCAGGCATTAATATTAATTATTATAGTTCATGTTTTAGCTCACGTGGTTGGTAACACCCGTGGCAGCACGCCGATCACAGTGCCCTACAGTTTTGGCCCACATAACAAATTTGCATCTAGTCCATCCGAAAACCGACTAATCATTCAAGAGAAGTTTGATAATTCAGTAGCTGTGGGTAACAGTTCTGAATTAGCAGTTGAGAGCTTGGGATTGCTGCCAGTTATAAGTGAAGACCGGATAAGTCAACAACAACCAGATTTCTTGACTAATTCCAAAGAGGACATTATGCTGCAAATATCAAATGAAAAGGCTAAGGATAACTTGAAGGAAACCAATCAGGATAATGATAGATACGTCATAGAAGTTCTGAGATCTCCTACGCGTTTGGAAGACCTATCCAAAGTTTTTGAATTTGGCGAGGAGACGCTAACGGCTCCCGGTGAGGAATCCATTGTGAATTTGAATTTGATGGAAATTAAATTAAATGAAATCAAAGAGTTTCACGTTCTGCATGATGCCACCGCCACGTTTGTGCATGAAAGTGATAAAGAATCAGATGCGTCTATAACCCACCATGAGTCACATGTATCCACTTTGGATAGTAATACGTCTAAAGACTTTAAATCACCCACTAACAAAAACAAAGTTAAAAATAATTTGGTCATTGCACATTACTCCACTTCAGTGGAGCCTGAGTTAGTGCAGACAAAAGAATTTAGCGTTCAAACTCAATTGGATAACAGTCAGGATGAAAACATTGATGTTTGTTCTCCCAATTTAGCTTTAACTGCTGGTGGGACTTTTGTAAGTGATGCTTCTACTCAGAAGCATATATTCCCAACTTCAGATACAAAACATGAGAATGAACCATCAAATCATCTTGTAAACGTTGAAAATACTTCTGATCCTGTTGTGGCTTCTCCCAATAGATGCCTACGCTGTAATTGTCGTAAGGTTGAAAGCGATAATGAAGTCAAAATGAGTGAGAATAATGGAACAAGCATGATTTCAACAGGAGCACAGTACGTTCTTTTGGATTGTCCAGTTTTAATACCTTGTGAACACACAAAAAGCATGGAGTTTTTGAATGCTATTGGAAATCGAGCGGGAAACTACGAAAAAAGTATTCATACAATGAATATTCGTATTCCCCCTACTAATATTTTGCAAAATTCTGTGTCTAATGTGATTTCTGGTGCTGTAGACAGTTATTATAATGTGAATAAGAACAATCTGCATCATGGTGACTATGATTTGACACCGCAAAAAGACATGTTCCAGAGTAAGGTACAAACACATATGGCACCTACTCCAAGTCAGAACCCGGTGCCATTTGGATGTTGCTCCTGTATGTCTAATATGGCGACCAATCAGTCATTGATCGATAAATACGATCGATTTGATTCAGTGGGAAGGATGGAAAGACTCGACAGACTCGATAGATACAAAAAAGTCAACGACAACCTCTCATATTTTTACCCAACGATAGCTACTCAAGTAAGTTCAATGGATTTGTTGAGCAATGGTATAAATTTGTATCCCAACCTGCAAAAACCTCAAAATAAAGTTAAGCAACACCGAGAGCCTCGTTATAGTAAGCCAAGACAACATAATCAACATCAGCAATACGATCCGCCAAAAAGTGTTGAGAGGCGAGATAAATTCGACAATCATCCACACAATTTTATTAATTCCTGTGATTCCATACCAGAATTTGATCTATTAACATCTAGAACACCAGGTACTGCAAATGGTAGTACTTCTAATTATAATACATTACCTAAAACTGCTTCAGTAATATCAAACAAAGATAATTTTAACCATAGTAAAGTTAACCTGGATAATTATCGTATTGAATCTAAGCATAGTGTAGGTTCGAAAAGAACTTACGGTGAAGGATTATCTACATGTAAAAGTCCTGGGGAAAGTGGCAGGATAAGTCCGGGAAAATCTCCAGGTGGTTTGATATCTGAGGATGAAGTGTCTGCGGATAGGACTACAGATAGATCTTTAGGATTATATAACAGCACGGATAGCATGGAGAAACGAATTATGAGTGTAAGTATATATGATAAATATGATTTTGATTATATTATGACTAATAGCAATTTTCTGTTTAGCTACGGCATGATATTGAAAAGTTCAGCAAGGACGACTTATCGATTACAAAACGAAGTGAGCCGGAGTCTGCAAAACGTGGTGATATGTTGGATATATTGAGGAAGAATAGTTTAAATGGCGGTATACTGCCATCGGAGTTAGCGCTACCAAGGCAGAAAAAAATGTCAATTCTACGCAAACGAAGTAAATAGGATGTTTAAATTTTATTAAATTTTGTATTGTGAAAATTTCGGTGGAAATTGTGCGGTTTTTGGAGATTGTTTAGTATTGATCAGTTGTATTTGCAAAATGACAATAAATTGCAATTTCTTAAGGACACGCTCTGAGTTCTATCAAAATCACTGTAGTGTCAGAACTCGTAGTGTTGTAAGTAAATAAAGAAATATCAGTGTGTATGTAAACAAGTTTTATCTTGTGCAACGGGCATATTGTAATGCGCATCGCAGTAACCGCGTGTTGTCGTTGGCGCTGTGAGCAATTCGGTGCACAGGCAGTACGATTTCGGTCATCGAGTGGGTCGCACGTGTTCATAGCGACTTCTGTTTCTTTATATTATATTATAATTAAGTAAATCTATGTATATCCAATATACAATCGACAACATACGCTGAATTTGGATGTAAACAGAGGTTTGCTAGTGTGATTGCATGCGTTATACGTTTATCAACCGCGGAATAATTGTGAGTTTACCTGGGCGCGTGTGAGGTTCCGTCGGCCGTCGGTTATTATTTTATCGCCTGTGGAATTGAACTCAACTTTGGAACAGAACCTGTCGATCCTTAATTCCTCAAATATAAGAGCTATCATGTAAGTAAGATTAGGTTTTTAGATTTGGGTCTTTTTGGGTAGATTAAGAATCTGTGATTTGTTCCTTTCTATCTCTTTTAGTTTACAAAATATTCGCAATTGAAAGAAATGACAAAAATTAAAAATTTCACTTTCAAGATATCTGGTTGATCCAATATTTTACGCGACTCGTATTGTTTATCCGGACATCTACTTTCAAAATTTGCAGTATCGATCAAATATCAATCGACTATTTAATTTCGACTATAGTAATTTTATTTACTGTTTGCGCGTTTATTGTCCATAAATTCCTCCATATTTTGATATTCATCATTAGGATGACCCATCGTGCTGGTGTAGGTAACTCCTAACTAAACAGCACAGGTAGTTTGTTTTTCTCCACTGTGTGATTATAGTATTATTAAGTCGTATGAAATATTTTTGTTTTAACTTATGCTTTCTTTTTTTATTTACAGTCTTTGCCGTGCCTTGGAGTACCATGAGTTCTGCATTGGTAAGTTTATAATTCAATTATAGGTATTTTTCGTTTTAATTTCTTTGTCCTCCATTAGTTTGTATTTACGTTGTTTTGATTTATCTCGTTCCACCGCGTGTTGCAAATACATAAGATAGTCGCGTACACGGCTGATACATCTCAAAATTAACTGTTTAGTAATTTTTCCTTCGCTTACACAAACCCAAGAGTTGTACTCGAAGATGTAATTCAACGGAATTCCGCTCTAACCATCCCTATCCCCTTTTTGTCTCAGTTTTTTTTAATTCCAATTATTTTAGATTGAAGATTCTAAATTTTTGAAAAATTCTTTATAAAATTAGGTATTCAAATAGGGAAATAAGAGAGGTTGAGAATAATTCATAAACAAAAATTTGCTAAGAACAATTCTTGTTTCATCCCACTGAAAGGTTTTTCATTTTTATTTTTAGGAGAATTTTAAAAATTTGTTTGTTTTTATTTATAATTCATAGATGGGACTAGCATCAACTAAAAATTGCTTATTTATCAATGTTTGTCACGAAGTATAGATACACAGGAGACCGAACGTCATGTTAAATTAATGGTCAAAATTTAGGGAATAGAACATTCGTCAATAGAGCGCGCCACTATGCCTTAGAGTACTTGCACTTCGTGTGTACTCGTTTAAATCCTTACGTTGCTATGGACACCGCCGGAAAAAAACACGTGTTGACGTGTAATAATTATCACGAAGTATCTAAATACAGGAACGTCATGTAAACAAATTGTCTCAATGTTGCCATAGACACGAACCAACGAATATCGGTCCCTCGGGTTCCCAGCGCAACCAGTGGCAGAAAAGAGAACTATGAGATGTGTTTATAATTGTGTACCATGACTACGACGAAAAAGCCTATACCGTTCGGACTCCTTATATCTATACTTCGGGATGTTTGTGTACAAACAACATTTTTGTGTCGCGTTATTATTTTTAATTTTTACCTGATAGAGAATTTTCCAATCTTTCATATACTTTGATCCGTTGGTTGCTTGCAATTTTAGTTTAAAAGAGGACACGCATTCAAGGCACCGTACAAGGGCAGCGGTAGAAGTGACTCGTGTTCAGGGCACCGTACGAGGGTAGCGGTAGAAGTGATCATATTTAGGTACTCATATTCCCAATCCAATTTTCCAATCTTTCATAATCAGCAATTCGTTGGTTGCTATCTCTTTTAGTTTAAGAGATATTATTTATCGAAAATTGTCGATTAAAATTATCATGCACACCACCTTGGTATTTTTTTTAAGAATTAAAATTTTATCTGTCAGATTTCCGCTTTAACTAGCCTATCTGATAGAGATTAGTCCGTAGATTAAGACGCTGCGATCAGATCCTATTTATCTCTTTTAGTTTACGAGATATTCGCGATTGAAGAAAATGGGCAAAAATTGCAAAATGTCACTTTTTAGCACATTTAATCGCGTATTTCGACCTTTTACTGTAGGAAATATAATTATGTTATATTTTTATCTGATAAAGAATTTTCCAATCTTTCATAATCAACAATTGGTTGGTAGCTATCTCTTTTAGTTTAAGAGATATAAATTTTTGAAAATCGTCGAAAGAAAGTATCAAGCACCCCCCCTTGGCAATTTTTTCTTAAGAATTAAAATTTCATCTCTCAGATTTCCCTTTTAACTATCCTATCTGATAGAGAAAAGTCAGTAGATTAAGACGCTGCGATCAGATCTTATTTATCTCTTTTAGTTTACGAGATATTCGCGATTGAATAAAATGGGCCAAAATTGCAAAATGTCACTTTTTAGCACTTTTAGTCGCGTTTTTCGACCTTTTACTGTAGGAAATATAATTATTGTATATTTTTATCTGATAGAGAATTTTCCAATCTTTCCTAATCAACAATTCGTTGGTAGCTATCTCTTTTAGTTTAAAAGATATTAATTTTTGAATATCGTCGAAAAAAAGTATCAAGCACCCCCCCTTGGCAATTTTTTTCTTACGACTTAATATTTCTTCTCTCAAATTTCCCTTTTAACTATCCTATCTGATAGAGAAAAGTCAGTAGATTAAGACGCTGCGATCAGATCCTATTTATCTCTTTGAGTTTACGAGATATTCGCGATTGAATAAAATGGGCAAAAATTGCAAAATGTCACTTTTTAGCACTTTTAGTCGCGTTTTTCGACCTTTTACTCTAGGAAATATAATTATTTTATATTTTTATCTGATAGAGAATTTTCCAATCTTTCATAATCAACAATTCGTTGGTAGCTATCTCTTTTAGCTTAAAAGATATTAATTTTTGAAAATCGTCGAAAAAAAGTATCAAGCACCCCCCCTTGGCAATTTTTTTCTTACGACTTAAAATTTCTTCTCTCAAATTTCCCTTTTAACTATCCTATCTGATAGAGAAAAGTCAGTAGATTAAGATGCTGAGATCAGATCTTATTTATCTCTTTTAGTTTACGAGATATTCGCGATTGAATAAAATGGGCAAAAATTGCAAAATGTCAATTTTTAGCACTTTTAGTCGCGTTTTTCTACCTTTTACTGTAGGAAATATAATTCCGTAACGCGAGTTATAATGATAGTTGTTTGTATATGCATATACGCAATAGTACTCGTTGCGCTAGGAGTTGTAGTTTTTTTTTTTTATTATAACACGCGAACGCGGTCTTCAACTAAGGTCGGAATAATTTTCCCAGATGCGGAATTTAATTCTTTATTTCCCTGTATCCAAATTTATTGCTAGAAAATTCCGTAACGCGAGTTATAATGATAGTTGTGTATATACGCATATACGCTATAGTACTCGTTGCGCTAGGAATTGTAGTTTTTTTTTATTATAACAGGCGAACGTTATATTGAAAGTTGTGTGTGTGCGCTGTAGTGCTCGTTGTAGTACACGCTTATCGGGGTTTGTGTATAAACAAGTTTTTATATCGCTATAACCGTGCGAAATGCTGCCTCTCACGTTACGAACGTTGGACCGCTTCAGTCTGTTCTTACCTGCACGCGGTTTGGCATCATTATTTCATTCATTCAGATAACATTACATTTTATTTATTATAAGTCAGCATTAATTACGGCACCGAATGACAACAGACGTGTAGAGTGTTTTGCTAAGGTTAATTTACGCGTAAAATGATTATAAAACTCGTGTTTACAAGTGCGTGTCGGCTATTGGATTATTTCGATGCTGAGCATTGGAATTAGAAATATGTATCCTATTCGTAGTTTTAAGTAAGTGTAATTAACGGCTGCCCTTAGCAGAATATTCCGGGAAATTTGTGTGTTAAAATAGTACATGTTCAATATCCGACAAAATGAATTTAAATAAGTGTTCATCATAGTGCGAGTTCTCACACACGTGTTTTTTTGTTTCAGTCCTCTCTTTGATTTCTTGATGCACTGGTAAGTTTGTAAACGTTATTACATCATAATTACAAATTTATCTTAAATCGCATGTAACGTGAGTACCGTAATGAAACAAAATTGATGCGTGCGGTCGGATGCGACTTCGATCTACCCGTAGAGTATGGTCGTGTCAATCATCGGTTTAATAACGTGAATTTTTCCTTGCTTGCATTTTCTTTTCTATATATATAAAAATGAAACCCGTTTCGCGTGGTCAAGCCATCACATGAAAACGGCTAGACCGATTTGGCTGATTTTTTTTTTTGCAGTTTTCTAATACTCTGTAGAAGGTTCTTACGGAAAAAAATATTAGGAAAATGTCTCGGAAAGATTGAAAAAAAATAAAGCCCGTTTCCCGTTGTCACGCCATCTATGTGTGAGATTTCAGAACGCATATATAAACTTCACATGACTTACATAGTAATCTGTGGTAATTTGTGACATACCCGCCGCGCCAACAATAAGGTTATTAAAGTTTTTGACACACAGGTTTTTGTTTGAAAAAGGAAAGTCGCTTTCTCTGTCTGTCCCTTTGTATGCTTAAATCATTGAAACTACGCAACGGATTTTGATGAGGTTTTTTACTTCCGTGCGAAGCCGGGGCGGGTCGCTAGCGATGTGACTGGCAGAGAATGCCTTACGGCATTAAGTCCGCCTTTTGTACAATATTATTTTTTTGTGTAATAAAGTTTAAATAAATAAAAAATAAATAAGGCGGTACGAAGTTCGCCAGGTCAGCTAGTTATTTCATAAATCTGCAGGCTCTTTAACGTATTTTCGTAGTTTGGCAATTAATTATTGAGAGTAAGATATAAGTAAAAGACGATTTAAATTTTCTTTCGCGTGTGTGCTTGAGTTGCCGTCGGCGGACACATGTTGCCTTGCTTGTGGCGTATCTGGAGAATCCATCGCAAAGAAAATTTCTAGCTCTTTATTCTTAAATTAAAATGTAATTGTATTTTTGTTGTTTCACCCTCTCTAATCGTGAATCTAATTCCATGCATGGAAAATTTTGAATTTTTTTATTAAATGTAGCAATTTTCTTCTTGAATCACCCTATGTATTAATTTTCCTTGCTCTCTAATGTAAAACTGACTAAATTTATTGGTTCCGGGTTTTCTATTTAAACTTTGTATTTTATTTTTAAATGTAGAAATTTCCTATTTGTAACGCCCTGAATGTTTGTTTTTCTTGATTTCCTATTATAAGTTTTCTAAATTTGTTATTCCCGAGTGTTTTCTTCTTTGAACTATTGATTTTCTTTTTGTAACACCCTGTATATATGTTTCTTTTGTGTCCGTGAAAATTTTGCTTTAACTATCGTCTTTAGTATTTTTCCATTTGCACTTTAAATTTTCTTTCTGGAACACCATGTATATTAGTTTCCCTGATCGTCGAGTGAAAACGAGCGGCGTTTGTAGTGTCCAGAGTTTTTTGTTTGCACTTAAAATTTTCTTTTTGTAACACCCTGTATATTTATTTTCATTGTCAATAACATAGAAAATGAACTATGTATTTGCTAATTTCATTATTCCGGTAGAACTGTACGAAGTGCTATTTGCTTATATGTGCGCGGCTTAGCAGGTCGTAAGTCCGGTTTCAATATGGCGACATGTATTCTGTTGACTTGCAAAGTCTAAACTTGTATTCTATTGTTAATAAAGAAATAGTAAGATATATTGACTTCTTTGATTTGTGTGTTCGCCTTCTATCATTTCAGGAACAGGTCTCTAAGAGAGTTCCCTCTCTCAGGGGGTGATCCCCTCTATAAAAATTGTTAAAGTAACCTGTATGATTTGTGTACTCCTTCTTTCATTTCAGCAACAGGTCAGAACTTGTAAGAATATTTTTAAGTGTCACCTCTCCTGAGGCGACTTAAAACTTAGAAATATTTTTATAAGTTCTTAAAAGGATGTCCTTATAAGGAGTTCTCCCACTCGGGGGATGATCCCCCACCATAAAAATTGTTGATATGCCTGATAATTTCGGGGATGAAGCGCAGAGACATCGTAGCTGTAGGATGGGCCGGGAGCAATGGATGGATTGAAGCAGTGGGCGATCGACCAGAGCGCCGGAGGCGCTCTGGGAGATCGACCGTAGACTGTCTTATAACGACACGTGCCAAAAAATTTAAAAATCTGATCCTCCCCTGTTCTCTTTCTTCTATCTCCTCCACTTTTCTTCTCTACTCTACTCTCTGTTCTCTTCCTTCTATCTTCTCTCTTATTCTTTACTACTCCTACTTCTATTCTCTGTTCTCGTTTCTCCACTTACTTTCTTACTTCTCTTATTGCCTTCACTTGTATTTCATTTTCTCTTATATTTCGTTGCAATTCATATATGCAACCCAAATTACACCTGATATTTTTATATTTGAGAAAAATGCCTTCTATACCTGAGATTCGATCCGTGTCTGCTAGCATGCCAGCAGGTGCACGTCTCCGCTCGACCACCGAGTGTTCTTATCATTATTATTTGATTCTTCTATTTATGTTTCTACTTTATTCAACTTTTTAAAAACAACAACACAAGCCTTAGCTACGTTGTACACGTTTCACGCACACAAGATTCATAGGCAATATGATTTAAGACGCTTATCCTGAAAATCACAAAAAGGATATCATAATAAAATATGAATGAGATTGTAATTTTAAATTATAAATTTTATTAATTATATTTAACAATCCATTTATTCTTTTTTAATAAATCGATGACTCAAATCCCGTATCAGTTGCCTTAAAATACGCGCAGCTCCAACACTACCGTTATATTGTGAACTCCATAGTTCGGATACTCACAAACTTCTTCCCTATGCACCAATGTTGTATACTTGCGTGAAAGTATTAATATTAAATCTAAGTTATTTTTAGGAGCAAAAGGATAACCGTCAGCCGGTGAAACCACACACACATACACGCAAAGATGAACCAAAAATAAATTCGTAAATGATAAACACTCAACGCGTGTATTACACTTGTGAAACCTCGACGACGCCCGATATCAGTACATGCCGCCTTTTGTTTAATAAATATTATGTGATTACTTAAAAATGTTCTGGCAAAACTAGTAGCGATGAACACGCGCAATTCATTCGATGGCCGGAATGAAACTGCTCACGGCAAACGTACGTTGGCAACACGCGGTCGCTATCAGTATTGCGATACGCTGGCTGAACACGTAAAAAATGTTTACATACAAACATCGCGCAAACCTAAACTATGAAAGCAGCGCCAGTTTTGGTACTACTAACATACTCGGCCAAAATTCTACAATGCTCCTACTGAAAATCATTAATTTCTAGACCCATTTTCTACCAAACTTTTTAATAATGACCAAAATTAATAAAAGTTCAGACCAATTTAAGAGCACTTACCGAAACTTGAAAGTTGAGATAACAATTCAATCGATAAAAACACTCTTCCTCCATAAACTGAAGAAAACAGAATTAAAATCGGGCCACGGAAACACGAGATACAAACCGTTTTCCACCATAACGTTTCAAAAATGACCAAAATTGATGAAATTGGAGACCAATTTTAGGGCACTTCCCGGTACTATACGGTGTGCATTAAAAATCCAATCGATTAAAACACTCTTTCTCTATAATTCGAACAAAACAGAATTAAAATCGAGTCAGAGAAACGCAAGATACAGACCGTTTTCCACCATAACTTTTCAAAAATGACCAAAATTGATGAAACTGGAGGACGATTTAAAGGCACTTCTCGGTACTTTACGGTGTGGATTAATAATCCAATCGATTAAACCGCACTTCCTCTATAATATGAAGAAAACAAAATTAAAATCGGGCCACAGAAACGCGAGATACAGACCGTTTTCCACCATAACTTTTCAAAAATGACCAAAACTGATGAAATTGGAGGTAGATTCAAGGGCACTTCCCGGCACTTTGCGGGGTGGATTAACAGTCCAATCGATTAAACCGCTCTTCCTCTATACCCTAAAGAAAACAAAATTAAAATCGAGTCAGGGAAACGCGAGATACAGACCGTTTTCCACCATAACTTTTTACAAATGACCAAAATTGATAAAATTGGAGACCAATTTTAGGGCACTTCCGGCACTTCAGGATGTGCATTAATAATCCAATCAATTAAAACACTCTTCCTCTATAATCTTAAGAAAACAGAATTAAAATCGAGACAATGAAATGCGAGATACAGACCGTTTTCCACCATAACTTTTCAATAATGACCAAAACTGATGAAATTGGAGATCGATTTAAGTACACTTCTCGGCAATTTAGGGTGTGCGTTAATAGTTCAATCGATTAAACACTTTTCCTCTATAATCTGAAAAAAAAAACAGAATTAAAATCGAGTCAATGAAACGCGAGATACAGACCGTTTTCCACCATAACTTTTCAATAATGACCAAAACTGATGAAATTGGAGACCAATTTAAGAGCACTTCTCGGCACTGAACGGTATGGATTAATAGTCCAATCGATTAAACCGCTCTTCCTCTATAATCTAAAGAAAACAGAATTAAAATCGAGTCAGGGAAACACGAGATACATAAAGTTTTCCACCATAACTTTTCAAAAATGGCCAAAATTTATGAAATTGGAGACCGATTTAAGGGCATTTCCCGACAATTCAGGCTGTGGAAGAACAGTCCACTGGATTAAACCACTCTTCCGCTACAAACTGAAGAAAACAGAATTGAAATCAAACCGGGAAAACGCGAGATGCAAACGATTATCCACTATGGTTTTCCAGAAACAAAGTTTATTTACGCAATAAACTCTTCCTCTGCAATCTGTAGAAAACAGATAAGAAATTGAATCAAAAAACCACAAGATTATTGTTATCAAATTATAACGTACCAAATATGTGAGGAACATGTTGAACGCGGTTTAATGCACACGTCGCATTGAAGAATACAAATATGTAATTCTTGTTACCATTCACAAATAATAATTAACAAAGCACCATCCACATCTTAAAGCCCCGACCGAATATATTGTAAATACAAATTCAAAATATTAGAAACGAGATAGGTTATTGTAAAGATCGAATGAAATGTTGAAATAACACGTGCACTCAACAACGCCGCGCAACGTACTGAGAAGCTATGCTTAGAAGTGCGACTAAAAAGAAAGAAATTTGATAACTAACTCAGCACCCTAGCGCCCTCTAGTTGCAAAAGTACAAAACATTTTCCAGCAGGAATCCTAAATTGCGATACCAGCACCATTTGGTGTGGAGGGCATCACACACTGAATGCACTACACCGATTTATCAATGACAATGACAAAAATTAAATAAGGATTGCAATATATTTATTAACCATGTACAATGCGCAAAAAGAATTAATTTTTACATTTTCTCAACATTAAACGTTAGCTTTAGACGATTTTAACATCGGAACAAGAACGGAAAGTCTCTTGATTGCCGCAACCCATGGCACCGGTCCCATCTTCACACACACCCCAACTATTACCTAAATTTGATATCAAATTTTAAAAACAAGCCCCTAAAAAGAATATAATATACATACCTGCAGTATAGGTCCATCTCAACGAGCAATGTTCACATTTAAGACCCTGTGGAAGGCGTAGCTTGCTTCTAACGACTTTGTGAATGCTTAAAATTTGGAATTTAGCAGACCCATCTTCAAATGGCACCGGTATAAAGCAGTCCTCTCCACTTTCAGGCTTTGAAGAGTCCAGTATCTTGCATATATGGTATTGAATGTTTCCCAGATGATTAGCAGTAATAAGAGCCTCAACTTCGATGACGTCTCCTGAATTGTAAACAGCTACAATCTTACCACTGCCATAGATACCCGTATTTTCGTTCATGCGGGGTTGTGGATCACGGTAATTGTCACCGCAGAGACCACAGTTTCCACCATTCACGCCATGATGTGTCTAAACATCAACTAATTGAATAAAAACACTTGAACATTTTTTAATGAATTACCCAAGCACCACCGCAAAAATTCGCACTATCTTGATAGTTCACAAGGGCAGTTTTATCAAAACGCCAAAGTGAACTACGATTTGGCGGATCTAGCAACATGCCATGGCCGGAAACTAATGCCACAGCACTAAGCACCAATACGCAAATTTTTAACATGATTCTCTCTGAAATAATGCAGTTTTGATGCAGAATTGATAATTCTGGGAAATGACATTCTGCTTGCACATATATAGACAATTATAAAAAGAATTTTAGCACCTATTAAATTCTGTAAACACTCCAAAACGCAACCATGTATTCACCGTATTAGATTTTATGACTTAATCTATTTTTCTGTGCAATTAGTCGTTTAAGTGTTTAATTATTGTGCTTATCTAGAAAAAATTAGCATGACAACAACTATTGTAAGACATATTCAAGCTTTGGTATCATATTTGCGTCATGTTTATTGTTATTTTGATCGTAAATTGTTGCTATAAAGATAATTTCTGCTAAAAAGTTCATTCACATGAAATCTTTGATAATAAAATCTCTCATGTTGATTGTTTGCTGAATTATACGCAATTTGTATGCAATAAAATGTGATTTTTTTCTCTGAAAAAAGGGTTTTTGGTAATTAACAATTAATTAACACTTTTCTTAGAGATTATAAGGGATTAATTCATTACCAAATGTTTTTGTATAAAAACTCTTGATTTTTTCCAAATTATCACCAAAAAAACATTGTAAACGAAATCAAAATGTTCAAATTAATAACTCTTGTTAGCATGATTGCTTTTGTTTCCGGTCATGGAAGCATGACTGATCCAATCAATCGTAGTTCTCTTTGGCGTGTAGACCGTTCTGCTCCTGCTAATTATGACGATAATGGTCTAAACTGTGGTGGTTCCTGGGTTATTATTAAAAGTTTCATTTGAATCTTTCTAATTTTAATTGTTTTGTTAATATTATTACACAGGCTCAACATGGCACCTACAAAGGGAAGTGTGGAGTATGCGGGGACAAATATGGCCTCCCTCATCCACAACCAAATGAAAACACTGGGAAATACGGCGGTGGAAAGATTGTCAAAACCTATTCATCCGGACAACTTATTGATGTAGAAGCAGTCATCACAGCTAATCATCTGGGTAACATTCAATACCACATTTGCAAGATCACAAATTCAAACCTTCCGGAGTCGGGTGAAGAATGTTTTAAACTGTTGCCATTTGCTGATGGTAGTGATAAATTAATCATTAAATCAACACATAGAGTTGTGAAGAGCAAAGTTCAGCTGCCTAAAGGTCTTAAATGCAACCATTGTGTCCTGAGATGGACTTACACTGCCGGTAAGTTTATTGTTTTCATCTGTGTTTTGACTTTAAAATATTTTAACTATTTTTATGGTTGTTCCAGGCAACAATTGGGGAAGATGCCCTGACGGTTCAGGAAAATTGGGTTGTGGACCTCAGGAAACATTCAGATCATGCGCAGACGTTGCTATTGTTTAAATTATTCCTACAAGATTGTTATAAACATTTTAGTTATTGTTACGTTTGTTATTATTGCAAAGGCATTGCAAGTTAAATTTATTAGATAAATAAATAGATTTAGAATAGAGCATCAACCATTGTTTATTGTTTTCATGTGTTTTCCGGTTAAAAAACGTGAAAATAAACCGCAAAATTTATAATATTCATATGATAAATTCATTTAAGACATTGAGCGACATCTGTATATAAAGATAATAAGTACATATTAGACTCTTGCTGTAGAATACAACATAAAAACGTGCTCGGCTTCTCTGACGTCTCAACAATTCACGCGATATTCTACAACTTAAATAAATTCAAATTTAAAAAAGCACTTATTAATCTTTGTGTTCGAATAAAAATAAATGTGACTTTACCAGCTAATTTCTGTTAAAATTACGTTTTAATGACTATATAGTTATAGGTTATAATCGACAACAATTCCACAAATACAAAAATTGGCGCCAAGGTAATTTTTTGAAGTTATTTTATTGATACTATTAATTATTCCCAAATCAAATATTTTTTCTGCTTTGTAATGTTATATCTTACGAAATGTTACAAATTTAATGCAGTATTTGTCGTAATTAAACATTTATTAATCTAACATAATCATTAAACCGTGCGCAAATACCACCATTGCTTTCCAGAAGATAACTTGTTCCAAAACCGCGTGAAATTCGTGCGCTTTCGCTTGTTTTACTTGTTGCTATGCAAACAACTTATCTGTTTACTCATACAACGCGTAAAACAATTTTTACATTATTAATTTGAACATTTTCCACGCTTAAATAATTATTTCAACTTGTAAAAGATGCATGCTTGCGCTGGACGCGTTCGTCATTCTAATTTACGACTTTCGTCCGCGACTCGTCTCGTTAATGATTTAATTGACACGCTGTCCTGACGTCTTTCGGTTCGTCGGTGCCCCGAAAGCGAAAAGTCGCGCCGCGCCGCCGCCGATTAAAAGGGGTTAAACGATTCTGATTGTTTCGAGGACAAAACAATCTCATCAGCGCTGCGCACAGCTTTTGCAACTTACACTTTTAAGCATACAAATAAAGTATTTTCAATAAAACATAGAAATTTTATTGTTTTCTTAGAAATCCGCGAGAAAATGGAAGAAAAACGTCGAAAACTATCACAAATTCGACTGGAATCTGTCCTGCCTGATGAACTCATCGAAAACACTCCATTAATCAATGTTTTCACAGCGACGGTCATCGATCCAAAGAATATCTCCAAAGTAATACTTGAAATAAACCAGCTGCTACCAATTCCAGACTTGCAACATTTAAAACGAATGAAATCTAGGAACATTTTACTTTTTCCTGTTGCATGGATAGATAATTCCACAAACGAAGAAGTTAGAAATTTTTTACAAACAAAAAACATCTCTATACAATATTTAAACATAGAAGATATAAAAACAGTCTCTGTAGCTGCAATTCCACCGAAAACTAAAAGTCAGTACACAGTCATCAATCAATTATGGCCGTGCAACTTTCACAGCAACAAATATCTGGAGCAACTCGTAGAAAACACAATATTTTCATCCGAAGAACTAGAAACACACACGAAATTCCTCCGATTAGCGATGGAAATTCGAAAAAAATCAAACGGAAATAAATGCGGCGTGATTGTGACAGATCCTCAAAGAAATGACCTTATTTTATCAGGCGGATACAGTATGGCTGAGAAAAATCCAATTCTACACGCTGCGATGGTTGCGATAGATGGCGTTGCGAGAACACAAAATGGCGGAGCATACAATGAGTACCCAATCGATATTGACTGGGAGAATCTTCTTCAAGGTGACTTTAAAGGCGTTGCTGTCAAAGAGAAAGTAAACAATGTTTATGAAATCGATGAAAGTGAATATTTATGTACGAATTACAATATTTACATGACTAATGAGCCGTGTACGATGTGTGCGATGGGGTTGATCCACAGTCGAGCTAAAAGAATATTCTATATTTATCCAAGTCAAAATGGCGCATTGGGTACAACGTGTAAAATTCACGCAGTGAAAGATCTCAATCATCATTATGAAGTGTTTAAAGTTGCAGCAGAAGATATAGATTATTTCCAATGTGAATAAAATAAAATAAAATAAAATAAAGTTTGATGTTTGATGCGTTGCGTGTTCGTGTTTCACTCGGCGGTAACAATTAAATGTTTATAAGTTGCGCAAAGTGTACGCGAGCAATTATCGCTTGTTATCATCGCGAGCGCGGCATATTTCGACGCGCCTCTCATTTCTTTAAATACTGCCTTTGATTTATGCCGTTTTTTTTTTTGCTCTTCGCCCAAAACGCGTCTTTGCGCAATTGATTAGCGCGCGTTTTAAACAAGACTTTAAAGCTGGTGGAACATCGAATTCTACACTATGGACCAGCATAAATTACTAATGATAATATTTTCTTATTAAAATTCATAGATGCGTAGTTGCTGGATGGTAGTAGCTAGTAAGTTGCGAAAATTTAAAAATAGAACCGTAATTGGGATTTATTTGCGCGATTGTTTAGCAGTATTTGGTCGCAGGAGATAAATTTCAATTGTGGCAACTAGGATATTGCTATTTTTAATTAAAATGACATTTTTCGGAGTGTTTTCTGGGTGTTGGAAAGGAGGGAAGTGGAAAATATTGCGACAAGTTCAAGTTAATTGACATTAAAAAATTATTTCGACCAAATTTTTACATTTAAAATCAGTGGCGTGACTAAAATAATATATTTAATATCAAGTGCGCTAAATGACACTTTATGAGTACTTTAGTCACGACCTTGGCCGTCAGTGTCACTTTTCCTGTTTTGAAACTGTGAAAAAATTGTGACAAAAAATTATTTTGACCAAAATTTTACTTTTAACATCAGTGGCGTAACCAAAAAATTATTTTTTCTTTGTTTAATTAATATTAAAACTTTAGTCACATCTCTAAATCTGAATTTTATATTTAAAATATGATTACTTATACCTCGGGGTCTAATAATTGCATAATTTATGAAATTCAACCAGTTTTCTTGATTGTATGATTGATTTCTCTCTATGTATTTGTTCATAAGTGCATTTTCTAGAATCGACCACAAATTACACGCCCGACTGCTAATTAACGAAATCCATTCGCCTCGACAAAGCCAACGAGTTATTCATATTCTTGTCCGTACGAATGTGAGTGTTGCATTAGCATGTGTCAATGCTAATGCGTCGGACCTCAACGGATCAATTAAATCAAGTGCCTCCGAACGTATTGTGTTCACAACTGACTCCTGCATGCTTGCATAATCAAATAATTTTTATATGAATATAAATCAAAACCACAGAAAGACGAAAATATTTCATACCTTTAATCATTCAATCAACCTGCGAGCTCCACAACCAGTTTCATTAATATATGGAAATTGATCACTTCTTGGAAATCATTATACTATTCAATATACGAAATGAAATTACAACTTAAAAAAAAGTTTTATATTAATTTTTATTAGTACTTTGGTATTTCCCATAATAAATTTATAATAGTTTGCATATGAGGAAGTAAATAAGAAATAAATTTAATAGAAACCCACTTAACCTTATCTAAAATTCACAGAAACACAACATAACCTAAAAAATAATGACGACATGTTGCGCATTGCAATAAATTTGAGTTCATTCAATTTGTGATTTGTAATTCAAATTCAAGTGCGGATTTTCCACAGTCAATAAAAACATCAACGGCATGCACAAACTACAAACAGTTTGATTTCCGTAGATAGCAATAATGCAACTATTTTATCATTGCGCTATTCACAACTATATTAATGTAGTTTTCAAGTTAATTGCACGTCAGTAAATCAAATCTACTCGTAATATGAATAGCATGAATAGGATTACGACACTCGGGACAATACTTGAACTTTTAATGGCTTGCAACATTGTAAAACAAAACGGTTTACTACAAATCAATCACTCGGCGTCCGTGTTATCGCAATTTATGATTTTAACTCGCGCATGCGCAGTAATAATCTAAAAATTATGAAAATTATGTTGCTTGATATAAATTTTGTTTCATTTATTCGGCATTCATTTTTAATATACGATTTTTAATCGCTCGAATTTCAATGTCGTCATTATAACACGCCGCCTAATTACTAGCCACTTCAAATTGCGCGCCAAGGTTTCCTTAATAACTCATAATACTTGATTCTTTTGTACTTCACAGTATATTATCCATCTTAATATATAACATTCGAATCTTTAATTTTGTAAATTATTGTTTTGTGAGGTGTTAATTGTCATCAACTGCTGATTTAGTGAAAAAACTGCAATAAAACACCTCAGACTGTACGAGTCTACAAAAATTAATTAAATAATTGTATACAGAGCCGTATTAATTACATATTTACATAAAATTATTATTTTTTAGGTTAAAATAATCATAAAAACATAAAAAAATTACCAAAACAAAATATTTTATTAAATATATTGTAAAACACTCTAAATCCATCTCTAATATCGCCTAGGATTCGTAATGATAGTGATTATTTGTTAATGTGTCGATAAATCAACGTTACTCAAGTTAAGTCAAGTTTATAACTTTATGTAAAACCTCGCAGTGGCCGCAGTGTGCGTTCGCTGCGACTCTGAGAATATTAACATTAACATTTAGCGTTGGACCCCCGATGGGTACCCAACACTCAGTGTGACTGAGTAACTTGCGCCGGCGGGTGGGTCCCGGCCTGGCGAATTCGACACCCGCACACACGCCAACCACCACGGGAGCCGGTATATTCGCGCCGTCGACGGCGGGCCACGCGCAGTTATTTGTTAATACGAGTAATGAGCGGAAGCGCTCGCTAAGTTCGCGCGTGCACAATTCACTTAAGTCACCGCAGTATTTAAATCACTCGGATATTAAGGCAATAAGTGACCGATGGAATGATAACATGTGATATCGAATAAGTAGTGATTTGTGATAAGGATAGTTTCGTGCGTTGTGTATGATTTTATTTGTGTGATAATAATGAATGTTAAGTACAAGTACAAAGTCAAGCGCAAGTTGCTTAGGAATATTAAAAAGAACATGTAAGTTTTTGGCGGAATAATGTGATTATTTACATTGGCTACTGTGTTTTAGGAGCGAAAACAAAATTATCTCCGCGACGCGTCGCGTTTTGTTCTTATCTCAAATTCGTTGTTATCCTCAATTGTGACGTTTGCGCGGTTTTTTATTTCGTGCTTGTTGATTTGTCCTCATTAAATTGGTTATACAAATACATCAAATCTTAATAGAACATCGATATAGAATTTTATTTTATATATTGAGGATGAATGTATTCGTAACAAGTTTACTTAATCTAGTTATTAATGAATAACTCGAAAATGACTTAAGTTATTTTAGTTTTTTCTTTTGAGATTTGTTTAATATTAAATTCTGAATCTAATTTTGTAAAAATTTAATTTTTTTGTAATTTTTATCAAAAGTTATTAACATAATTGTAAAATTTTTCAGATTTTTTTTTAATTTTTTAAGTTTTTTATTTATAACTTTTGAATTAATTGTTTAAACAATAAAATATTTTGCCGTTAGATGAAGAATTTAATTCTTGACATATTACCGAAAAAATTATAATTCTATCACAAAAACTTTTAAAGATATTTACAAAAAACCAAACAAAAATTTCTTACTTAATTTCCATCGTTCCAATTGCCCCCAACTAATATCATATCTATTTTCAGGTTCCTAATTTTGGTAAAATAATAACATTTTGCCTAAAACTGGACTTTATGGATGTGATGCTTGCGCGTCTATAAATTGCTAAAGCCGGATTTTAATTAGAGTGCGAGCAGTCCCCAGCGACGACACTCTGCCGAAAGCTAAATTAAAACAAGCGCGCTGCGCCGGCGTGACCGAAGGCGGCGCTGTGAGAAACGTGTAAGCGCTAGGTGCGCGCGCATCCGCCACTTAACTCAAAAGCGCCATCGCATATCGCCGACTAAGCTCACACATTCAGTTCGTGCACGCTCGTGCTTCTATGAACATAGCAACAAATAGATTCCCGACCGAAATAAAACTACATACTAATCAAATAATAAAACAAAGTGACTTAACGATATTATAAAAATTGTTACCGTGCGCGCGTAACAAATGTGTTGCTGAGACTTTGAGTGCGGAATAGGATACCTCTGGTTGATACATTGCTCGAAGTAGTAAAAAATCCAGTGCGCGTCAAAAGTTCGCCAAGACGGCTCGTCGTTAACGCCACACGCGTCGCAATTGCGCCCGAGCTCGAATCATCGCCTTCGCAAAAGGCCCGCCGCGACAACTGTGACTAAAATCCACACACGCACACAACAGGAGAACACCGCCAGACGCACATCGTTCGAGATAAATGGATGTTGGCGAATGTCGCTTCATGATTAGTAAGATGCTGACAATTGACAACACGCGCACGTTCCTCCAGAATCATCGGCAACGGGAGACCACCGGCATCAAGAAGCTGTACAACTCGTTCTTCGTGATGTTCTAACTAGCGCGACTCCAAAACCAGCGGCGCGAACTTCATTCTCGACATTTTTTTCTCTTCACACTCTCTCTAACTCTCATCCTCCAGAAAGTTCATTTCTTTGCTCGTTTTTTTAAACTCTAAATTGCGCCAGCGCGGGCAGTCATGGAACTCCAAATCTACGACTGTAACATTGTTGACAATCATAACAACATCGGCATGGATGAGTACTTCAACTGGACGAATGCGATCAAGATCGACGAGGGCGCGCATACCGGCAAGCTGAAGAAGCGCAAGTGCGCTGATTACGCCGGTGACAACGAGGAGGCGCACAAGCTGCGCAAAAATGGCGACGACAAGCATGGCGCCGACGAGCGGAAGCTCACCAACGGGCATGGCCAGCCGAACAACAGCGCCACCAACGGCACGAACGTCAACACGCAGAATGTCAATGTTAACGGTAGGTGTAAGATGACTTTTTTCAGCATTTCTTTCATTTTTTCCTTGTAACTTTGTCACTTATCATTTGATTTTAAAAATTAAAAAAGCATTCGAAAGATAATTAATTCATCTTCAAAATGGTTCTTATTCAGAATTAATATCTTTATTAGTTTATTGGTAATATTAAATTAAAGTTACAACTACAAATTTTTCCGGAGAAATGAAATCATTTTAGTTTTTCATTCGCCATTTTGTTTCTATCGCTCCAAACGGAAAAATTTATACACCAGCTGAAAGAAGATTAATTGACCTGTCAATTGCCACTTGTTTACATGAGTTGTTTTAATTAGTTTGTTTACAAAATGGCCACAAAGTTATAGCATCACATTTTTTTGACGTCACCTAATCTAAAACGAATTAATCAGATATTTAAAAGCGATTTAATTAAAATAAACGCTTGGATTTCATCCGGTAAACCTGGAGAAAGTTATACTGACATTCTATGAGTGCATAGCGTAACAGTAAAACTCGTTTCTTCCTCGCTAGGGTTTTCTAAACCGAAGTAAACGAAATTAACAGGTCGAAAATTTTACTCGTTCGGCGTCCCAGCAAGACATTATCTTGATTAGACGCTAAGTAAACATCAGCTGACTCGCATAACACTAAATTAAACTGCCAGCCAGCCGGAGAGAGACTGTGCGTTAGGCAATAACAACATATTTGTGATCGCAGTGCGTGCGCGCCTCCGTTTTGAATCGAATTTCAAGCTCAGCTCAATATTCAGCGTTTCGAGCATCGTGCACATGCAGTATGCGCGTGTAAAACGGTAAAACGACGAAAAATCAACATAATTACGCCGATTACACGCTCGCAACGAATTATTATCATTATCAGGTTCGTGAACTTCAAGAGGAGCGCACGGGCGTCACCGCACGTAAAAATATCACCGCGCTTACGCACTTGCATATTGGCCGAGTTAGATTTTTTTATTTTCTTTAAATTTAACTTTTCTAAACGGGCGTATTTATATCGCGCGTGTCTCTTTAGCGTGCGAGTGTAGGAAGAGAACGGTTCGGAAATTTTAAGCAGCTGGGGATTTTCCTTTACTTGTTATTCTTTTACCAACGCGGCGTAATTTATTGGTCTTGCGACATCTTGTTTGTGGAGAATATCAAACCAGATTTGAACAAAATTCAATGCAAATAAAACATTTTTTACTTTTTGTAACAAAAATAAATGTATTACTAATGTACTTTTAAATTCTCGAGGCCTATATGTTTATATTATTATGTTTTATATAACTTTTATTTCCTGGAACGATGGACGCGCGAGATTACAGCACAATTAAGCGCAAAAAGGTTGAATTTACAATTTGTCTCAACGACACCTCGAGAAATGTTTCCATGAGCAACACACACGCGTGTTGGTTGAGTCTTTAGTTTTCTGTGCTTTTGTTGCGTGGTGGCCTTCGGTAGATAAACATTACAACGGCGCGTTGAAGTCAAACGAAGCGCGTCCAGGTTTAAATCGAAATTGTTTTATTTATAACGTACGCATAAACAACTAAAACATTATTTTCAACATCAAATAAACTCAGAAGATTTTTTATAAGAAAATTATTACACCGCGAATTGAGGTTATGCAACACACAATACAATATTTCTGTATTCCGTGGTCGCCGAAAAGTGAGTTAAGTTAAGCAATGTGTAGACTTTTATATTTTATACATTCGACATTGTTAACGCGTTTAAATGTTAACGCAATGCTTCTAATGAACACGCACACGATGTTCGAGGATTTCTTAATTATTAATGTTGCTTACTATGCGCGATACAAGCTTTATGAGCTCGGCTTTAGTGCCTTAAGTTAAGTCACACAAATGAATATGACTTCGAAAACTATTACGTATTAGCTTACAGTCGTAAAGTAATAGACATTAGCACAAGTATACAATGAACTTGGAACAATATTCCAAAACAAATAGACATTTAGTACTTTTATAGGTTAATTTAGGTTATGATACAATATAACCAACATTTTGCATTATTTTAAGGTTATGTTGGCACCCTTGACACAACTGTATGAAATTAAACTATTTTCTTAACTATCACAAGCTGTAATCATCGAATAAATATTGATAATGATATTTAAACTGTGATTTGCAGTTGGAAATTGAAGATTGTGTTGTATTCACGTAAATATTTGCTTATTTTCTGTAGAAATCAAGTATTTCATGGGATTTTGATGCAAATCATGTTAATATTATATTAATAATAATTTCCGGATGTGATACACACAATGTTTTAACGTCCACGTCGATAGTAATAAAAATAAACGCAATTTTATTGTGTGTTTTTGCTGATAACGATCACATAGTAACATATTCTTTAAAATATCACTTATCAAAACAAATTTTGCAATCTCTAATCATAATTATTAATTATCTATGTATTGATATCGTAATCTATCGATTGTAATACCTATTCATTGAAATTTGCTCTGAAAAATAACAAAATTTTAAAATATCTATGATTAACTTAATTTGTAACTTAAGTTAAGTAACAAAATATTTGAATTAGATTAATGTCAAGGAAATTTTCGGTTTGAAATTTTTATATGAATGATTTTTAATTAAAACAATCCCATAAAACTTTGGCGTGCTGCTGTCGTAAATTGATATCACCGCCATAAAAACATTTCTCAGAGTGCGCAGCAGCTCGAATGTAAACAAATCGGCGTGTGATAACAGCAGTTAACGCAGCACATGTCGAAAGGCTATCACTTTTCGATTACCGCCATAGAATCAACGCATTACATTCGTACCGCACAAGCGCTAAACGTAAGAATTGAATTTATAACTTTTTCATTCCTCACTAACAATCATTTGATTTTGTTGCATTATGATAGAATGATTACTCGCCTAACCAGTTTGCAATTGAATACTAGAAGTTGTTGGGAATTGTGTGACTTTTCCAGGAATAGATTTGCATTGATATTTGCATATTTATTGACGTAAAATGAGTCAATTGCGACGCAACTTTGATTTTAAGCCAAAAATTCGCGTTATTTGACTCATACTGCCATCTAGGAAGATTTTTATGGAGTGTTAGATAAAAATGACTTGTTATTGTGTTTATATTTTGTTTTATTACTTTATTTTCTTCTGTGATAAACAAGCAAACCGCAATAAATGCTAAATGTTAACGTCTGCGAGTTCACGTTTTGCAAACACTTCCATCGTCGGCATTCATTAATAAATTAATAAAACTAACGTAGAATGACGAGGACACGATGCGAATGGCGCCCGACACGTGCATATATTGTTTATTTAGCATTTAAATCGATAATTCATTGGATTTTATTGCGGTTTCTTGAAAATTACATCATTTTTCATATACTGCGCCATCTACGAGCAAAATTTACAACTTTTTTAGTCTTGTGGTTAGAATTATTAGGTTATAAAGTTACTAAATGTTCAAAAAGTCCAAGAAATCATTTAAACATTGTTTATTTAACGTTTAAATAAAGATTTTCTTCAAAATTTAATTTTTTTATACTACTGCGCCATCTATAGAAATATAGCTGTAGATTATGGGTAGTAAAGTTAGGTTACATCGATACTAAATGAATAAATGTGAGTGCAAACAACACAATTTGATATAAACGGTCAAGTCGTGTCAAACAAATAACGCCACTGTTCACTTGGTCAAATATAAGCGCGGCGGCTGGTAATGAGCTCGAAAATGAAAATATTCAACTGGCACAGGCGTATCTGTCGATAGCAGATAGTCGAGTGTTGTGTCTCGGGTCCCGAGTCCATGTCAACGGCACTGTGACACTAGCAGCGAGCAATTAGAAAATAAATATCTAGCAAGTTAACAAGTACATGAAGTACGCATGTATGTGAAGTATTAAGTACGATTATAAAGTGTGTGCATAAACAACGCGGCGCAAGGCACAATTTTATCGTTAATTTATTCCGTCCGCCGTTGCTCCGAGCACGTTTTCAGTTGAATTCGAGTGCGCCTACGAATTGATCACTAATAATTTATTAATTACTATCAATTACAACAATTGCGTTTTAATTGAGTATAATGGACCGTGTGATTTGCGATTTTTTGTGTTGTGTGGGGATTTTATCCGTGGCGCTGTCGTCGACTGAAAATTTCTACAAAAAAGACTTTTGTGAAGTTTTAAATGTTTAAATTGTTTCTGGTGGCTGCAAAATCGATTCCGGTTGAATTATGGAATATTTGATAAAGTGTACGTGGTATTTTTTGGTTAAAGATGCATAACTGGTTGCATAATAATTGCGTTCTGCACTTATACCGTAACTCATACATTGATTTATAAAATTAACATTTTTTAAATAAAATATCGCTAGTTATGACATTCCTGATAATAAAAAGGAATGAAAAGAATGAGTTTGCGCACTTCAGGTGTAAATTAAGTTCGCTAAATTTAGCAAATTGGTAGATGCGCGTTTTGCACGTTACTTAAACAATTATATATTCGAAATATTGACATTTTTGTAAATTTTACTCTTCTTAATTACTTTTGACCTTGAAATTTCACTCGTGACGCATTTGAAGACAGCGTTGACGTACTTCCCGCGCAGAAAAAAGAAACTATTCGCGAGTTTAACGTCCGGAAACTATTTGATTTTTTATTTTTGTTTGGTGTGCCAAATTCACTTTTAAATTTATATGCCAACATTTTACCCAATAACTCTGCATGTCTGAAAAATGTAGTGTTTGATAAATAAATCTGTTTTTGGCTAGCAATATCCATTACGCACCCATTAGGAAGCTAGACGGTTGGGACGATAACCTAGATTGAAAATACACCATGCGTAATTTATGCAGCCAAACATAGAATTTGCGAGGAGTTGTGCGTCAGTTGTAGGCAACCCACGTTACATCAAAAGTAGACAAATACATGAATTTCATACTTTTAGTCTTTCCGGCGACATATTCTTTTTAAATGATGTCAAAACATTATATAACAATGGAAATTCCACACATTTCTGTAATATCTACCCCTGGAGATAATAAACTCGTCAAAATCTAGACAGTATCAAACGTGGTATCATAAATATCACAGTATTGTTTTATCTCCACTTGATTCTAAACATAGAAACATAGAAAGGTGAATATTAACATGTTTAGAATGAAATTTATGTCGGCAATGAGCAATTTAGCAAATTCGCAATCGATTAGCAATGCAAATGTCCCCCGATGACAACACTAACACGGTACCTAACTGAACTTGCAACCTGCAAGATTAGCAAATATTTTCAACGTTAATACCGTAATAAAATTCATTTATAAATGATCAGCGAAAAGAGTACTTTAAACGTCGAATGCGAATCTAGTTCAAGGACGCCGTCGATTTCATTTATATGATCAAATAATCTCTAATATTCTGTAGGATATGTGATTTGTAATTTTTTTATCCACGAGCTGTGCTGATAAGCTGCGAATCGATGCGTGAATCGACTTTGGTCATATGTTATTAGGCACTCAACATGCGTAAACGTGTTTGCAATCAAATAAACTAACCGAAAATGACTTAACTGCCAAGCGGATGATCGGAAATCAAATAAAATTCAGTAAATATGTTCGATGAAGAACCGTTCAACAAATCTCAGGCACAGCAATCAATTGTTCGCTACGAGTGTTTATCGGCGTAATTACAGATGTTCTTTTGTTTTCAGGCACGTCCAGAATGCCGCAATGGCAAGTCGACGACATAACCGACCTGAACGCCGATATCGAAGGCTCTTTCAACGGCCTCACCAGCGGCGATCACTCTAATAATTCATTCAATATGAGGTATGTGACATTTTTTATTCGGCGCGCATAATATAACCAATATTCGTCATCATCGTATGCAACCAAATAAACACATATTTACATTGGGATTGTTTTTGTGTTATTTTTGCAGTGAGGCTATTTTATCATTGTCCAACATGGCAGTTCTTAAACAGGAGGCTCCTTCACCACCCAATGATTATCGCCAGCAGGCACACAGCCCAAATAACCAGCATTCGATGAATCAAGAGAACAGCAATGGCGATCAGGGGACGAACGCCATGTTGAATGCCACCATTCAACAGTTATTATCGCACAGTGGATTTAATTCGACTCCCAATGCAATTGAAGGTAATTTATGAACAAACCATTAAAACAAAGAGTGAAATAAATTGATTTATGTCATTTTAAGGACATGCATTAAACGCATCCAATCAGGACTCGTATGGATTTGCGGAAGACTGCAGATTCCAATATGTCCTTGCTGCCGCCACCAGCATCGCAACAAAACTCAATGAAGACACTTTAACTTACCTGAACCAAGGACAAAGTTATGAAATCAAGTTAAAGAAGTTAGGAGATTTGTCCATGTATAGAGGAAAGCTGCTTAGGGTAGGCAACCAAACATACACTTATTCAACAATAGCTATAAATGTATTACTTTCACATCTAGAGCGTTATTAAAATTTGTTTCCACGAACGACGCCTGCAATACATGGAAAAGGAACAGATGACGTCCTGGCAGCAGTCACGACCCGGCGATCGCATCCTCGAAGTGGACGTGCCACTTTCCTACGGCTTGTGTAACGTTCAGCAACCCAACAATGCACTAAACACAGTGCAATTCAGTTGGGACCCAACTAAAGAAGTTGGTGCCTACATAAAGGTACTATATACTTAAGTCATTGCCTCAAATGTAAGTTAATTAAGTTTGTTTGCATCAGGTTAATTGTATTTCCACTGAATTCACACAAAAGAAACATGGCGGCGAGAAAGGCGTACCTTTCCGCATCCAGGTGGAGACTTACCAAGCCGGGGACGCTTTTGACTCCCCGAAACGTCTCCACGCCGCTGCGTGCCAAATCAAAGTCTTTAAACTGAAAGGCGCAGATCGCAAACACAAACAGGACAGGGAGAAGATCCTCAAGAGGAGTCTCACTGAACAGGAGACGTACCAACCGAGTTATGAATGTACCGTTTTGAACGATGTAAGATTAACCATAAATTTTGCGTTGGATATTGATGTTATAGTGAAATGTAATGTTGGTTGCAGATACCGAACGATTTATTGCCTTCAACTCCGCCTATTGTCGCACCATACTCACCAGACAGGTAAATAAATTGTTTTTCTTACACATTCACATTCACACAAGTGTTAAACACAAAATGGCGATGCGGAACAAATTCGAAATCAATTAAGACCTTATTTTCTTGCATCATGTGATGGCGAAGCAAGAGTCACGCGCAAACGAAACAAAATGGAGTGATGGGATAAATTAATATTACAAACAAGCGCTGTGTGATTTGTTGCGAGTTGAAAGATGGAAGGATATCACGCGTGCGTGGGGAGTGCGTCTCACGTGGTTGCGCCGCTCTTCGCCGGTTCGATTCGATTTTAAATCAAATAGTAAGAACCGCCCCAGTCCGGTCTGAACGAACTTGCGCTCGTTGTGCATGTTTGCCTTTTGATCTCACCAGCAATGGAAATAACTCAATCAATAATGTCAATGATATTGAGGAGGAAATCAATCAGGAATCAAAACAACTAAATTAATATTCAATAATGGCTGCTGTGTACGTGCATACATGGTTGCCTATATTAAATAATTCATTATTATTGAAATGTTTGTTTTTTGCGCGCGGACGTCACGTAAAGCAACGTGCGACGTATTTTTTCGGCGCGTTTCGTCACGAAGCTCGTTTGATTTTATGATTTAATGTGGAATCGAACGAAATTCCGGTTAAGACCGGGCGAAACCGTGGCCAAACATGCACACTCACACGCAGCTAGCGCGCGGTCGTCGAGTGCGACGCATACAATCGCGGAACACACGAAAGAGAAAAACCGCACTTAATCTAGTTTGAACCAAACGCGAACGCCGCGCATAAACCACGAGCTTTATCATTATCGTTACGTCGCGATTGTCGACGCAAAAAAAAATTATACTTAAAACCGACAAAAATGTCCCAACTGGTTAAAACTGACAAGAAAAACAATAGAAATTGAAATATTTTGACGGGAAAATTTATTTTGCTAATTTTTTTATGAGTTTTTTAATTTGAAAATAATAAAATGAGTTTTTTAATGTTTTTTTAAAGAATTTTCATTTTTATTCATTAAAACTGTTGCCATACGGTGGCCATTTAGAAAAAAGTGCGATTCTTTCATTAATTTCAATAAAAACCTAATAAAAATGATAATTAACGTCGGAAAACCAATAAATAATTAATTAAATCAGCTGATTGAAAGTAAAACCTGCGAAAACGTTGTTTCCAACTCAAAATCGTTTGTTTTTCGCAACTTTTGAAGAAGTAAAAGTCACTTTTTAAATTTTTACAACTGCGAGTGACTTAAAAGTCACATAGCTGAATATGTGTGTAATATTTACCGAGTGCGCGCGCGGTGTGTGTTTGTGCGATTAATAAATAAACAGCGTTCTATAAATAGCTCTCGGCTCGTATAAAAATAGTCGCTTGGTTTGCGGCGCGCGCCAGTGGCGTACGCACGTGACCAACAGCGCGCGCACTCCGCATTCGCAATTTCGCGCTCACACTGCTTGAACACGCAGCGCGCGCGCCACTGCTGCGCAGCGCTCGCACCGAATTAAACCGCTCATTCCTGGCTGAACTGGTTCGAACCGGCGCGCGCGCTCATCGCCGCCTTCGACGCGCATACTCCGTCGTCCGCTGAGTTAATAATACTCGCCTACTCGCGTGTGCTAGTCGAGCTGTAGCTGCGCAACTAGCTCAAGAGAAATACAAGTACAAGTTGGTTTTTATTAAAACGTTTAACGTCAAGAGTTTCAAGCGAAAACGTTTCGTGCTTGGTACGGCGCCATTTTGATGTAGTTTGCGCATTAATATGTTGCCGAACTAGCGTTGTGTGCGAATCGGGGTTTGTGCTTACGTACCTTTTGTACCTGGATGAGCCGGCGCTAATGTACGTACGCAGGTGGCGCGCGTTCCGCAGCGGATACAGTAAGCATCAGCAGCAGCAACAGCAGCAGCAACATCACCAGCGCACGACGCGCAACAAGTGCTGGCACAAGAGCAGCGTCTTTCGTTCGGATCAGGAATGGTTGCGCAGGAACTCATCGCTGCGCCATATCCTCAATACGCTGAGCACGTCCGCCGACCGCCGGCGTTACTTCATGTACTTCCGGCCGCTGCTGGTGCTCGCGCTAGAGCCGGAGGATTGCTGCGCGCGCTAAGCAGATGACGATCGGTTGAACGCCGCGCATCCACCCCCAAGTGTGCTGGTGTGCCGTGTGCCCGAGAAAGTTTTATACGAACGTTGCTGCTGCGCATGCGCGGCTCCCCAGCGTGTCCGAAATGTATCTGCTGATACACACGATGACGATCACCGAATATGACTACGTGCTGCAGGCGCAGTTCGTGCACACCGTGCCAGATGGTGCGGCGTGCGCGCAAAATGGCGTCCGATGCGGTGTGATTGCGCGCCGTATGCGGCTGCGGTTGAATACCGCGTGTAATGGCGGCAGTCGCGTCAAGGCGCACCTGCAGCGTCTGCAAATGCGCACGGCGTGCCCCAATCTCAAGTCGCTCATGAAGGCGAGCAAGGGGAATGTTAGGCATCACTTGAGAGCTATTAAAATGTATGAATACAGGCACACAATCATAACCAAACCTTAAATAACTAATCTATTTTAATCAGATTATAACCTTACTTCTTTTAATTTTAGTGGTAATCAAGCGCCAGCGTTTCAAAATGTGCAGATAGATGAAGCGATGGTTTCTCTATCGCCTGCGTCGTCCCACCACAGCGAGAAGCAACCGGAGGTTGAAACTGTAAGTAAAACACAACATAACCTTAAATCTCAACTGCAATCTATAATTTTATGTATTTTCATAGGGAATAGTTGTGGATAGCTTACTTCCAGCTTCTAATCCTCAACAAACCGTCACTTGGTTGAATACCAATCGCTTCGAGAAGTTTGTGTCAACTTTTACAAACTTTTCCGGCGCCGATATGCTGCGCATGAGCCGCGATGACTTGATTCAGATCTGTGGACACGCCGAAGGCATTCGGCTGTATAATGGGTTGCATTCTAAGTAAGCACACAATACACAATTAATCTTTACAAATTTCTAACCCCTAAACTTTATTTTATTTTGAATTTTTTGTATTTTACAGGACAGTAGCACCCAAATTAACACTCTACATGTGCAAAGAAAACTCAACAGTTTTCAACGCAATTTTTCTCCAACGCTTGAGCAATCACGAACTCATCCAGAAATTATCAGCGTTGTTGAACGTCCAAGCAGATAACGTCAAAGACATCTACGTGCATGGCCCGCAGATGATCCACGTGCAGCTTAATTCTGAGATGATGCAACATCTTAAAGATGAAACAATGTTCAACGTTGAGATTATCAACAGCAACTCCGATGGGAAGTTTGTTATCTTATTGAAACCCATCAATAAGAACTAATGTATGCAACCATACATACAGAAATACATAATTAGAGCTTAAACGTATTAGAAATGTCAGAAAAATGACAGCCATATATAAAATGATTACAAAATGGCGGAAGACCAAAGCACTTAAACTCACCTAACTTAATATACGTTAATTACTTGTTAAATTGTGCATGAAATGATGGATTATGAGAACATTATCTTATCTCTATAATAATATTTACTTGTTGCTAGGTTATCTATGATATTTGATTGTTGTAAATGTTTTTTGTTTACTCGTTTGAATTAAAACTGGTTACATCTGTACTTTTAACTAGTTTCGAGAGGTTTTATCAAGTGATTCAAATTGATTGTCTTTTATTTTAACTTTCCAAGTTTAATTTTACTTTATGCTAATTTTTACGGAGGTGTAATTAATATTAAACAATATTTTAGGTTTAAAGTGAATATTAAGTATAATTGTATATTTTAAGATGATTACGACTGCAATACCATGCATTTAAAATGATTGTCGCGATGATTGCGCAATCAGCTAAAGGAAAGTTAAGTTTTATATAGCTTTGTAGATGATTTTCGTTGGTTTTACGTTTTATTTAGCATTCTAGAGAGTTGTGAGGCAAGAATTCATGCATATCTTTAAACTAGCGTCGTTTGATGCAATTTTATTTTATATACTTGTAAGCTGCTAACAAAATTGTTTTTGATTCGCTTTATTAGTGTGCTATGTTAACAATGTTTTAAGTTTAAGCCCACTCAAGAATTAGTGCTATTATTTTGTACCTAAGATAATTTTAATATTGTTTTGAGGAGATTTTGTACAGCAAACGTTTTTAGCTGCAGATTGAGTTAAAATCTTTAAATATTTTATAACGTGTTAAAGTTTATAAATAGATCTCCGGGAATTTAAAGAGATTAACTTAAGAGACAATGCAATGGGTGCGATTTGTATTGATATGGTGGTGCCATTCATTTGTATTATGTATATTTACTTTGTTATTAATTAATTATAAAATAATTTCATCAAGTTTCGTATTTTTGACACGCGGTTTGTTTTACAGGTTAAATGGGTCAAGTTATTGCAAGATAGTTCTGTTATTAGAAAGAAATACGTAAAACTAACTGCAATAAATAGATTGTTTGTAATAAACAATTCAAAATCACAACAATTTATTGAGTAATTTTAAACAATAATAATATTGATGATTTATTATAGGCAACCCACATTACACTTCGCACACATTAAAACGCACAATATGGCGTCCCGTTAGCAGTGTGTCAACAACGTTTGTTTCATGCCAAAAAATCTTCCACATTGAATCTTTGGCGACAATCAACTGGAAACCTATAACTAATTAATTAAACAACCAATTTATGAGTGCATCGTTTGTTGTCGGGTATAATACAAGAGTGTATGACATCCATGAATTGAAAATGTAATCAACAATAATGCGTTTACGACACAAACACGATAAACATTGCGATTGCGAGTTGTGAATACATAGTTTGTGCCTTGCGATGGGGGCTGAGGTGGAATTCAACAGTATACACTTCGAGAAGAAGCTCTCAGGCCTTAAGGATTCCCAGGACAGCATTAACGCCGCCTGCATCTGGTGTCTGGACCATAAGCAATATCACAAGAAAATCGTCGCCACTTGGCTCAGCGTGCTGAAACGGGTAAAAGTGGAGCAGCGCCTCACGTTATTCTATCTCGCCAATGATGTGATACAGTATTCCAAGCGGAAGAACTATGATTTCGTTGAGAGCTGGGGCACTGCTCTGCAGAAGGCTACAACACTTGTGAGGGATGCCAAGGTGAAGAATAAAATTCTCAGGATATTCAAGATTTGGGAGCAGAGGGGCGTCTATGGAGAGGAATTTATTAGTGATTTATCAGGTTTGATCAGTGTTAGTCCTTCTACGAAGAAAGTTGATGAGAGTCATGAGTTTCAAGTGAGTTTTGTTGAATATTTTTAGAGGATTGTTAATTTATGAGTGTTTATATTTGCAGTCAGCACATTTGGTTGGGAAAATTCGAGTTTGTGCCAAGCTGGAGGCGGAAACCGATAAGAAACTGCAATCATTTAAGCAGCACAATCCTAAAATGCAAGATGGTGAAGCATTGATGAATTCTCTCAAAGGTAACAACGATTTTTTAACTTATTTTTGCCTGTTTTATGCATAAAAACATTGTTTTTGGGTGTGTTTCTTACATAAAAATGTGTTTTTGTGAATTTTAAATTGTTTTTAATAGAATAATGTGACTTTTAGATAGGGCACACGTTGATGATGTAGAAAAAGAAATGAATGAATACGTTAACCACATGGAGAACTACATTGAAGCCCTCAAAACCGAAATCAAAGCTCGAAATAGTCTAATCAATCTTCTTATAACCGCTGATACACAATTAGAAAAGGATCGAAAGGATGTTAAAGTGGTTGCAACGGTATGTTCAAAACATTCTCATTTATCTATAAATTAAAATTCAATGTATTTTAGGCATATAAATCGTTTGCAACGCGTGTGAAATCTCTCCGGAAAAAACTCGATGAAAAACGCGCAACTCTCAACAGCCCGATACCCTCCCCCGACGTGAATGCGCCATCACCAAGCCCAGACTCCGATCTCGACTTACCCGATAACAGCGCACCGTTCTCAACAGCATCAGGCACCACTGGTATGCCCACACAAAATGACAGCACCTACCCGAATGCAGGTTTCTACAATCAAGCGCAGCCTACCACCGACACATCCGCGAGTTTTATGAATAACATGAACAACAGCTTCAGTAGTTTCATCGGTACAGGCATGACGTTCAGTTTAAACTCTGGGCAGACAAATGTCGATCCCAAAGCGGCGAATGCGCTCACAAGTTTGTTTCCGGCCATTGCAAATCCCCCACCTCCACCTGCTCCAGTCCCGGTGCCAGCGCCATCTGCGCCAAACTATAACTATAGTAATAATATGCCACTAGCTCCGCCACCTTTACCACCATTCACAAATGAAGTGTACAATGATTACGGCAACAGCTACGGTAATGGTTCATACAATGAATCGGATCCTTATTACAATAATTCGGGTTATGATGGAGGAGTATCTGATTATAATACGCCTACAAGTGTAAGTCATGCGCCGTATAAAGTAGATGAGTACAATCCGGAGGAAGAAGTGGAAACATGGGAGAATAACGAGTGGGATGGACCACCGACGACTGTAGACACGCCTGCAAGTCCACCTCCATTGAGTAAAGAGGCTTTTATTGCTCCGATTGAGTATCACGAAGGACAAAGCATTCCTGGAGCTGTAGATGTTGATCATCGGATCATGTTAGGCATGAATAATAATACAGGTATTAAAAAATTCAATTTCTACTGCAAAATATTTATTTTTTTTTTGTTTAAATTTAGATAATACAGACATTGATCATAGAAATTTGATCAGTTTGACTGGATCCCCGAAGGATACACACAATAAAGACGAAAATCCAGAACCTGAATGGCATGAACATGTAATTATTGTTGATTTTAGGTTATTGCGATCTAGGTTATGTTATAATCCATCAAATTTTAGGCTTTCTCTCGTAGAAATAAAGATTTTCGCCCATCGCGCGATAATAACGAGTCTATCGACATGGATCTCAGCGATGATGACACCGGCGAGCATACACACATGCATGATCAACAACCTAAGAAAGGTTTATTACCTCCACCGCCATTCCCAATTGATTTGGACGCGTATGATCAGGATGGCATTGATGATGAGATGTGGCAACGTCAAACCCCGTCTGTTGCAAGTGAAGCCCGTTGGGCAGGTGGGTCCGCAGCGCCCCCTGGTGCCTCACTGCTAGGCACACCAATGACACTGGCGGAAGGGGCCATGATGCGCGGAGGCGGTGCGCCACGTCGAGCTCACCTCCATCAGACTACGAAACGCTTGCACGCAAACGGCGGCCGCGGTGAGTTTAATAATCGGGGCGATTTCAGAGACAATGGTCGCGGACGTTTTCGCCCGCAAGGCCCCAGCGCGAAATTTGGTGGACGTGGTGGTGCCGGTTGGGGACAGCCGGCGATGGCGCCGATGCGTGGGTCACGCGGTGGCCGTGGTTTCAATCGGTTTCGATACTGAATTCTACCGGTTTATCCTTGAATTATCTTAATATCTTAAGAAATGCAGGCAGAACACTGTTGTAAGTGAATTGCAAGGTAATACGTGAGTTTAACGTAGGCGAATGACGAAGGAATCTAGCAGGATTTCTGTCTCGAAACACAAATATGTATAAAAATTGTTAAAAAGTACTGAACACGGACGCACACAGACAAAAGTCCGTACTCCGAACTAGTTGTAAGCCGGTTTTGAGTGATCTCCAACGAGCGTGTAGCGTGAACATATTGTTTAGGTTAAGCACTTCCAAGATGGCGTCTTGGAATGATTTTCTTTTGTTAAAGGGCCGCCTCAGTTGCTTATGAAATCGATGCGCACGATTCACAACACATGAAGACGTATACTTATAAGAATATGAAAACCCTTTGTATATATCTTTAGAACTTTAGCGTGTAAGCAAGAAGAATTTCTCTTAGATTTATTAATACCATATTACAACAACTTACTTAATCCAACCAAAAAAAAAAATGCATACATACATTATATTAGACGCAAACGGAGTGAAAAGATGAATTATCTAAGCAACCGCTGCACACATTATTGTAATAATCGTTCTGTATGAAATATTCACTCATTCTGCATTTAACATGTTGGTTTCGACTCGATCCTTTGCGTATTTCGAATGTAGCAGTAAAATAATGATAAAAATTTCCACCGATGCGCTGCGGCCATCTTGGAAATTTGAAAATCCCAGCCATTGCATAAGAGTGGGGATGGTTTGGAACTCGGCTAAGACAGGACCGTACACATATTCATTTTAAATTATTGAATTTATTGCTACATGAGATTTGATAAAGGCGACAGTTAAACGCATATTGATTGGATTGTTTCACGTGGCATACCCAACTTCGGAGACAGTTGTGGTGGTGGACGATGGCGTTGAATTGGGATAATCAAGAAAGGCATTCCCGCGCTCCCTGTGATTATTGCCTATGTCACACACCAACGCTGTGAGCTCGCCGCTGAATGGCAGCGGATTCTCAGCGTTGGTATCTTCGATAATATCATTGAGTACATGGATGAGACTATCCGTCGCACGCTCCGAGTCGAGGAATTGCATCAGCACCTGCGTACTGGGCATGCATGAGCAGTACTCTTTTTTGGCACCACGGCGCTGCGGTTCATCGAAACGCTTATGAACAACGTTGTTGAAAATGGACGTCAGTGAGCGAATACAACGAGTTGTCTGCAAGCTACGCATCTGTTGCTCTTTGTCCAGGCGCACGAATTCCGCAGGAGTGAGCGCTGTTAGTTTGTCAATGAAGCGGCCATTACGTGCGAAGTCTTTCGGTAACTCCATATTACCACCACCGATGAGATTTGCGAATTTGTTGCGGTTACAATTTCGGGTCAGGAATCTCATTGTTGGGAGTGTACGACGACACCAGCCTTGCCGAGACAAGTATTCGCAGTGTACGACGTTGCTTCGTTTCTTTGCGCCAGCGAAATTGCCTAAAACGAGTATTTTTAGTCGGCCATTTTGAATTTGAAGTAAATTCTCACCTTTGATGATATGTATTGATTTGTGATAATGAGAAGGTCTGGGACATGTGTGGATTTGCGGTGTTTTGTTGATCGGCACACCATTAACCATTAAATACAACAAAATGGCGACGACAAGCAGACCTATTAGATTCTCAAGCATGCAATTCCAGCGCGAAGTATAGGATATTGTATAGGTTGACCCTAAGAACTTCAGCAAATCCGCCTGCCACGTGTACATGCTGCGACGAGTTAAATTACCATGTTTTATGATTTCCACCAGGCGCAAAACCGCATTCTTTTGAAATAATTAAATATTCCGCGATTGAAATGTATAACTGAATTTCCGAATTAATTTTTATAACAATTAAATTGACATTTTACGATTTGGACATTTATATGTTAACTAGATTTATACCAAGGGTTTTCGTATTGTTGTAAGTGCGGTCCTGTGTTGACTGAATCGATATGTGCAATATGGCCGCCAACTTTGTATGAAATGTGTAAAACGCTACTATTATGAGATGATTCTGCTATAGTACGTACTATAGTACATAACAAAACGTCTGATTGAGTTTTAAACCTCTAAAAATACAAATTTTAAGTAGTGTGGTTAATAATTTTAAGGAGATAATACTGGCAGGATTTTATAAGAAAACGCCGCAGGATTTGTATCATCAGCCGAAATAGCTCAGTTGGGAGAGCGTTAGACTGAAGATCTAAAGGTCCCTGGTTCGATCCCTGGTTTCGGCAATCGTTTTTGTTAACCAGACATATTTCTCAAGTTAATCTGTGATATCTAAACTAGTTTTATAAACAAATTATGCAAGACCTGAAAGTTTTAAGTAAATAAGAAGTATTTCTTGTATATTGATGCAAATAACTCTCGGAGACGAATAAAAACCCCAAGGTATTTTGTTAAACAGGTAAAGAAGGGTTTAGTCAGATTAGCAGGATTAAAATTTGGACCAAATGGTCAAAACAGCAGGTCCCACCGAGATTTGAACTCGGATCGCTGGATTCAGAGTCCAGAGTGCTAACCATTACACCATGGGACCCTTCGTGAGGGGTAGTTTAATTCGGGGTGTTTTCAACCTGTTCCGGAATTTCTGCGCACGCTCCATATGCAAAAATAAAGCAAAAAGTTGCGCAAAGTTAAAACGAAGGATATTGATGTTTACGGATGCATTCAATGTGAAATCTTAGAGTTATTGATTGAATTATTTGTCATATCCTTGAAGAGATATAAAATTTATGCTTGCAGTTTGTTTATAAATCGAAATTTTATTGTTTATTGCACATTAATTTAACTGGCAATGAAAACTTTATAGTATATAAAAAATAAGTAGGAATATAAAGCAAATTAAGTTACTATTGGATTATAAACATTATTTTACTAAACAACGAATAGTTTTGAATGAGATTTGTTATTGCAATAACGGAAAACTTTTGATATAAAAGTTTTAGCGGTAAATTTATGACATAACCTTTAAATTCGTTTACTTCAGTTGATTCTGATTCTCTGCTGTTTTCTCAACACATCACATTGCAACAATATTAATATTAATTGTGATAAATAATAACAAAAGTAGAAACGTACTAGTTTCATAACTGTCACACACGGCACATTACACAATATATTTTTTAGATTTATTATTTATTGAGGTGAATATTATCTCTCTGCGATAAAACTGCAATTCACTAAGAATTAATAACATTTTCTTATTATAGGAATATGAACGCAAGCTGCATCATCTGCTCAGATACATTTACAGCAAGAGCTGAGATTTTTTCAACTCAATGTGGGCATCTCTTCCATGAAACCTGCTTGAAACAATGGCTGAACAGGTAAAACTAAGAAAATATTAACAAAAACACAATTTATAAATTAATTATGATGTAAATCAAGGTCCAAGTCATGTCCGCAATGTCGGCATAAAGAGACACCGACTACAATCCATAGAATCTATTTGAATATTGCTTCTTCTGAAGGAATTGCTGAAGATGTGGCCACACTACAGGCTAGATTGGACACTGTCAAGTTTGAGATTTCTGTCAAGGAGCAGAATCTCATGGATTATGCATCAAAGTACAAACGATGCAAGGCAAAATGTGTTATGTTAAAGTAATAATCTTTAAATTACGAAAATTATACTTTTAAATTTAAAAATTTGATTTTTTTTCTTTAGAGAATCAATTGTTGAAATGGAACAAGAACAAAGAACTCATGAAACTAACATGCTTGCCCTCCAAACACAATTGAAGAGTTACCAGGAAAGAGCAAGGGATAAAGATAAACTAGTTGTAGAAATAGAACAACTTAAGAAGCAAATTGACAGCATGGATCATCTCAAAACCATGCTCACCAATTGTGACCAACAAAGCAATTTAATATTGAATCAAAACAATGATGCAAACTCACTAGCAATTTTATCTGGTACATTAAAAAGGTAATTTTAATTATATAACGTTTTTCTTTAGTTTTATTTAAATTTAAATGTGTTTTAGTCAACTAGAAGCAACAAAACAGAAGAATAAAGACATGTCCTCGCAAATCTATCGCATCGGGAAGGAAATGTTGCATACAAACAGTATTACAGCTAAACTACGAAGTCGCTGCCAACTTATGGAGCCTGGATCATGTGGAAACTGCACATCGGAGATTAATTATTTGACAGGGAAAATTAATCAAATGCGCAGGCGCAGCAGTGGTGGTTCTACGCCAAACTGCACCAGAACTTCAGGTTCCACTTCAGTACTGGATTATAGTGTAAGTTGCAATGATTCTAATAATTATTTAAATAATTTATATTTATTTTTATAATTTAGGATGTGATGGTGTATGAAGTGGACTCACCACAACGCCCATCAAAATCTATGGATCCAATCGTTATTTTGAGCGATGTTTCACCCGATTCAACATCTCCGGAATCCGCAACCAGAAATACAGCAAAATCCAGCGCATCAGGCACACCTATGATTGGTAAGGGTGTAAAGAGAGCAAAATCTTCGATGTCTACCACTTCTACACGCAAGTTGAGACGGCTCTCGCCCAGAAACGCAAAGAAGGCACAGTAAAACTGTAGCTATCTTTTGATATTACAAATAATAAGACTATTTTACTGCAATTGGCAGGACTGAATAATTGTATAAGTGTAGGGGGTGCTAATTTATCAAAGAATACTTGTTTAGTTAACTTAAAAATAAGTTTTATTTAGTTTTAAATTGGGAGTCTATTTCTTGGATTTAGACTCGCGCTTGGCCTTCCTCTCAGCCGCGACCTTCAATTGTGCTGCAGGCTTCAGGTTGTGCTTCTTGGAGAACTTCTGGTTCTTCAAGAATTTGGCATCCATCTGTCACAATTTAATTTGTTTAGTTTTCTGTTGTGTTTTATAAGCTTTAATGAGTTAAAAGTGATTACTTACACCCAAAGTGGCTTCATGCCTGGGGATCTTTGGCTTCTTGATGCCATTCCTGTGATCCTTGCGGTCTAAACGTGATAAATAACAGTTTAATTATACATTCTTTTAAATATTTATGCGAAACTTACTCTGGTTATGCGCTGTGTGATTCTTTGACTTGGCCATTTTGTATTACAACAAATCTGCAAACAAACAATTTGTTTATGCCTTGGTAGACTACAATTGGAGGTTAGTTGTGATAAACTTCAAAATTTCACTGGAATATTCACTATTTTCGCGTAATATTCACACAAACTGATAACACACAATGTCGCGTTAAATTTTCCAGTGAAATTTGTTAAATTAACGTGATGATTGTTTAAATAATTTAAGATTTTCGACGGAGAGATTACCTCAAGCAAGTTATCCGTTAACGGCTTGAAATAGAAAGAGATGTCGGGTGATCGACGTAGTAGAAAGAGAGAAACATAGCAGTTGGCAGCGCTGGTAACTTTATTATCAGCTGGTCACTTTGACACTAACGACATTGAAACGAGTGAGAATCATGCAGCAACATAACATCGCAATTACATCGTATTAATCCTAATTAGTTTGTGCTATCGGCAGGCGAACCCGCATCGCTTTCTCGCACGCGATTCGCATACCAACAGCGAAAAGCGCGCTGCAAGACATCTCGCTATAACATCATTCCTTGTGTTTAAATAACAGAAAAACAAAAGTTGTTTTCTGTATCACCATGGGTAACCGCTCGTCTCTTTTACTTCGCGAGGAAGAAATTGCGCAACTACAACAGGATACTGGATGTAAGTTTTAGTATTAAGCTAAGTAAATAAGAATTTATGTAATACACATTTATATCTAGAAACTTCTATTAAATTGTATTGTTTTGTGTTTTACAGTTACTCCAAATCAAATTGAGCGTTTGTACTCGCGTTTCACATCTCTGGACCGTGGCGATTGTGGCACGCTAAGTCGGGATGATTTTCTCAGAATTCCCGAGATTGCCATCAATCCACTCGGGGAACGCATCGTAAACTCGTTTTTCCAAGGCGAGGTCAGCGATCGCGTCAATTTCCGGCAGTTTCTGCAAGTTTTATCACAATTCCGACCTACTAAAAAGAACAAAGAGAATAAGAACAACGCCAGAGATCATAAATTGCGATGTGAGTATCAAAAATATTATTTTAATATATAATCAAACCATTTTAACAACATTAAAGTTGTTTTTGGTGATTTTTGTTAGTAAATCAAAAATTATTAAAATATTTCTTGTTTTTTTAGTTGCATTTAACATGTACGACTTAGACAGTGATAACATGATCTCAAAAGACGAGCTTCTCGCCATTTTGCACATGATGGTCGGCGCTAACATCAGCGAAGATCAACTCACAAGCATCGCCGAACGTACTATCCTGGAAGCTGACGAGGACGGCGATCAAAAGATCTCTTTCGAAGAGTTCTGCAAAGCTCTTCAACGCACCGACGTCGAGCAAAAGATGAGCATTCGCTTCTTGAATTAACTCCATCTTGCGAAAGCAGCGCAAACCAAACAAAAATCAAACAAATTAAAGTATTTATCTATATGCATTTGTGGTAGCTGGCTAATACTGCTTAATTGTTATTGATGTGATAAGAAACAATTAGATTACGCATGATGGACGATCTAAACGCGGTGCAATATTCAGTATTTAATATATTTGATCGATAACCTTAGATAAAATTAGATAATTTTGTATGGTACAAACTACAAACAGAATGGAAACCAAAAAGTATGTGTTACACATTAAAAAAGAAAACATATGATTGTTCTATCAATATTTTATCGAATTATTCATGTTTTATCATTCGCTAATCGAATTATCATTGTATAGTCATAAGAATCATGGTGTTTATTATGAAACCATAGCAACCATGTCAATAAGATCACTTTATTTCCATCAAAACGTGAAGAAAAGGCGTTCAACATGGAAACTTTAGCGAAACCACAAATTATTTGCCACATTGAGAAAGTTTTAAACTATACAATTCACGATGTTAAGTGGATACCGGCTTCTGCCAAGTTTGTAGCCATTGGCGGCAAGTCTAACGGCGCAGGGGTAATAGAAACGTACGAATTGAACAATCAAGGCGCTGAAAAACTCAGTGAATTCGGCAAGAAAGAACATTTTAAGTGTGGAACATTCGATGCTTCATCATTGAGGAATAGACATTTAGCCACTGGTGATTTTCAAGGAAGATTACAAGTTTGGTACAAAAATTTTAAAATATTTCAATGTAAAAATATCTAAAAATTAAATTTTTAGGGATCTGGAGAATAATCTAGTCCCTGTTTATGCTTCTTCTAAGCATAAAGGTATTATTAATGCAATTGACGGTATTGCAGGGACTAGCATAGGATGTGGCGCACCGGAAATTGTCACAGGATCAAAAGATGGTAATGAAAACACAAATTTATTTATAAAACTTCACTTTTATATAAAAATAACTTCAGGAACTGTAATGGTTTGGGATGTACGACAAAAAGATGATCCTGTCGCCATATTCAAAGCAGCCAAAGAAGGACAATCACGAGATTGCTGGACTGTTGCCTTTGGTAACTCATACAACTCAGAAGAGAGAATTGTAGCAGCTGGGTATGATAACGGCGACATAAAAATGTTTAACTTGCGCACAATGAAAGAACAATGGTCTAAATGTGTTAAAAATGGCGTAAGTACAAAACTTTAACTCAAAAACATGATTTAATTAATTTTCAACTTAATATTCAGGTTGTTTCACTGCAATTTGACCGAAAAGATATCCAAATGAACAAATTAGTCGCAACTACTCTGGAATCTAAAATAATTCTCTTTGATGTGCGTACACAACACCCAACACGTGGTTTTCCGCACTTGTCAGAGAAAGCGCACGAGTCTACCGTCTGGCAAGTGAAACATTTGCCACAAAATCGCGAGATATGCATGACTACAGGTGGAGCAGGTTCAATGTGCCTCTGGAAATAGTAAGTAAATCGCAATTTTGTAAACAAATCACACACAAAAACAGTGTAAACATTTATTTGTTTGTTTAGCGTGTATCCAGACAAAAGAGTAGACAAAGATGGCGACGGTGTACCAATCGGCGTGATTGGTGAGTTACAAATGATACAAAACAGCACCGTATCAGGTCAACCACTCTGCGGCTTCGATTGGTGCAAGGATAAAATCGGCCTCGCTGTTTGTTGTTCTTTCGATCAGACAATCCGTGTTCTGATCACAACAAAACTCAACTTATACTAGACTGGTAGGTAGTACGAAAAATATTCAGTTATGGTTGGGATAAATTGAATATTTGAGTTGTTTGTGTACGTTTTTTACAATAAATATGTATTAATACCCGCGGCAACGGGCGTACGGATGCTAGATGACTGTCAGTTTGTTAGGATCCGTGAAACGCGCGGTTAGGATGTAGAATAACGCGGGTAATGGCACAAACAGAATCATTAACGCGTGCATTGTTGGATTTGTTAATTGTGTGATGGAAATTATGCCGTACGCGTGCAAACACCAATGTCCCAGGAGGATGACGATGTTACGCTTGTTTTTCAGCGTTGAAGTGATGAGTTTCGTCACTGATTGATCGATTTTCGCTGCGAAATGTGCAGCACTTGAGATTACTGATAGTATTACTATTAGATATGGAAAAGCATAATCTGAAAGTTTGAAAAATGTTTTAATTGAGATCAGAATTAATGATTAATGTGAACTTACATAGTAAACCGCCGATTAATGCATGAATAACAGCCAGAATTGGAATAAAGTACATGGCTGCATAAATAGACATTTTACTTTGCCTTGGAATAAACTTTTTGCAGATCCATGGCCTGATTAATAACATTAAGAGCAGAGCAAAGCCATAGAATACAAAAACCACTGTGTATCTATAAAAATATTGATTTATATTGAGTTTTCTTGCAAAATTTAAAAACTTACAGTGGATATACTGCTTCCTGTGTGCAATGAACAACTTTTTCATAATTTGGAGCAGGATTATGCAGTAATGTATACCAATCTGAGAGTCCTTTTACTTGACAGCTTGTTATCTCTAATGTACCATAAGGAAATGTACTTAGAAGAGTAAATAGTGATGCTAGGATGACTTCAACAAGTGCAGTGAAGTGTAGAATTAGAATGTCTTTTGAAAAACTGTAAAAATATTGATTTTTTTAACAATTTTTTGAATGACAAAGGTTTTAAATGTACCTGCGTTTCATTACGACCATATCTATGAAGAACCAATGCAATACAAGCACTAGTATGACCATAAATCCTAAGTAAAGCCAATCATAGAATATTGGTGAGTCTTGACATGGTTCACATATGAAAGTTGTGTCATTCCGTCGAAATCCTCGCGGACACGCGCCGCAATCGCTGTAGATTTCAGAAGGTAAGAGTTGTCGGCCACAGTATAGGCCGGGGCATGCCATTGTTTAATTATTTCTTTTAAACTTAGTACATTGAATAAGGTAAACTGGGTTATTTTGGGGTGACATTTGTTGGAGGTTAGGTTTGACGTTTTGTTTATTTGGGTGTTTAGTTCGTATTTTTGCCGTTTTTTGCCTCGGTGCAAGTAAATATTTATTTTGCGTTTTAAAATTATAATTTTTGTGCAAAGTATTAAATTTCTACATAGTAATAATTATATTTATTGTTTTGAGTTGTATTTTCTTGGTTTTTAATCTTTTTGATGTCAAATTATTTCGAATGCCGGTAAAGGTGAGAAGTTGTAAGCGGTTGGCAGCACTGGTTTTAGCAGTGACCGGCAGCGCTGCGGTCGTGTTTTGTTCAATGGTAAACTACGCACGAGACGCAACTCGGCTCGCGATTGGTCCGACCGGCGACGATATTGAAATTTGATTGCACCGCGTGAGACAATTGAGCGTCCCTAGTTTTGAGTGTTTTTTTTCGGGTGGCGCGATCGCCGTTTTACAATCGTGCTCGTCAACGACGTGAAAATTCCAGCGAGCCGCGACGCCGTCGTCGCCGCCGTTCAATCCTCCCTGGGCGTCCGAGAAACGCGCCGTCAGCCCAGCCGCCAAGGTGTGTGCGCGGCGTCGTCCGCTCTGCGTGCGCCAGTCGCCATCGGCCGCCTCGAGTGGTGTGGCGTGTATTGATCAGCGCGGTGGCCCCCCCATCTATTTTCAGCCCTAGGTACTTACGGCATCACGGCGCACACCACGGAGAGCGGAGCGGAATAGCGTGCGCGTCGTGCGAAATCTCTGGCTGCGAGTGCCGAAAGTGTGCGAGGAGGCCGTGTGTCCAGCCCGTGTCGAGTGGTTTGCGCGTCGTGCCGAGGAAAGGAGCAGCGCGGTGACCACCAGCCACAGCCACCACAACGAGAAAGAAGAGACAAGCGACAAGGGGGGTCACGCCGCACCGCAGTAGCAACCAACCGCCGAGACGCTCCCCCGGCTGCGGGCCGCACGCGCGCGGTAATGGTGTCCGGCTAGATGGCGGCTTGTGACCAGCTGATGGCGGCCGAGAAATTGTGCGGTGCGGTGCGCCAGCCGTCGCCAGCTTGAGCCCCGGCCCCCGCCTAGTCGTCCTCTACGTGCGTTGAGTGTGCGCGCGCGACGTGTGTGCATCGTCTTCGTGCGGGTTTCCTCTGGGCGTGCACCACGTCCAGGATGCCGATCTGACCCCCGCGCCCATTGTGCAATCTGTAAACAAAAACAAGCGCTGCCCGTCCGCCCGCCACCACCGAAACTACCGAGCGGCGGCTCACGGCTGCATCGCGCTTATCACCAAAACCAAAACAACAACACGACCTCACGTTTTTACGTCTACGCCGCCGCCGCCGTCGTCGTCGACGTTTTATTATTTCCAGCACAGCGAACGCCCACTCGCGTGCGAACGCCTGCGTGCAGGGTCGGATCAGTCGTCGTGACTAACTTTGTGCCGGGTGGATAACAGCGTGCGTGGACCATGTCGACGACGTTCGTCGACCGCATCGATCCGTTCGCCAAGCGATCGCTCAAGAAGAAGACGAAGAAGTCGCAGGGCAGCTCGCGGTACCGGAACTCGCAGGATGTCGAGCTGCAGCCGCTGCCGCCCTTCAAAGGTAAACACATCCATCCATTTCTTATGCGATTGTTTTTTGTTTTCGTATATTTATCTCGCCAGACGGGGGCATTAGACGAATTAGACGTGACCTTTCCTGCCCTCGACTGTAAACACTGCAATTTTTTGCCCCACTTTCCACATTTACACATTATCTAATCGCTGGAGTCAGTTTTTTTCCGAAAACTTTTCCAACCGCCGAGTAAATTTGTGCCCCAGTTGTGTGACAAACACGCATTTCCACTTTAAAAACTCTGTCAACTTTTTTGACATTTAACCTGTGGCTGGAAAAATGCCCGCTTAATGATGATGAAGCTTCTAATTCGTCTCATTACCACTCAACCAGCTGCAATAATTTGTGTTACGGTCATTAACACGCTGGAAATTTAGAAAATTTAAGAAAAAAAGTGTAGGTTTGTGTGTGATATGATATGATATTAACTTTGTAAAGCTAATATTGAAGGACATGTTAATATGCAAATGGAAAGCAATCTAATAAATCAGCTGATTCGTGATAGCATAGAGTGTGTTGCGTACGTCGGCAGCGAGCAGACGAGACACGTAGCCGGAGCAGAGCGCGCAAACGGTTTGATTGAAATCAATTTCTTCCGTCTTTTAATACGCACGCGCTCGCTCGCCGCCACCGTAGCCGCCGCCGCCGTTGTCGCGAGTGTGGGTGCACGTAGACATGCCGTCTCCACCATGCGAATGATGCGTGAAGGGATGTTATGTTTGTTACATCATTCATACATGGCATAAAATACACATTTTTACAATAGGGAGCGGAAAATGTCTCTTTTTTCGCACTCGTACTTAAAAAATAAGGAGTTTTTAATGCTTTAATGTTATGTTTATTTATATTTTTGATTAATTGGGAATAAAATGGGGTTTTACAACAATTCTCACTTCTAAAATACATATTTTTAGAATTGAATGTGAAAAATGCGTATTTTACGCGCTAGTGTTTAAAATTAAATAGGTTTTGATACTTTAGTATTAAATTTATTTAATTTTTTGATACATTTGATGCAAAATACAGTTATTCAATATGTTTCACACCTATGAGTACCCAAAGTACTTGTTTTAAGCAATAAAATACATATTTTTATAGTAGGAAGCCAAAATTCTTTATTTTACGCACTTGGGATAAAAGTTTCCTAGTTTTTTGCACTTTATAAAATATTTTTGCTATATTTTCGTTAATTTTTGATAAATTTGAACAAAAAATTCAATTTTTCGATCATTTTTACTTCTAAGAGTGCCTAAAGTGCTTATTTTACGCATGTTATCAATAATAATGATCCTACAAGAAGTAATTTTCATGTAAACAGTCTGAATGTGTTTATACCCACTTATTATTAATAATTTGATTGATTTCTAACTAAATTTTGAGATATTTTCCTCCACAACGATTAAATATTTATTAACCTGACTAGAAACACTCTGGATTCATTAATTATAAATATTTATCGCCCTCGTCGTTGGTGCACAGGTGTGACTTTCTACTTCCTCTTCCTTTAGGCATTGAAACGAAATCAATCGCTGAATGTTAATAAATACGAGTTACAAGTTACAAGCTGTAAAACGTTGGAATTAATGTCGGAGGCGTAAAATGAGAAATAAGAAATCTCTCGAACGTCATATGATTTCTAGCAATCTGTGTCATCTCATATTTTTGCATACATTAAATTAGTAAATTGTCTGTAATTAACGATGGTGAAGTTTGATGGTATTTTTGCGCTGCTTGAAAGCTGTCAGGTGAATTGTGCAAAGTTTGCCGGCGTTTTTCGGAAAAGTGCGCAGTCAGTCAGCCGGAGTTTGCTGTTCGCTGCTCGGTGCTTGGTTTATTATTTTTGTTTTTCAATTCTTCCGCGCTCTTCACTTGGTATTGATTTTTCGTTAAATAATATAGCATCATGTGGCGTGAATTGGAGGTGAATCATGAATGTGCTTTTACAAATGTTCACACAATGCTCACAGACAATTATTTCAACTGGACACGTCGCAAATAACAGCCAGAGACCATTTACACTTCACTTTCAATTAAAAATGTTGCAATCATGTATTATTATTATTTTTAATTCCTGGCTGTGTGTGTGTGTGTGTATGTAGATAGTTTAATTTTTGTGTTAGTTATACTCACACTGAGTATGATGTGTCACTGTGACTGAATGTTCTTAAAATATTCAGAGATTCGAAACCCCGAACGCAACCGAAACTTTTTGTTTGAATTTTTTTTTTGTGAATAGTTGAATTTCCCGTTGAAACCTAACATTTTTCTGATATTTATAGATAAAATATATAAAAATAAAACGTGCAGAGACTGTGTCGGTCGTGGTGAGTGTGGACATGCGTAAAATTCGAAAATTCCTTCCGATTGCATTTTATTCTCAGACATTCGGCACGCAAAAATACCGCGATGAGAATATTAGCGACTTATATATAACTTTGAATAATCGATGTCATAATTTTCGGGAGGGACGCGTGCGTGCGCGCCGGCCGTGTGTGTTTTCTTGGCGGAAAACGTGAAAAATGGGCGCATATGATTCATGTGCAATTATGTTAAGCGCGAACGTGAATTTACAGCATGCATCAACTTTATTATTCGCTTAATTTCGTACAAAACACGTTAGATTATATAATATACTAGTTTCTTCATCAAATATTTTACCTTATAACAAAGTGTCGTTACATCCAGGAACAAAAATGATCAAATATTGGGATTTTACGTGGATTGGCATCAGATTAATCATTTGTAACTGGTTAAAAACTGAATTACTGTAGTAAAAATGCCGGTAAATATTTCCTGAAGTCTAAATATGAGCGACGTGCTCAGTTGTATTCACTTGTGTTTTGTTTAAATGATTTTGTTGTAACATAACGTGTACCCCAACAAAATAGCTGAAAAATCGTGCTTAAGTTATAGAAATTTGCATTGCAATTTTCCGGGATGTTGGGATCATAATTACAACAATATTTCAATTGTTACCATCGATGTCATGTCTTTAAAAAATATTCTAGCTCATAATTGCTTGAAATTAAAATATTTTTCATAGTTACACCCAGGAAATTAATACAACCCAACCAAGTTGTATAAATTTTTACACTGCGTACGTGTGCGAACGGTTTTGTATTACATTTGTTATGATGATGCACACGCATTGTAATTGTCTGATTCACAAAACTCCCAAACGCGCGCACGCCGCATAAACAAATCGTGTCGAAACAGCTGCCACTGATCGCGCATTGTTGTAGTTGTTGTTCGAGATAATTGTAAATTGTATCCATAGCAACAGGTGCGGTTGCTCCTGTTAAAACTTAGCGCTGAAGGAATTCCGACCGGTGGAAGGAAGTGCCGAGATTTAAAGAGGAAATCTGGGAAATCACGATGCGGAGATACTGAAATCCTGCGCGGCGTTAATTCTGTACACCTGGTTGAATTTCGTATGTATGCTCATTGAGGAAGGATAGGATGGCTGGCTGGATGGATGGATTGGGAGGGGTCCGCAGGATGGTGTGGGTGGTGGAACAGCGCGCAACCGGTAGCAGGAATTGATTTATTTCACGTTTCGAGACACTGCTCACCCGATCACGTCGATAAATTGGATGTTTTCACATAATTTTCATTCATTTTCATTTTCATAGCGAGAAATTATTAATTAATTAATGACTAAATACGCGCTTGTACACATTGTAGAATATTTCTAATTGTAATTGCCTCCTCCGCCCATTGAGCGCCGTTCGTGGTTGATGTCTTCTCGCGTGTGTTTCACGCCGTGGCCGCCGTCGTCATCGTCGTCGGTTGGTTGCATTTTCTGTTGTTCGTTGGCGTTGGTTACAGAGTAGCAGCCGGCCCCGATCGAACCTCCACCACACACACACAGACCGACACCAACTCATATACAGAGAACAGCGTGGCCGCAAGCCACAAACGACCGACTCCTAACCATATTAGAACGTTTTCATTCATGAATTTTCGCTACGACGGCGACGCACACGCTATGCTCACACATTAATGCCTAGCATACACAGGATAGTTACATACTCAACTAGAAGATAGTAGGTTTGGAATGTTTAGAAAATTTTCGTTGGAATTATTATAAAATTGCGTAAATTGTTATTTTTTCGTCTTTGTTAACGCGTAAAATTACTAAAAATAGTTTTGTTAATTAGCAAAGATTTGTCTTTCAGCGATAAGAATACGAAAAATTTGGCAAATGAGAAGTTTTTGCACAAATTTTTTGTGCCCAACAAAAGTGTACGTACCTACGTCGAGTGTGTGTATATGCGTACGAGTTGAGTAGGGTTTGTACACACGCGGCGGCGTGGTGTGAATGTTTGCGTGCCGGTGGCCGCCTCTCGAGCGGCGTGCTGCATCCTGTCTCTTTTTCAGCCGCCCGCGCGGCGGCAATCGCGCTCGCATCTGGCCGGGCCGGCGCGCGTCCCAAACGCCGTTTCGCCCACTCGACGACCTCAAATGAGTAACGAGCGCAAACACACCGACACACCGCGCACGGGCGAAATCTTATTCCGTTCGGAATCGTGTTAGCGCTCGCATTAAGTACACAATAACACAATGTATGAAAGAAGGAAGATGACAAGATTTCACATCACTTGAATGGATGTTTAGAGAATGCCCAAAAACAAATGATTCATTTTTGATGTTGAAAAATTGTTTTTTGTGTTGAAATTTTAATATTTTCATAGATATTTGTTCATTTTGTGGAAGTAAAACTTGAATAACACATCGTAAAGCGTTAATCAAGCATTAATTGATACATTAACTTGCTTATTATTGCTTTTCGCATGCGAGCAGCCACCAATCATGGACGTAGTGCAGTAAAATACAAATGGCGCTGTTAATTACCGGCCGCAATTTCGTGTTGTTGGCGAGATCTTGGACCACAGGAGCGAGTGATTGAGCCGAGACGTCGTCGTCGTGTGCGTTTTGTTGTCGATGTAGCGCCGCCAAACAACGACCGGACCAACGTGCGTGATTGCGTAACGTCGGGTTTATTTATTTATAAATGCGATACATTGAACGGACTACGTATATCACGCTTAAAATAACAAGAAAAAAAAATATGACAGCGTTGTCCCTAAAGCCCTTTAAATTTATTACCCATAATGAAAAATTTTCAATATTTTTTTATATTTTTAATTAATTACGGCTTTTATTTTTTATTCGGTGACATTGAAAAATAGAATGATTTAGTTATGCTTTTATCAATTTCCGATAAAAGTGTTGTGTGTTGTTTTGCGCTTTCATTACCATCTCATGAATTTTCATGTATAAAACATGATTTTCTAAATTTACGAATTTGAATTACAAATTCGATGAATAAAATTCATATTCGGGCGGTTGTTGTTTCTTTCTTTTGTTGTTAACACACACACAAATACAAGTAAAATGTTCGTATGGTGATGATTGGTGCTTGCTTGCCTTTGAGATAACACCGAATGGCTGACAAGGTCAATTTCGGCGTGACTTTCGCTCGAATTATTCGCCAATTTCGTGTGCCACACTTACAGCCAATTGAATTAAACCGACAAAGCGATGATAACCTGTTAACAACAAGAGGATAAAGATGATTGCCAGCCAAATAATCACCAAGTGCAGAAAGATAAAATCCGGCACGTGGTGAAGCGGAGACAAGACTTCCGAAAAAAGCGGATGTCACATTTATTTATTTATTTATTTATTTATTTATCACTGGAACTTTCATGTGCATGCAGCGTGTGTATATTGAGTTGAGTTTAGTTTAGTTTAGGCGTTAATTGAAGTTTTATGGTTTGTTTTGTGGACCAGATGTAGATTACATCGACACGACGCTAAATTATATAAATAAATGTGCAGTGAGCACATCGTCATTGTCGGCACATTGTTCGTTAACAATTTAAGAAGTGCGCTCAACAATCTGTCAACATACAGAGTGTCTACACAAAGAAAACAATTAATATTTTACTTGAATTATTAGGCTGTTAATTTACGGTTTAAAATGTAAGTTTTTATAGATTTTTAATAGTGAACCAGCAAACGAATTCGATTGTGATTGTTTACACGTCGATTAAATCGATTGGAATTGTTTCATTGGCATGCGTCCCCCTCGGTGTAGAACGCAGCAAACACACACTCGGCCAGAGAGCCCACTATTATTATACCGATGTCGCAATCAATTATAAATTAATCACATAAAATATTGTCGTGATCGATACACGCTGCTGCGATGGCGGCAGACGGCGGCGGCGCATCTCCGATCGCAGTTTGATCTGGCGTGAGCGCGAGCGCGAACGTAAATCACGCGAATTTTTCAATTTCCTTCCAGCGCGCGCTGGGTTTCGGTTTCAATTTCGTTATCGAAATCGATTAAAACGATTAGGAACTAGGTTTAAATTCGTGTTTGGAGGGCACAGCATGTCGTCACTGTTGCTATTCACATGTGTTTTGACACGTAGATGCCGTAGAGTAGCTTGGTGGCTTCTCTGATTGATATTTTGATGCGTGATTAGGGAATAAACATGATTAGTTATGATTGCGATGATTTGTTTGATTTGTCAGGTGATTGGCGGCCATTTTAGTAGCGGAGAATTTTGTTTAATTGAGTCTTGTTTGTTTCTTTGTAGATGTATCGACGTCAGAGCAGGAGGACCTCTTTATCCGCAAGCTGCGGCAATGCTGCGTGCCGTTTGATTTTATGGACCCGGTGGCCGACCTCAAAGGCAAAGAGGTCAAGCGTTGTACGCTCAATGAGCTTGTCGACTACATCACTGGCGGCCGAGGTGTACTCACCGAAGCAGTCTATCCAGAAATTATTAAAATGGTAAATAATTGCTATTTTTATTTATTAAAAAGTAGAAAATTATGATTTTTGCGTTGTAGATATCGGCAAATTTGTTCCGGACACTGCCGCCGAGCGAGAATCCCGACTTTGACCCGGAGGAGGACGACCCGACCCTGGAGGCGAGCTGGCCGCACCTGAATCTGGTGTACGAGTTCTTCCTGCGCTTCCTCGAGAGCAGCGACTTTCAGCCGACGATCGGCAAGCGCGTGATTGACCAGAAGTTTGTGCTGCAGCTGCTGGAGCTCTTCGACTCGGAGGATCCGCGCGAGCGCGACTTCCTCAAGACGGTGCTGCATCGCATCTACGGCAAGTTCCTCGGGCTGCGCGCCTTTATCCGCAAGCAGATCAACAACATCTTCCTGCGGTTCGTCTACGAGACGGAGCACTTTAACGGCGTCGGCGAGCTGCTCGAGATACTCGGCTCGATTATCAACGGCTTTGCGCTGCCGCTGAAGGCCGAGCACAAGCAGTTCCTCGTCAAGGTGCTCATTCCCTTGCACAAGGTGAAGTGCCTATCGTTATATCATGCGCAGGTAAGCATTAAAAACATTTTGAAATTATGGCAAAGACAAAAGAATGAATTTGTTTAAAAAATTACGCTTTTCTCGTTTCAGTTGGCTTATTGCGTGGTGCAATTCCTCGAAAAGGATCCCACGTTAACGGAGCCAGTGGTGCGCGGCTTGCTCAGATTCTGGCCGAAGACGTGTAGCCAAAAGGAGGTGATGTTCCTCGGCGAGATCGAGGAGGTGCTCGACGTCATTGAGCCGTCGCAGTTTACGCGTATTCAGGAGCCGCTCTTTAGGCAGATTGCTCGCTGTGTTTCGAGTCCACATTTTCAAGTAGGCATTCATTTTATCCTCAACATAACTATACTTTCAATGTATTAAATAAAATTTTAATTTTAGGTCGCTGAACGTGCGTTGTATTTCTGGAATAACGAATACATCATGTCGCTGATGGAGGAGAACAATCACGTGATAATGCCGATCATGTTCCCGGCGTTGTACCGCATCTCGAAGGAGCACTGGAATCCCACGATCGTCGCGCTCGTCTACAACGTGCTCAAGACGTTCATGGAGATGAACTCGAAGCTCTTCGATGAGCTGACGGCCAGTTATAAAGCCGAACGACAAAAGTATGTGTAAATAAATGAGAATATGCACACGTCTTATTTGCAGTGTTTTGTAATTTCTTGCGTTCCGTTTGCGTTGCAGAGAAAAGAAGCGGGAAAAAGAGCGAGACGAACTGTGGAAGCGCCTCGGCGAGCTGGAAATCACTCACAACAAGAAGATGATAGCGCAAAACAGTTGTCCGCCATTAAAGAAGTGATATCCCTCCAATCGCGCACCCCATCCTCGCCAACAACAAGCAGCTGCAGTAATCGTGTAAGTAATATTTACCGCAATCAACCAAATAAACGAGATGCGCGCGGGAGCAGCGATCTGCGAAGCAACCGAGCGACCTACCCACCACCACCAACAACCACCAGCCACCGACCGACCGACCGACTACAACAACAACAACCACATCAACCAATCAGCAATCACAAATATTTACCAACACAAACGAGCGGCAGCGCAAGAAACTCGTGTATCTGTGTGTGCATGTGTGTGTTAGCATACTAAATATTACAAGACTTAACGCGCCACCATCACCAGCAAAACAGCAGGTGCGCATGATACGCCGACGACGAAGCGGAGCGTGATCTACCTGCACGTGCCGGCATGGCGGCTCGGGGGGTACACCTTGCGCTCCCATGTATTAAATTTACATAAAAAAATATATAAATATATATAACAGAATATATAACACACAAAACTCATAGGAATTTAACAGGTTTTCTAACGTGTGTTGTGCAAAAGCGAGTTTAAGTTTTCGTGTGTGCGGAGTGGGGGGTAGGATGATGATATTTACGAGAGTCTTGCATGTTGCAACCAAGCCAAAACTGACAACACACACGCTCACACACAACACACACACTGATACAACACAAACACTTTTTGATAGCCCCTTTGAAACATTTAAACGTAAGAGCCACTCTTGTCACATGGTGTAATAAGTAAGCTAGTTGATGCGCACGCACTCGGCGAGACATGTGTGCGAAAAATGTGTGTCTTTCTTTCTGTTGCGAGTACTTTTGTACGAATTTGCTAGCAATGAAACATGAAACAAACAAATACAACAGTGTCGTATGTCGTCGTAACATATTAAGTTTATCACGTTTTCGCAATTTATGTAAAACTAATGAGAAAGTTGTGTCTGTATGCAGTGATGATGAGGAGGGGGGGGGGGAGAAAAAGCAAGATGGGGGTGGTGTATTGACGTGCAACAAGTGTAGCTGCGCATGCGCCTGCGTTTGGATGTGTTGATGACGAAACAAAAGAGCAAAAACCGACTATGTTATATTATACACTAAAATAACTAATTAATGAAGAATGTGCTATATAGTTAATTGGTCATCTGTATATAGGAATCTAAATATTAACTATATCTATTATTATCATTACGACTATACATATAATTATTATTACTTATAAAAAGAAAAACAAATGAGATAAACATGGATGACGATCTGTCGGAGCAATTATGACATTTGACAGGCCGGACAGATGGCGCGGAAGATTTTAAATTTACTAGACACACGAGATGAATAATAATTGTAAGTAAAGCAAACGAGATAAAGAAACAAAACGTGGTGCATACCTTGTTAGAAATATTGTTGTGGTGGTTATGTTTTTGATGGACTCGACAAACAAACAAATGAAAAAAAAAAACACTTACGTGTTGCATGTTTTGTGTTCGGGTTGAGTTTCGTTTCTTGTGCGGGCCAACAACTCAGCCATTTTGAGTTCACGCAGCGCGCGCAATCAGTTGTTAATTGTGTATCGGAGGAAAAATACTAATTTATTGCTTTTTGTGTTGTGCGCACTCGATACATGACACACACACACGGCGAAATGTTGGACACAACACACACACATACACACTTCAAAAAAATACTTTTACGTTTGCGATGATTTGATATCAATCTTTCGTTACATTTGTACATTTTGCTCTGGATTGATTTTCTTTCTATGGGCGCAAGTAATCACTCTTAAATTGATGGAAAGAAGGAAAAAATATTATTACTTTGTGGCTGTTTTTAACTTTAACTTTGTAATTAAATTTATTTACCTTTTATTATATATACAAATCTATAACATAATTAAGCTAATCATAGAGTTAATTTTAAGGCAAGCAAAAACACACACACACTTTATATTCTCTTATGTGGGCGTTGTTTTCTTTTGATTTTTATCAACTCTCTAGTTTTCTTTCGGTTCGTTTTTTTTTTATTTGATTTTATTCGAAATTCTGTTTGAATAATGTGCGACTTGTGACTGTTTGGATCGGCGGATTATTATTGATAAACAAAGATACAAAACTATGATAACAAAAAACAAAACAAAAAAAAACATGAGAACATGATAAATAAAAATAAAGTAGGAATGAAAATTGAAATGTTATGCGTACGTTTTTTCATCAGTGCTCGTTCAACTTTGGATTTTTTGCAACTTGCAAACTTCTAGTCATGATTGAAAGTTGAATGAGCAATGCATGCGAACCTGTAATTTTCATTCCTTCTCTATTTCCATTAATATCCTGTTAAATGACACGAAATTCAACTCGAACACACAAAACCAGCACACTATACATATTAAGCTAAAACAATTCAAGATGGCGTCTTTCATTGAACTATTTTTGGAGATTTTGAGTATATTTACACTATAAAGACACTGTTTCTACGATAGTGTGTAAATTTTAACGTTTGTGGCAACTTTAAATGTGTAAAGTTATTGTTTTGCGCATTTTTGTCACTGAAACATCAACAACAAACAGACTTTTACTGTCATTTTATTGTTTAACAACTAATTAAATGAAATCACAAAATGCGTCATTTAGGAGAAGAAATCGCGCGATTGCTTCACTTATTTTTATCCAATCTGTACATATTGATGGATAACAAGAAATCGTCAATCATATTGATGTGAATAGGCAACCGATATGCATATTGCAAATGGTTCTGAATATAACTAATGAAATTGTGGTTTTAATTGAATACCAAACAACTTATGATTATTATTACGGTATAGGAGACAAAAACTAGGCGAAACCAGTACGTAAATACCTAATCTTAAACCTAAAGAGCTCTAAATAGTTAGGCAATTATATTTTATCGTTGTGTGAATGATGAAAATCTATCTGGCTGTATAATATGTGTATCCTTCTCTCTATACCGATAGCAATTTGTATTTATATTGTGTGTGCGTTTTCTGTTTTACACTTTAAGTTTCACTAGAGATATCTAAACTTAATTGTGCTCACAGCTCATGATTGCCAAAATACTTTGAACGCGTGGTGACTAAACTATTTATATGTGTTGATGAAACTATGTAAATTATTATTAATTGATAGGTAGGAATGTTGCTTATTGCTTAAACTTGTACTAAGACGTGTTGAACTGTTTCGATTTGTGTTTGTTATTGAAGAATACTCCATTTGTGAAACTGTAGACAATCAACCATGTTTCATTTCCGACATCTTATACAGCCAAACGTGAATTTTCATTCATTGTGTTACTCTGACTCTGATTTGTAAAGATATTGCATTAATATATGAATATTATTAATGTGTTTTAGACTTTAAAGAAAACGAAGAGTGCCACACTTGTATTACCGCATGAAGCAGACACAAACAAACAGAGAGAGAAACAAAAACGTAAATAATAAATGAATTTAGTAATAAAATTATAACTATAAATGACTAAACACAAAGAAAAAGTATTGACATGTTTCGATGTCCTTCATGTTTCTACTCAAAAGACAACCAGACACACGCACGTAAACGTTGACTTGCAGTTGATGAGCAGACGTAAGTTAACTTGATGCTATAGAATAATTTTTCACCGATACGAGAATTATAACAACGCGCGACACGACGCATTACATGTGCTAACAGTTACATTGTTGAGAGAGAATGCAATATGTAACTGATTTGTATGATTATGATAATGAGGGGTTTAATGTTTAGCGAATGCACTTACGATTTAATTATAACAATTAAGCTAATACAAACATGTAATTAAGTGAACCACATGCAAAACTTGTAAGAAAATTAAATGATTATAAATGAAACACATTTAAGGTATAATAAAAATTATACGAACATGAAATGTGCAAAAATAAACACGGACAAGTATTGTTGTGTTGTGGGTCATGATAACATTTACAATATTGCGGAATGGACAACCTCTGGAGGACCCAAAGAAAGGAGAAGCTGAAAGACTGCGAGTGGACTACTGGATTACTCAGGCACGCCTGAGCGCGAAGCGCCTTGGGGGCTTGCGTTTTATTCCAGCGGGTGACCCGCAAAAAGTGGTGGGGGTAGGCGCGCAGGTACCCGATTAGTCGCGCACTGCGAGTACCTAGTCATTAAGGGCGGGAATCGCTAATGCAACTTCCTCCGCCACTTTCTGCGTACGGTGCCCTGAATACAGTCACTTCTACCGCTGCCCTTGTACGGTGCCCAGAATACTTCGACCGCTAGCCTCGTACGGTGCCCTGAATACAGTCACTTCTACAGCTGGCTTCGTACGGTGCTCTGAACACGAGTCTACCGCTACCCTTGTACAGAGCCCTGAATGCACAAGTAACTCTCATTCCGTGCACCGTACCCCCACTCTTTTTTGCGGATCACCGCAGCTGTTAGACCCAGTCCAAAGTGAACACACGGCTCAGTCGGGTCTAAATCGTCCAGCAGTCCAGTCGCAGTTCTCTAGGTTCCTCTTCTCTCCCTCTCTGCTTTCTTCGAATTGGATCAGGAAAGATGTGTTAAACCAGCAAGGTTAGTCAAAAGTATTATAAAAATATTTATTTCACATAAATGATAACATTAATGAACCCTCTTGCGTTGAGAGCTTCTTGTAGACCGTGATTTCTGCCTTCTTCCGACTTCTTCATCACTGTCAATACTATTTTCACATGTTTCCATTTCTTCTTCTTGTTGTTCTTGTACTTGCTCGAAATCAAACTGTCCCCATTGAACATGACACAATGGACACTCCTGATTAGTACTCAAAGCAGCTTGCAAGCAATAATCATGCATTAATTTATTACAATTAATACAAGACTTTCCCTAGAAATAATTCAGTTAAGATTTGTTTGTAAATTAGCAAAATAACTTACATAGCAGCATAGTTCAGAGCACAGTTCACATATCTGAGTGTAATCTTCATAAGTTGTTCTTAAATCTTTATTGAATTCACAAATGGCTTTACTACCAAGATAATACAACCCATTGCTCAGTGCCAGATATCCTCTTGTCACACATTTGTTCAGAAACTTCTCAGCATCTTCCATTTTGATCTGCAGTTGATATTTGGTGATTAAATTCAAACAGTCAATTCTATTCATTGACTTGGTATCAGATTTAATGATTTCCTCCATCAGTGGTAGCCAGTAAGCCAGTTCTAGAGGATTGTATGTGGTTTGTAGTTCAGTTATATCATTGTGTCCTATGCTGTGAAGTGTTAGGTGTTTGTTGCCTGTTACCTCACAAGTTGTGATGGTTAATTGGATTTCTTCAGGTTTGATTGCAGTGTTTATCTCTTTAATGATAGATTTTAAATCTCTAACGCCTAAAATTAGATAATAATTAACTTTAAAAGTAATTTAGTTGTGATAATTTACCTATTTTGGGGCATGGATCATTTGTTAGCTTGTTTAGCTCAGTTAATATTTTATTTATCAGTAGAATAGCATCTGCGAAGAGTATGTAACCTCTGGCAAACATTTGCTGTATGAAGATTTGTTTTTCTACTGATAACATGTTTATATTTTTTAGTTTACGCGGTTTCTAAGGATAGAAATTGAAAACAAACTTGGTTTACTGGTTGTATATTTAACGAATTTTCTTTGGAGGTTATTGAAGGACAAAAAATCCCCAAGTTAAATTCTAGTTTTAAAAATGTGATTCAAAGTATTAAAATACAATTAAATACATTTATTTTAATTTAATATTAAAAAATGTCAATAAATAAACTATTTATTTGTTTTTAGTAAGCTATGTGCTACAAAAAAATCGCAACATGTACAATCAGGTGATAAACTGACAAGTGACATTAGATGACATTTATGTCCACCAGCTGCTCGATTCCACCTAAAATAAAACGTATTTCCTTGCTCCATCAAAACCTACCAGTCGATCCACATCAATTCTAAAGTACTTCTACGTCGTCCACGTCCACCCATCGCCTCCAATGTGCATCAATAGCTGTTTGCTCAGCATAAATTACATAAGTGTCGGGTAACTACATCCAAACAAAACCAAACCTAATCAACAACATAAAATGGAGAAGCCAGAGGGACAAGACATCCAACCGCTGGTGAAGATCGGCCACTACACCTTGGGCAAAACCCTCGGTGTAGGAACATTCGGCAAGGTAAAAATCGGCGAGCATCAGCTCACAAAGCACAAAGTCGCGGTGAAAATCCTCAACCGTCAACGCATCAAGAGTCTTGATGTCGTGGGCAAAATTCGTCGCGAAATTCAGAATCTGAAACTGTTTCGACATCCGCACATTATTAAACTCTACCAGGTCATCAGTACTCCTACTGACATCTTCATGATCATGGAGTATGTGTCAGGAGGAGAATTGTTTGAATACATTGTCAATAATGGTAAACTTCAAGAGCATGAAGCCAGGAGATTCTTTCAACAGATTATTTCTGGTGTGGACTATTGTCATAGACATATGATAGTGCACAGGGATCTGAAACCAGAGAATTTGTTGTTGGATCATAATATGCATGTGAAAATTGCGGATTTTGGCTTGAGCAACATGATGATGGATGGGGAATTCTTGAGAACCAGTTGTGGATCACCAAATTATGCAGCTCCAGAGGTATATTACACATATATTTCAATAATAAACTTATTAAATCTATATTTGTGTTTAGGTTATTTCTGGAAAATTATACGCTGGCCCAGAAGTAGATATTTGGTCATGTGGTGTCATTCTTTATGCCTTATTATGTGGAACATTGCCATTTGACGATGATGCAGTGTCAACTTTATTCAAGAAAATCAAATCCGGCATTTTCCCGATTCCTGAGTATCTCAACAAGAGTGTGGTTAGTCTCCTCTGCCACATGTTGCAAACAGATCCAATGAAACGCGCCACTATCGACGACATAAAGAAACACGAATGGTTCCAAAAGGATTGCCCAGCATATCTATTTCCTTCTCCAGTCGAACAGGATTCTTCTGTTATTGACACTGATGCTGTTTATGAGGTTTGTGATAAATTCGGCGTAAAAGACAATGAGGTACACACGGCTTTATTGAGCGGTGATGCGCATGATCAGCTTGCGATTGCGTATCATTTGATTATTGATAATAAGCGCATTGCGGATGAGGCGGCGAAAGCTGAGTTGAAAGAGTTTTTCGTCGCTGGGAGTCCGCCGCCCGTGGTGAATATGAGTCCTAGCCCGGCTGATTTTGGTACCAGTCCATTGAAACCGCATCCGGAACGTATTGCACCACTGCGCGATCGTGTTATTGCCTCGAATCATGCCGCGTCTGGTGAACGTGGTACACCGGTGAAGCGCGCCAAGTGGCATCTTGGTATTCGCTCTCAAAGTCGGCCGAATGATATTATGATGGAGGTTTATCGCGCTATGAAAGCGCTGGGTTACGAATGGAAAGTCATCAATCCGTATCATGTTCGTGTTCGTGAACGCAGCAAGATGCACGACAAATTCGTCAAAATGTCCCTGCAACTCTATCAAGTAACAAAAATTCACTTTATAGTTGATTGTATACTAAATTTGTATATTTTTTATGTTTCCAGGTGGACTACAAAAGCTATTTGTTAGATTTTAAGAGTTTGTCGAATGATGAAAGCTCGGAGAACACCGGTGCTGCCTTAATGGGCACATCGGTGCCTACACCGATTATTTCCGCTGGAAATCTAACGCCTAACTCGGCCGTGGGTCACCACACTATGGAATTCTTCGAGATGTGCGCTGCGCTGATCATTCAACTCGCGCGTTAATTTTTTGTGTTTTATATTTGCTACTTAGTAGACGCGATAACAAAAGGTACAAACACGCTTGAGTATCAATTAATTCAAGGATTCGGGGCGCTGTTTATTCTAGATTTGGATTGGATTGAAAATGCAGCGCTGCTCAGCGCGCTGTGTGGAAATAGAAAGGTCTAGCAGTCTAGAATTATAAAGGAAACTTATATTATAATATGATTATCAAAACACACAAATGGTGTCATAAAACCGTGATAACTTTAAACTTGTTGTGTCTGACTGTATGCAACCATATAAGCGCGTCAGAATCACTCAATGGAGGTGCGCGTGGTGGGCGCATGCGCGGATCCATAAATTATAATAGCGAGCGTGTGCCGCCATTTTGATTTATGCTGGTTTCGCTGTGGCGTCGGGAGCGGAAGGTGCGAGCGAATATGTGCGTCGGTGTTTGAAAAATCGTCCTGGACACTTCTGAGAGGTAATACATTCTTATACTTATTTGTATTCATTGACAATGCTGTGTTACACGTGCGGGTAGTATTTTCACGGCATGCAACAATCGGCGAGCGCAACAATTCATAGTTTAGTTTCATTCAAGTACATACGCTATGTGCTATACGCCGAATGTTGTTTGAAAAACGTCGCGCGGCATTTGTTCCTGCATCAACAAATCTCATTCGTTCGTCGGGTAAAGAAATATTACATTGGGAGATGAGTAGTTGTAAATTTTCGGCGTCGGGATGCATTTGTTTATATTTTTGTGACAACGCGGGAACGCGCGCCGTTTTAGGGACGCCCACTTTCCTATATGCGGTCGAAAGCGCAGCATACACAAACACACCAACACGAATGTTAATATACTCGTTTGCGTGGAAAATAAAATTAAATCAGATAAAAATTGCAATTAGAAATATATTAAATGTTTTTTTCTGTTCAACATAAAACGTTTCAGTATACACACGTACAGCTATACAGGTTGCATAGCACTGGTTACCAACACTTTCTTTGTAAAATCGGTATGCGTATGTTTATTAATTTAATAAAAACCACATAATCTTGTTGTAATGTAACACTATGCCGCTTCCGAGCTATGTACGAACGTAATTAATTCGCGACATTATTTGTTTTTCCTCAGTCATTGAATAAACAAAAGATAAACGCCGTTCAAAATGGCCGCCAAATTTAAAATCGTATCGCTTAATATCACTTAACAACGATTAAACTAGATAATATAATTATGATTGCAGTCAATATGTATAGCACAATATGTGGCTAAGGAGCGACAAGTCGAGCGGCAAGCTGTCGAAGCGTTTGAGCCTCTACCCGAAGAAAAAGAGTAAGAAACACCGTGCGCCGCCACCGCCGCGCAAAAAGTCCGCTCAGCATGCGAGGCGCGCCGCCATTTTCGTCGCCAAGAAGGTCCCACTGCAAATGCACGCCGACGGCAAAGAGAACCTATGCCATCACGACGTTATAGTCGACGCCAACGTCGCCAAGTCCATGCAAATCGCACCAAAACCACACGAAGAGCTCTCCAACCACGAGCAGCCATCAGTCGTACCGCCAGTCGAACAGCACACAAACAACACCGCCACAGAGATGTTGGAAGTCTCGAATCTCGGCAGCATTGACCTGCCGAATCTAAACTTGCCCAAAGAGATCGAGTATTCCAAGATAGACATCGACAACAATTTACACCTGAATTGCACGGAGACGATGCAAGTTGTCGGCGAACATCGCGACATTTACTCCGATGAAAAGTATCAGTATTCATCCGTATACGCTGATAAAATCTGCGATAGCGTTTATTATGATTACACCATGAAGAACGACTATCAAGATCTACAGATTGATTTGAGCGGAGTGAATACGCAGGACTTTTCTTCGCTGCTAGATGAAGAAATGTCGCGAAACGGCGATATCATGAACATTAACTATGACTACTCCACAATGTATTCAACCAATCCACATGAAGAGAATATGATTACAAGTGTTGTTCCCTTGCAACAGCCGCAGGAACAACAAAAGGAACATCAGGTTGAGCACGCTGAAGTCGATGAAGGCTGGGATGCTTTCGATCCTTATTTTTTCATCAAACATTTACCTCCGCTTACGTTTGAAATGCGTTCCAAATGTCCGGCACTGCCGTTGAAAACGCGCTCCAGTCCAGAATTCAGTCTTGTTCTGGATTTGGACGAGACGCTTGTACATTGTAGTTTGCAGGAGTTGTCAGACGCAAGTTTTCACTTCCCGGTGTTGTTTCAAGAGTGTTCGTACACTGTATACGTGCGCACGCGTCCGTTTTTTCGGGAATTCATGGAGCGCGTCGCGGGGATGTTTGAAGTTATTTTGTTCACGGCTAGTAAGAGAGTATACGCGGACAAGTTGTTGAATTTGTTGGATCCGGAGCGTAAATGGATCAAGTATCGGCTGTTCAGGGAGCACTGCGTCTGCGTGAATGGGAATTACATTAAGGATTTGTCCATTCTAGGCAGGGATCTCAGTAAAACCATTATCATTGATAATTCACCACAAGCATTTGGTTATCAGGTAATGAATCTGCTTGATTTTGTATTCTTGATGTGTAATTTAATGTTTTTTCTAGTTGAATAATGGAATTCCGATTGAAAGTTGGTTTGTTGATCGGACTGATTCAGAATTGATGAAACTATTACCATTTCTTGAAGATCTCGTTCAATTGGTATGTAATATTTAAAAAAATCATGTTTTTCAATCAAAAACTTTGATTTTTGTACTTAAATTCACGTTTTTGAGCGAAAATTCACAGAAAAACTGCAAAATCTCTAATAATCTTCTAATTTTTAATATTTTTATGCCCTGAATGTTGGAATTTTATGTTATTATGTTTTTTTAATGTTAATAGCAAGAAGACGTACGTCCGCATATCAGAAACAAGTTCAAACTCTTCAGCTACTTGCCTCCGGATTAATACCACCACCCTAGCGACTTCATAGACAATCATCGTATGTGTATTTGTAAATTAAGGCCCTTAAGTCGTAGGCATGTAAGCGTTCTTCGTAATTCGAGCAAGCAAACAAACACTTTGCGTAAACATAAGTGATTTGTAAGAGAAAAACGGTTGTGCATGCTCATCGCCCTGACCAACATTTGCACGACGCCTTTTATTGAACTAAAAACAACATTATTTTGCTTGTGAAAAGTCTAAAAAAAAATCGTATTTCTAAGAGAGAAGTTTCCAAAACAAAAGAGCGACTCGGTGTGTTCATGGATCGCACAAAGTTAGAGGTATAGATATTCTATAAATAAACATAAAATATGGTTAGTATCGTACGCGTGTACTTAAAGGTTAGTAGAGATTTTAAATTAAAGAAACAATGGGCATATTCGACGAGTCGCACGAAGTAAAAATCCGTCCTTAAATTATAAACTGTTTGGAAATTGGAAGGGAAAGTTTATATTTTGTTAGTTTAATATTAATATTGTGAAGTTGGAAAGTGCCTTTTGCATTATAAACCCACAACATGCGAGATTGAAGCAGAAAAGTTCACGTTTTGATTTACTGTTGATTGCAATACATTGATTGTGATATTACATTAACAATTAAGCTTTAAATTTGAAAGAAGATGAGAAAAAAAAACATAATAATGGTTTGTGTAAATGTTGGTCAGTTGGCAATGAGTACAAATTACAAATTGTTATCACACAAATAATGAACATAAGAATATTGTATGCAATAGGGATCAATGATTTAAATGTAACGTAAAATTTAATATCTATATAACAAAATTATATACACACACGTCACACACATACAAAAAACAATTCAAATCTAAACGCAAAGCTGACGAGATTCTAGCAACATTTCTAAACTTGCCATTTCTTAATACAAGAAATTAACAAATTAAGATAAAATAACACTAGATCGTTTGAAAATAGTGTCTATGTATAAACTAAACGCAAAAGCAAACTTAAAATTAAAATGTAAACTTAAAAAAATTACTTGAAACAGTTGCAATACGAGCACAAAACTGCTGAATTTCCGTGTGACATTCATGTAAGATATTCTACTAACTATTATTTGTTGTTTTTGTTAAAATATCAAAGTTTATATATGTTTACATATTAACCACACAGCGCGGGCGAAAAATGTTTGATGTTTCGTAGCTTTACAACGGCTGTAAATAATTGAGACCCACACACTGTCACATCTTTATCACTATATTTATCTTGTTGCACAAAACAAAACAAAATGGCTGCTACCAGTTGCATACACATATGAATGGAATGAATGTACTTAACATTTTTCTACCAAACGCAGTTCAGCATAACAAAATGTGAGGCATTAACAAGATAAAGATACAATTTACTCTATAAAAAGTAAAAAAAAAATGAAAAGAAAATATCGCAATATATAAAATTATAAATATATAATATCTAATTTGTACTATATTTGTTGTGTAATGTTTAGTTGTATGCATAACTCTTGCACTAGTTAGGTGTTTATTATTTGTTTGTTTGAATTGACTTCAAATGAATTTTATTTTCAAAAGAAACGTTTAATCATATTGTACACTTTGTTGATTACAATGTACATTGCATTTTATTAAAATACAAATAATACAAGTTAGAATATATTATATAAAATTAATATTGTACAAAATTGTAAATATTTATCGAGTGTATGGATGGACTTGTACAGCGCTTTTAATATTAGTTTTGATTCCTGAAGGAGCTTTATTCATCGGTTGACCGGCTGGGGACATGGCTGGACCTGGACCGCTTCCAGGACGACCTGGAGGAGCAACCATTACACCTGGTTGTGGAGGATTACCCATCATCTGCAAGTAAAACAGGAAAAACAATGATTTTTTTGTTGATAATGATTTATATTGATTATTTTGTTTACTTTAAGTCCTTTGCCCATGCCTACAGCTGCAACCAGTAGATTGGTATCTGCCATGCTTGAATTCTGCTGTGCACCACCCCTGGCTGATGCTTCAACCTCCCATTCTTCTCTGGCTTTGCTCACAATGTCCCACACATGTGAGACTACTTTCTGGTAAGCAGTAATTTGCTTCTGTGAGTTGTCAAATGCCAGTGTGGCTGCTTTGTGTTCCAGTTGCAGCATTTTTGACTCTGCCATGGGTTCCAACTTGGTGCGGAGGTAGTCAGGGACGAGATCGTGAGCGAATGTGCATACTCTTCCTTCTGTCATCTGGGCTAGGGCTTCATCTCTTTCAGGTGAGAGCATTAGTGGTAGTACTGTGAGATTGCGGAGGAGCGGGCATTTGTCGTGGCTTAATATTTTCGATAACGATGTCAGCTAATATGAAGAATATTTGTTTTAAAATTGTGAATTTATGATGTTTTGGGTACTTACATGGCCTGATAATAAGGCATAATTGTCTAAGAATGTTGGCCAGTTGAGCGTTTCATATTCGTTCTCGACCTTGTAAATCATAGCCGCTGTGGATGATTTTAAGTCGTTTACACGTTGGATTATTGTATCTAATGCAGCTTCAAGTTGTTTTTCTTCCCTGGCTTGCATTTTTGCTGGTTTTATTTAAGTTTAGTCTCTGATTTTATATTAGTAAGGTTAATAATAACAGAGGTAATGTATGTATGTGTGTATGTAATGTATGTTATGTAGGCTGATGTAGGCAATACATAGCCTTCGATATTTTTATTTTGAATCTGATTGGTTGGCTGTGCTTATGTATAACTAGTGGGGGTAAGCGGGTAAACGCCGCACTAGTTACAAACATAACCGCGCCGTCTTCTTCTCGAACACGTTTTCTCGCAAGCACGTGTTTTCAAGTTCCGCTCGACAAAAATTTCGAAATAAAGTAAGTTAAACTATCCACAATAATATTTTGATGTTAGACTTACTCTGTATACATATAGTTTGCACCAAAATAAATAATCATGAAGACCGCGTCGCCAGTCAAAGCTATTGCTGCAAAAAAGTCGCCAGGGAAGCCAAAGTCTCCCTTCAAGAAAGCCAAGGATGTCGTTAAACAAGCCTCGCCTCAGAAAACCAACGGTACTCCAAAGTCTCCTAAACAACAAAACGCAGGTGGCCCTAAGACCCCTAAACAACAAAATGGTGGTGCCCCTAAGACCCCCAAATCACAAAATGGTAAATTTGTTGGTAAAGTACAAAATAGCAACAAAAAGGAGAAGTTGAACAAGGTGCCAGTCATGAATGAAGCTAGTGATGATAGTGGAGATTCGGACTCACCTAGCAATGTTAATATTCCTAAATTTGCTGGCACTGCTGCTTTGGATGAGAAAAAACCAGTGAAAAAAGCTGTTAAGAATAAAACTCCTCCAACTTCAGCACCTGCTGAAGAAGATCAGGCTGAACCAGCCAAGAAAATAAAGAAAGAGAACAAGAAGGGAAGGAAGAGAATAGGTTTGGTTATTACACTTGGCCAGTTGGTGCAACAGAAAGAATTCACTAAACTAAAGGCACTGCTGCCCAAAATCAAAGATCACATTCAGGCTGCAAAGGACAAGAAGGAAACTATTTCATCAAAGAGGAAGGTACGAATTCTGGAGGCTTATGTGAAGAAGATTGAGACTGGAAACTTTGAAAAGGCTGAAAAACCTCCCAAGGCACCAAAACAGAAGAATCAACCTAAAGTACCCAAAGGTTTGAAACTGAAAAAAGAAAAAGAAGAAGATGATGATGGTGAGACTTGGCAAGATAAACTTGAAAAAGCTGGAAGTGATGATGAAGAAGAAGATGATGATGAGGTAGAGGAAGAAGAAGGAGACAATGAAGAAGAGGAAGCTGAAGAAAGTGACGATGATGAAGATGCACCAAAACCCAAACAGGGAAAGAAACTCTCAGTTGTAAAGAAAGCTGAAGAGAACAAGGGTCAACCTAAGTCACCTAAAAAGACACGATATGTTCTTTTCGTTGGTAATCTGAGTTATGGAACAACCGAGGAAGATATTAAAGAACATTTCCAGAAGACCGGTAATGTAACCAGGGTGCACCTAGGAAAACATAAAGGTACAGAGCAATCAAGAGGTTTCGCGCATATTGAATTCGGTACTGAAGAAGCATACCAGGTAATAAACATTAAATTGTCACATATCTTCTGTATATTAATGCATATTTGTTTTAATTTTAAAGAGGGGACTTTCCTTGCATCATACCCAACTTAACAAACGACAAATCAACGTGATTGTCTCCGATGGCCAAAATCAAAAAGCCCTGACTGGCAGCAAAAGAAACGTACCCCGAGTTAAAGACATGAAGTTAAAAGGAATGAAAAAACAAGGTTTGTTGGCTGGTAGCACGAAGGATTCGCAAAAAAGAAGCGCGCGACGCAAGAAAGCTGCTGCAGGTCAAGCAGAGTAAGAGGAAAAACTTGATAATTACCTTTAAAGATTACGATAATCTTGTTACATGATTCGAATTTTCAAGTTTACGCATTATCAATTTATAATTAGTTAAGTTTCTCTGTAGGTTCATACAGAGATAATTTTTTAAAATATACTACACTAATCGTCAGTCAAAAAACTACAATTTTTAATATTATGTGTACAATTTAAACATGTCCATAACAAACTCGTAAGTTACAAAGATGGCGACGTTGAATGGGAATGAGCGCACTAAAACCGGCCATGTACCTTGGAAGAAGTACTGCCAGCCGTGTTCGTGATACGTGCTCATGACGCAATGTCTCATGCTACGAAACTGCGGGTTGTACATATTATCACCTTGCATTCGGGATTTTATCACATCCAAAGGCACGACGAATATCCACGAGAGTAAACCTGCTGTACCACCGGCGAATGATTGTTTCACCACTTTGTGATTGAGTATATTGTAGCCATAATCACAGTTGACTAACCATTCGTAAACTAATGTGTATATGCCACTTGTTGGGCAGTCTCTGTACATCATCGGTGTGATTCCTCTGAAATACCATTTAAAACCCGGTCCACGCCATATTTTTATTAGGCAATCTATGATTCCTTTTGCGTCTGTTTCGTACCGTGATTTCCAGACGTTTTTGTTCTGTGTTTGCATTTGTAGTAGAGTTTTTACCAACTCTGCTGGACATGTGAATATTACCTGCCAAAAACCAGCAAATGTTCCTTTAAATTAAATTATTTTGTTAACATAGTGCAAGGTGGGTTGCTAATTTGTTTAGCAAACCTGCTAGAAACACATTACGTTCCCAATTTGGATCTGTTAGATCCACACGGCCTTCCTGTCCTTCTTTGCCGATGAAACGCATTGTACCGCCATAAAAACCGAAGAATATCGCATTGGATGGACCTATCATAAGAGCAGGAAGGACGAATCCCTTGTAGAAACCAGGAATGCCTTCATGTTTAAATGTGAATTTAACAGCTTTGAACAATCGCGTGTGGAGGACTTGTTGGCGGACTTTAATTGTATCGAAGGGGTGCCCAATGGCCAAAGCTGTGGTTCCTAAATTAATAAAACATTAAATATTAATTTAATCTGAATGTAATACAATAGGCAACCAACAATACACATGAATCTCCAGCGCGTAAACAATGCCATCCGGTAGTGTACATTTTTGTAAGATTAGTAAGCGCACAAAAGGCATGCGCACGCAGCTGAGCAAGAGCAACTCAAACGAGTTGGATTTGTAGCAACAATCGAATCCGATCCATCGTCTCGAATAAACCGTTTGCGCGTAAATTCCGTTACACACGAGCGCAGTTCCGTGCAGTGTCGCAACACAAATGGGGTTGACCGAGACGCCCGAGCTACCTCCCAACAGCCACCTACCTGCGATCCATCCGGCGATGAAGTCCTGAACGCCGATGAGCATCGCATCCCACCTCGCCAATCCACCAGGTGTCTAATCCACGAATAATTCCATCCGCGACAGCGCGATGCTCTCCAGACGCAAGGATCCGCGCAACATCAAGGAGGGTGTCGTTGGCAAGTACGTTAAGAAGGACACCCCGCCTGGAATCTCCAGTAAGTGTGCTCACGCCTTCATCTAACGACGTTCTACTCAAACCTGTAGACTGCCAAGTCGCTAATTGTTGCGACTTTTATTGTTGCAATTACATAACCCTCCTTGGTGTTAATTTGATGTATGTATTTATAAATTGTTTGTCATAGTTATAAACGTCTGGACGACTGAGCCGAAAAAGCGGACGAGTGGTCTAAACAGGTCATCATTGCCTCCTCAAGGTGGTGCATCTACTTCTGCATCAACATCCAACTGGCATACTGCTGGTGCAGCTGGTACAACTGTTCAAAAGTTTGGTAACCAGAAGACTACCATTAGTGATGTTGGTCTGGGGGCACATGAGGGTAAATACACACCTTCCATTCCATCTCTTACCACACCAGACAATCCTCAATCAGCTAGGAGTTCTACAACTTCAATTGTGCAAAAGTTTGGTAATCAAAAGACCACCATCAGTGATGTTGGCCTTGGGGCACATGAAGGAAAGTACACTCCATCATCATCTGCATCAAATTTATCTCCAAGGTATTCAAAATGGCGGATTTTTTAAGAATTTTTTTTTGATTTATTTATTTTAGACTTACTAATCTGTCCATAAATGATGTGAATCAAAGTTTAGTTACAATCAACTCTCAACCGCCGCCTCCACCGCAGCCGATTTACGTGAATCAAATCGGCAGTTCGTATATTGACAATTCTTCGGCGAGTAACGCCAACTACGTCGAGATTGATCAGATTTATCCACTCACAGAGAATTACGAATCGAATTACCGCACGCATTCCCCGATTTATCAGAATACCGGCGAGAACGCTGCTCATGCGCATGGTCACTTGGACACCACGCCGATCTATAGCAATACAAGCGATAGGTTTCGGCAGACTCAGGGTATGACTTACGGTGAGAGTCTTGCGCATCATTTGCGGCATAGTATTGAGCGCACTGACGGGTTACAAAAACCGGAGAGCTCGGAAGAGCTGCCATTGCCGCCTGGATGGTCAGTGGATTATACACTCAAGGGCAGGAAGTATTATGTTGATCACAACACGAAGACGACGCATTGGTCGCATCCGCTGGAGAGGGAAGGATTGCCAACTGGGTGGCAATGCATACATTCACCGCATTATGGTGTTTATTATTTCAAGTAAGTGATAATAATATTAATATTAATATAGTGTAGCCTATATTTATACAATATTGTTGTACAACTTACAAAAGATTACACAGATTAATGTTTTTCTTGATCGTCGTTAGAAATAGAAAGTGATTTACAATAACTGATTGTTTTTATTGTTAACAGTCACATTACGAGGACTGCTCAGTATGAACATCCATGTTTGGTGCCTTGTTTCAACTACCAGGCGGATGTGAGGTACTTAAGTCCGCCGGGGCATACACATTATCAGCCACACAGTGTCTTAGTACCAGCTAATCCGTATTTATTGGAGGAAATTCCGCCGTGGTTGAAAATTTACTTTCAAGGTTCGTTTATCTTCCAAACCATAAAATTTGCTATGAAAAAATAAAATTTTCCGTATTTTTATTGTAGCGCGTGTGGAGTTAGATCACAAATTGCGTTGGGACATGTTCCAATTAACAGATCTGGATTGTTTCAACGCGATGTTAACAAGACTCTACAAGCAGGAGTTGCAAATGATTGTTATGAGATATGAAAGTTACAGGTGTGTAATTTTTATCTATTTTTTGTTTTTATGATTTACTTAATGTGTTTTATCTCCAGGTCAGCATTATTTGTTGAAATGGAAAAGTGTAAGATGCAACGAAAAGATTCGAGGGCTGTGACCGGACATCATTGAGTATTTTTTACGCGAATATTATCATTTTTTTAAAACATACGATTTTATCATTGCAAAGTTTTGTTCCTATTTTATCGATTTATCAAACATTGCCACCGCGCCGACAACATTTTGATAATATGTTGTGTATATTTTACAACTGTGCTACATTTATTTAGCTAATAATTTAACATTTTCATCAATTACTTTGTAAGTTCTTGAGTGACAGTATTTTCGGGTTTTGTGATTACAGACTTGATAGCTACTTTCTTTACATCATCAAATTCATTGTTCACTTCGTATCTCTCCACATGTGTGCCTGAAATTTTGAACACTGTTGCTTGCTTTATGCCTAGTGATTTAGTCCATTGTTGAGCTGTAAAAATATTGAATTATTGCAAATGTTTACCTTATGTATTATAGAATTAATTTTTAAATAATGATGTTTTACCAGCTGTTCCCTCTTCTTTTGGGAGGCCATGGAATGTGGCCCAATTGGCTTTTCCTGTGGCCATGTTGTAGCCTACAATTCCAAAGGCATTCCAGGCAAGAAACATGTATAAGTATGAGAGTTTCTGCTTCCACTCGCCGGCGTATTCTGGAGTCATTGGATACGTATGTCTGCGGACAAGTCTCCGCAGCCATTGCATTTGAAACATTCTGCTTTACCAATCAGGAATTTATTTTGAACTGAAATTCATGAATCGGCAAAGTGAGGTTAATATTTAGGATGTAATCGTAATCGCAAGGTCAAAACATAGTCATATGGTTGTCTGAGCGTACTTAAAATTTGTTCTTTTGAATATTTGCAAATGATCTACAGTTGGAATACGTCCTAGAAATAAATGCATTGCTAAATATTAGTTTCTGTTCATATTTTTATTTTTCACAAAACAACAGTTTAACACATTACAATAACAGAAACCAAACGTTTGCTGCGCATGCTTGTAATTTGATCTGGGTTTTGTGCTTTGAATCTTTTTTCACACGAGTTTTTATCTTCACCAGCCATAGCATACTACATTTTCGGTGATAACGCGGTTTATAATCTAAAGAAAACAATTTAAACTTTCGGGTAAAAATATTGTTTTGTAAGGTTAGAAATTAGGTTTGGTTGATCTGTGCAGTTGTGCGTGTTCAGTTGCCGTCTGCCTTCCTTGAGGCACGCATCACGTTTTTTGTTTGTTTATGTTATTTGTGCAGCACAAAGAAATCCATTGCAATGGCCAGGTATACAAACACATTTTTATTTCATTCGAACAATTTGCATGTTGAATGTGTGTATGTGTTGTGGACAGGTCCTATACCAGTTATCGTCCATTTTTAAAATTGTAACCTGCACATGTTTCACTTTCCACAGTCCTGACAATTCTTGTTATGTGAAGTTCTATTCACCCAAAATACCCACATTTGATGATCGGACAGCATACGTAAGTTATTCATTTACTTCTTGGGCATCTAACAACACATAATTTATTTGTAGCAAGAGTTCCATCAGTACTTTCAGAGTTTAATGCAAGTAAAGTGTACAAAATTATATCTCAATTATCTTGAATCTTTTGGCAAAATTTACTATAAAGACATTGAGTAAGAAAACACGGAATACATTGATAACCCCAATATAACATGATAATTTGTAGGGCTGTTAAATTATTAATTGATAAAGTCAAAAGGAACAATATCTATTCCATAAAATTTGATGAAATTATGCCTTCTGACTTGAAGACGCCTGCAGGCTTCAATACAGTCATTACCGAAGTAATGACTGACGTTAATGGAAAACCAGTTGGTCTCTTGAAGAACAATTCTTCAGAAATGTTTATATCAGTTTCAGATGCACAGCGATGCGGCGCCATTTTATATTCTGCGGAAGAATCACAAACGTAAGACCTCTTATTGATATATAAATATTACCACTATTTAAATATATAACTTCTAGTGCGTTACTTGATGAATTGCGCGACTTTCTAAAAGTACACGCTGCTATCTATATGAAAATCCGAAATGTTGATCAAAAGATACAAAATAATGTGTGCATCGACGTAAAATTTGCTAACATGAAATCTTTAACATCGCCTTCTCCTGCTGGATCGATTAAAAGTGTGTCCAACAGTAAGAATTCTCACAATGGCAATAACATGAATAATAATACACCAGTAAAGTTTAATAATTCATCTTCTGATAAAGTGACTTCTGCCAAGTCAAAAACTAACCCTATTATGAATGGCAATACAACCAATAAGAAACAAGGTATTAAAAATCCATTGACACCGCGTCAATTACTTCTAAAATTGAATAAGAAGCCGAATGGTGATTCTAAACCAATTCAAAACACCACCACACCTGAAACTGTTTCACCAAAATGTATTCCACGCAAGTCTACTCCCATGAAAACAAAAAAATTGATTGATTATCCAAAAGGAGTGTAAGTAAACTAATAATACACAATATTGTTGATCAAAACATGATTTTTTAGTGTTTATGTTGATAAAATGAATGTCAATGATGAAATATTGGTGCAAGTGCTTCGGAAAACTTCGGAAACAACTTATATTGGGTACATAATGATAAATGTAACATTTGATGAACTACTTACTCAAGCAAAATTAAAACATGAATTGTTAACGCCGTAAGTGTTTTAATTTTTGTATTGAGTGATGTTTTTCTTGATAAAATGTATATTTTTAGATCTATTGGAGAATTGGTGATTGTAAAACTTGACGATGAGAAAATAAGCCGTGCTTATATCCTAGAACTGTTAGACGAAGGTAAATTCAAAGTTGCAGCTCTAGAATATGGGCAAGTCGTTGATGTGGATGCAGTTTTTGAAGTTCCTGATGAATTGCTTGGATATGACGAATTTTTATGTGTTTGTGAAGCGCCGGCCACATTTGTCGCGGTTAGTTATCAATATTTATTCATTTTTTGTGGGTTTTTTTATATTTCTGGAAATTTTACAGAATATTTCCGTTGATGATGGTCTTATTCAAACTGTCAGCGGCAAGAACTTGCTTATTGATAATGATAGCAAAACTCTCATCAAATGCACACGCTGGTTACCATTATCTACAGCTTCATCTAAATCAGAACAAATTGAAGTTATTGAAAAAGTCCCGCAAAAGATCTACACAGTTCCTCTGCCTACAACAATGCCATCTGTACAAATCAACTCTAAGATATTATTTGTTGCTTTCAATGCGGGGATTCTCTACCTTCGTAGCAGAGATTTACACATGTTGATTACAAAAATGAACGAGAAATTAGCACAGACCGGCGTTGATGCTTTAGAGAAGCCTCCTATTGTCGGACAGTATGTTTTTCATAAAGTAGACAAAGAATATCGTCGTTCCATTGTCAAAAAAGTTTCTCCGCACGGATTTTCCATCGAACATGTAGACTATTTTGGTATGACTACTCTAATTCCAACAAATTCATTAAATCTTTTGTTTAATTTCTCACCGGTGGCCATTTTTGGCCCTACATTGATCAAAGCACGTTTGAGATACTTTGAAGACAAAGATTACTCACCGAACGCGTTGCAATATATTACTAATTGCATCACGAAGAAATTCGACGTGGTTTATGTACAGGATGACGTTGTTGATTTGCAAACCAATTCAGGATGCCTCTCTGAAGTATTGCTGGATTTAGACGCTGTAAAGATAAAAACTATTCAAGATTTGCCGAAGATGACTGCTAAATTAAACGAGGAGTTTTCCATGGTGGTGTTTCATGTCGCTGATGATGGAGACATTTATTTCTGCCCAAGCACTATGAATGATTCTGTAGCGTTGTTGGAAATATGTGCGGAGATCAAACATGTGCAGGACTTAGAGGATTTAGTTCCCGGACAGTTGGGTATTGTATGGTATGAAGATGAATGGACTCGTGTGGAGGCACTTGAGGTGAATGGCAATAAAGCGAAGGTGCGTTTTATTGATGCTGGAAAGGTCACCACTTTCAATGTGAATCAGATTAAGGCGATACCAGATGAAATGATGAATTCTCCGCCGTTGGTGTTAAGAGGCAAATTAACGCAAGGTAAGGAATTATGAATAACTGTAAGAAATTGTTTTTAATCATATTTATGTGTAGATTCTTTGCATTATGGGGAGTATGAAGATCTTGAGTATACCATTTTCAAAGCAATTATTCAAAATAAGCAAGAGGATTGTTATTTGATTCGGTTGATACGTGCGGTTGATGAAGACTAAGCCAAAACATATTATTTTGTTCTATTAAAGTAAGTGATGCCATTTTGTTTCCCTACAGAAGTTAGTTCAATGTTATTGTGAGCATTGATTTGTATAAGTATTAAGTTTCATAGATCTGACTTTAAATGTGTGTTAAGTTAGCAAGAAAAATTTTATCTCAAGCATGATTTAGGATTATCTGACATATTTTTATACGCGAGATTTGAAATATAACTTTTAATTTGAAATATAATTTTTTCCACGCTGTTTATTTTGACATAAAACGTTAAAAAAATAACTCAATATTCAAGGTAAAGCTGGTTTGACAGAAATTCAATTTAATAATTTAGTTCGTGCGCTCAAATGCAGAGGGCGCTGCATGTACGATTGTAAGAATTTCGCCGCACAGTTGATGCACGCATAGACGCTGGAGGCCATTACATGTGCGTCGGTTGGCCGTGCCGGTTCTTTATGTACGCGGCTTGATTTTTAATCGGTGATAATTGTGTGTCCAGTATGTGATTCATTGGGAAAGTGTGCCATGTCGAGGGATTAGGATGCTCCGCATCGAAATAATGGTGAGTCGACCGTTTAAAATTCGTATTTTGCATGAAAATCGCTGTATTGTGGGGTTAATGCTGTGTTTTTCGCTTGATTTGTGTTGTAAACTATGCGCGTCTTATCTTTTCGCACCGGTCGCAATCTTGTTTATCAGATTTGATAGTTGGTTTTTATTGTTTGTAAACGCGAAATACATAGTAAATATATCACAATATCGATACATAAGTGCATGTTTTTGATTTCAAACAACTTCAGACCGAAAATAACGTCAACATTAACAGTTTTTCTAGAATAATCGAATAAATATCTAATAGGTGCGTACAAACTTAGGGTTTTACATCACATTACGCTTTTGATTTGGTGTAATTATCAAAATCTCGCTCGAAAACAACATTTCCATATATTATTAATTGATTATTTGAGTTTGTAATAATTGCTGAATTACGGATTAAGTCACAAGTTTGTCGCTTGTTTGAAAGGCATTGTACAGTCTTTGTTAGTTACGTAGTTATAGTTATTTTTACTTGATTTGGTGTTCTATGGCGTGCGCAAATACTCGTAATGCTAATCATTGCAATCCTATTCATCTGTATTGTATAAATACTTGTGTATCTCGTCGCGGAGGTCTCTGTTGAGTTGGTAGTCGGTGTTTTCTAGCGTGAGGTTAGTCATCGGGCTGGTGTACTTTCCGGACATGAACCATTCGGTGATTGCTTGTTTCTCATAAGTGAAACCGTCGCTAATGGTGACCGGTTCACGCATGATCTCTTGGGTGATTGGACAGATGTATTCATCGGGTATTTCTTCCACTTTTGTCCAATAGGTTGAGTTGAAGTAGTGTTCGTCTTGTTTCAACCAGCGGAGTTCATTGAGGACTTTTTCTAGGAGTTCTTCATCTTCTACATAACATAAAATGATTAGGTTTGATAATTTTGATTTATTTTTATTTATTACCAATTTCTAATCCGGATGCAAGTTCTTCTTCACTGTATCTTATAATTTTCTCGCCGTCTAAGCAAGTATTGAGGACGTTTTCGCGGATTTCTGTAAGGCCCACGTCGGTTATCCACTTGAGGACTTCGTGGACAGACCAATCTGCAAGGATTTTAACTCGGGATTTTAATTTTGCTGCAACTACAGTCTGAAAAACCTTTCAAAAATATTTTAAAATTAATTATTTTGTTTTTATGAGGTTTTTCAAGTTCTTACTAATTGTTGAGGTAATTTCCACACCCATAGTGTTTTATCCAAACACCCTGTGATTAATATCTCGCAGTTTTGACTGAATGCGCAGCTTGTGACGATGCTATCATGGTCTAAAACGTGGAGGCAGCTTGCGCTGTACACTGACCAGATACGTGCTTGTCTATCAGTTGATGTTGAACAGACAAGTTCTCCAGCTCCAGGGGAGAATCGCACGCAATATACGTTACCACCGTGTCCTTGAAGGTTCCTCCATAGTTTTACTTCTACGTGTTCAAATAGGACTTCATCATCTTCACCCTGAAAATATTTTTTAAAGTTTTTGTTTTCCATGTTTTTGGATTTTTTGAATCACTAACTTTTGGTAGTGTAATTGTCCATAATTTGACAAACCCATCATTCCCACTTGTAACCAATAAATAATTCTGCACTTCAATTAAATGCGAATTGGGAATTGGTTCCAAATTAGGTGAGAAATCACAGTCCAAAATACCCAAGTCATGTGCATCATCACGAATGAAAAAGTTATTGTCCATTACCCACAAGCGGAAATCTGAGTTTGCACAGATTGTTACTATGATGGCGTTATCGGGAGAAAAACGGGCTGAGGTTATTGCATCGGAATGTCCTTCCAAATTACTAGAAATGATTATTTAGATGCTAAATCTTCAAAAATTTTATTACTAACCAAATTAGTTCCATTGTTTCAACTTCCCAGATGTTTGCTACTTCATCATCACCAGCTGTGATGAGGTATTTACCATCCGGCGAGAAACTGCACACTTTTACGCTTAATTTGTTTTCTGGGATACAATTTATCTTATCACCATTCTAGAAAATCAAAAATTAGTTAAAACTTCAATAATTATTAATCCGAGGGTTGTATTTACTGAAGGGTTCCAAATATTAGTCCAACCATCAAGCGAGCAAGTAGCTAACATGGTCCCTTCAGAATTAAACTCTACATGGTTCACGGAATATGAATGTCCTTCAATTGGGGAGAGTGTAGATTCTTCCAAGGTGTTGTCTTCTGATATGTTGAACAGCCTTATCATTTTATCACTATAAAAAATAACTTTTCTTCTGTTTTCTTCTAAACTTCTTTTAATTTTGTTACCTGGAACCAGTTGCTACCAGAGTATTAAATATACTACAGGAGTTGATGGCTCCTTCAAAAAGATCTTCAATTTTCTCCACGAGTTCAACAGTATCCTGCGCATCAGCATTCATAACCATTTCTTCTTGCACTCCTTCGGCCCTAGCCATCGCATGGGTCTTCAATTCGGATTCTAGGGTTAACGCGCTGGTCATGTCCCAAATGATGACGCTCTTATCATTGGAACCTGTGGAACCTTCAAATTATCACGCTTGATTAAAGGTGGAATTCGTGGTGGGTGTCTCTCAAACGCTCTCTATGGAGACAACTAGGCCCTAAACACATTCTAAATTGTATCTAGAGACATTTACATTTACCGACATCTTGAAAAATCTAATAAGCACGCGATTATTTTATTGCTTACCTGAAATAATTAGGGACATATCACGCGAGAATGCTACACAGTTTACATAACGTTGATGACCCTGTAGAGTAAAAAGTGTTGCCCCATTCATATCCCATACTTTGATTAGTTTGTCCAAACTGCAGGAAAGAAGGTTTAATCCACTTCCGCTGAATTTAACACAGGTTACAGCTGAAGTGTGACCGGAAAACGTCCCGGTAGGTTCAATAGATACGAAATTCTCGGAGTTTCTGTGTTTGGGAACTGTGGTTGCCTTGATTGTCCAAATGCTGATCTCGTCGCTATTACCACAAACTGCTAGGGTGTAGTATTTCGTAAACGGGTCCTCGTCTAAATTAAATTTAAATTTCATAGCAATTTGGGAGCAATTTTTTTAATAAGTAGATTACTAACCATCAATTCTAAAATTATTCGATATGTCCATTCCAAGTATCCCTAAATCATGCGCATTGTCCACTTCACATGCAGGTGAAACAGGACCATCATTAGTAGTATCCAAACAATCCTGTAGATGCCAAACGATGATAATCTCCAGTGAACATCCACTGACAAAATATTGCGAGTCTGGTGTAAAAGCCAGGCCTTGGGTGGTACCCTCATGGACGAATATCGTCCGGATTAGATTCCGATGGACTAGATCCCATATGCATATTGCGCCGTTGTCGCCCTCTGTGATCAAAACTGAACTATCCGGTGCAAATCTACCGAAAAATTAGTATAAAGGTGATAAAAATTGTTTAATTTAGGTAAATCTAGTTAAATTTAGTTGGTAGTTTATGGTTAATGTTGGTACCTGCACACGCGTATTGCGTCCCCATTTACTTGCACCATTGTGTATATTTTGGTAGCGGCCTGCAGGTTCCATAACACTGCGGTGCCATCGATGGACGCGCTGGCAAACATTGAACCCTGGGGTGATACACGCACGCAGGTCACGCCATATTTGTGTCCGCGCAGGGGCGAGTTTGAGGTTTCGGTGAAACCAGTGCCTGGGATCCATTCCCATATTCTGATGGTTTTATCACTAACAAAAACATAGAAAATTACCTTTTTATGTTGAGTTTCACTTCCTTTTCCGCGGGTTTTTTTCTTTTCTAGCCGTTGCTGTCGCTGTAGACTCACATAGAAATACCCCCCTCCACTTTTTATCAACTCTGAATTCTTTGACATGGTTTTATTTGCTTTGAGACTTGAGTCATTCAATTTTTATATTTTTAGTCTCCGTCAGTTTAAAAATATATTATAATAGATATTAGTTGCTTTTGACGTCATATCTGCAATTACGTAACATTCTGTATATGCCTATATATCGAACCATGGCAGGTAAACACAACTGCAGTTTAAATTCTAATCGATTCGTAATGAAAACATTGTTCGTTTGCATGTTGTGTACATTTATGCAAGCGTGGCAATGGTGGAGGCGCCGTCAGGTGTCTGCATAAATATTGCGCCTGTTTTTGTCACACGTTACACAATTATTTGCAATTACCGTAATTATATCGCGCTATTTTTTCTTGGAATAATTGTTGTTTTGTTTTATTAACACCGAAACGAAACACTTTTACACGTGTGCACAGTTCGATAAATTATTTACGCATTACCAGTCTGCATAAATTAAATAATAACTGGATTTTCGACGTGTTTGTGTACTAGTTCAATTATTTTTATTTTCCCTTTGTTGCTATAAATAAAAAAGAAACAACCTTCGTTAAAGCTCCGGGGCGATAAAAGTTCAACAATGTGACTAAAATTACTTCGATTACTAAAGTGCTTTTGTTTTATCGTCTGCTGTTATTCTTTTTCCGGGTTTATTCGCTTTCACCGACAGTAAAATAACTTTTGATATAATATGGCTAAACATTGCATGTCAGAAATATAAAACAATATCACAAAAGTGAACAAATAACAAAATACGTGAAAAAAAAAAACGCATGCGTACAAATAGAATAATAACACGTGTATTTCTCAATTTTGTCAGAATAATTTATAGTCATTAAATAATTTATGGAGAATATTTTTATCGATTTTAATTCATACGTGTTTGTTTCAGGGTTGTTCGGACTTTCCCCCAGTCTTTTCTAATGTTTGTCGCCAACACGGTGAGTTTACCCACACGCAAAGTGAAAAATTATTTATATTTATACCTGGATGCGGTTATTAAATTAAAGTTGGGTGCAAAGTCACAAGATGTGACGTCACTCGTGTGCCCGGTGAGGGTCTGGAGACGCTCGGCGGTCTCTCTGGTGATGCTCATATCGGCGTCGGTCTGAAACTGCCCCAAAAGAAAGCGCATTACATATTAACGCTCGGCATCGGTTTAACGTTCAATTAAAAGCCGTGCTTCATGCATAATAAACCACTACAGGCTGTTTTAATGTACTTATTGTCCTTGGCCTTGCTTCCAATTCTACCCGACAAAGTTTTGTGTCAATTTCGTTATCATTGAGTTTTTAATTTTTTTTGTGACTTTATACGGTTTAATATGAATAATTACTTAATTAGATTTTGTGGGATTATAAGTAGGACAATCGGAGAAGTTAAGGAAGTAGTAATGAACAATAATTATCAGGTTATTAATTATTTAAAAATTAACCGTATCATTTTTCTTCCATTTGGTTTTTTTGAGTTATTATTGAATCTTTAAATGATTTTTTTTTGTAGTTATGGCTATCTGTAATGGTTAGTCGATTCCAGTCGGCGTTCAATAATAAATTGATGGCGGCTGGTGATTGTGGCATTACTATTATTACAGATTCAATAATGAATGATACAAGTTGCGGCGCACGTGTGCGTTATTGTAATTTGCAAAAGCGACGAAGCCAATCGATTAATCAACGTAGCTTTTTTATTATTATTATTTTATGTTTTTAAATAAGCGTAAGCTATAATCAGGCATTTCTTATGCGCATTGTCAATAATCTTTAACTAATGGTATAAACGCGAGTGTAACGGTATTTTTATGTTTGTTTGTTACGCTTTTACGCAAAACCCACTGAATTAATATTGATAAATTTTGGTGTAGGGATAGTTTGGACCTAGGATAAGAACATAGACTACTTTTTGTCGCTAAAATTTAACTTGAAGAGTGTGCAAAATAGTTTTTATGTTTATGCAACGAAAAAGGTAGATGGCGCTGACGCATGCATAAAAATGTGATGAAAATTGAAGATTAAGATAGAAAATAAAAGAAAAGTCGTGAAAACTCGTAAAATGCTAATAAATTACGCGGTAAATGTATTTTCTATATACAAAACAAAAAATATTCAATTTTTGTGCGTAAAATGTGTAATTTTTACGTCTGTTGTTTCTGGTTTAATGTGTGAGGATTTTCGCTTTTAATGCTTTCACGCATTTTCCTCCATATTTCACGTGTTCGATGACGTCAAATAAAAGCGTAAATCGATCGAATAAACACAAAAAAACGCGCCGGCCCTTTGTTTAGCCACATTATTGGAAAATGAAATTACCTTTCATCATCAACAACAGCAACAAAACGCACGCTACAAATCCGGACGTTTATTGCTTTGATCACAAATGCATTGAAAAATAAATACAGATCGTTATTTAAGGTATTTTTAGAAGACAAAAATTGATATTGGAGTTATTACCGGGCGGCGGGATATCGTTCGTGATTACTGATTAGTTTGTTAAATGTCAGAATGGTTGAGTGAAACAATTGCCTGAATGCATCACGCAGGATAATGGCGTCGTTATTGTTTCATTTAACTACATTCCTGCTTGTTTCGTCGCAATATGATATATTTTATATATCTATAGTCGCGGTACACTTCTGTGGTAATAGGAAATAATTTATTTACCCTAAAGTGGTGATTTTCATTAAGATAAAGGTGTAATTATAGAATAAACACAGATAAATGGGTGGGAAATTTAGTATTTACAAGGAAATAATGAGTTTTTAATTCATTTTCGTCAGTAAATCAATTATTTACGAAATTTCACTGCTTGAAATACTTAATGAAAAATCAATTGAAGATTTAATTAATTTTTACTTATTGATATTCCCAAAATTTAATTTTTTGCGAAAGGGGTAGTTTAGTGTGGTGCAACAGGTTGGCGTGCGAATATTCTCCATCCGCCGCCCCCTCGAAAGAACATCCGGCATTTTCTCATCGATTCTGCATATTTTGCGATTGAAAATTTCCGCGAACGCAAATAAATCATGCACCGAAATGCAAATGACAGGCGCGTGTAGATGTCAATTCGCAATTCGTATTCAATCGACGAAAAAAAGCCAAGTGCGCGTTAATCGCTTTATTATTATTTTCCGTTTCATTGATTTTCTTTAAGTAAGTAACTAAAGCTAAAATATTGTTGTTATGAAGCAAGTACATACGCTTTTAGTAAGTTTTTGTCTGGAATTTTCCACACCGCACTAGATTAGTTTGATGTTGTTTTGAACTGTGCGATATTTAAAACTCGTTAAGGCACTTTAACAATAATGCACAACATATTTATTTCTGTGGATTTGTTTCCGGTAGAAATTGACTGACTGCTGACGAGTTGAGCTTTGCCGCACAACTAACTCAATCGCGGCCGGCGCGTACGCTTTACTTACGATTGTCCGCCGCCCCCCACCGGCGGCTAGGACTAGAACAATGTCAACGTGCGAGAATATCATTACCAACACGACATTGTAATATTTTATTTAGTATATAAACTTAGATGATAAAAAATATTAAAATTTTATTATTGATATTTTATTTATAAAATATTAATAATTATTAATTTATTCGGGATAAAAATATAATATTCGGATGTTTCTAACAAAAAATTACACAAAAATTCACTTTGGATACATTTATATATTTTTGGAAGCAGAACAATGTTAATATAATACACATTTCATTAAATATAATCGCTGATTGAAAACATTTGAAAACAGTTTGTTTGTATCGCATTATCGGTTGCTGTATGACAATTAAGGTAGGCAATACATAGCGCTAAGGTGTACGCATGGTAGTCTACCGTAAGACTCCACTTTTGCGTTTCTTTGATTTATTTTCCGTCACTTTTAATTCTACCCTTTCATTAGACAGATAATAAATTAGTCTAGACTGCCGTGGTTGTTTTTATAATCTTCTTAATGTATTTTCCTGTTTGTCATCTCGTAAAATTCATATATTTCCCGTTTATCTTCGCGAATATCACTCATTTTTCATCGCGTTGTGATTCCGGCGTTTTCTATTGTAAATCCCGCTGGCAGTTTTTCACCGGCCCCGGTTTTAATGTGTCTCCCGCGCTTGCATGGTGGAGGTGGCGGCGGTTGACGGCCCCGTTCACCCCCCGGCAGCGCGAAATTGCGCTCTCGTGCTTTGCTAAAACTGTTAAAGCAGGTTAAAGGTATCGATTAGATGTGTGTTCGCTCGTCCGGCCGCGGCCTCGGCCGAAATGTCGTTTCCGCTCGTCGTTCGTCGTGTGATGCGAGCGGAAGGACTCTCGATTCATTCGCAACCACCACACCGGAACATCCCCCCGATTCAGGCATCTCCTGATTTGCAGGAGTATTTAAAATAATTGAGTGATAAACCCACACACACACACACACACACACACACATGCAAAGAGTTTTTTGTTTGTTTTCATTGGTTATACAAGTTTGCTCAACACATAGTTGTGTTTAGTTATGAATATATGATAATGTTATGTAAATGTAAGCGGAATGGCGCGATGGAATGCAACGGGAACTAATTAAATACGAGCATTAAATATTTAAATGTTAAACAACAGGCAATTACTTGCGACACTCGCAGCAGCATCATCGACGCAGTTACTTTCTCGCTTTCCATTATTATATATTTGATTTTTTATGTTTTGCGTTCATTCACGTTCACTTTTTGTGTTTTTTTTTTGTTTTCAAGTTCAAAGTTGATGCAATAAAAATATTGCTTGTATGTAAATGAGTTTCGAATTGAATGTGCGGTAAATATTATTATCGTTTATTTGGCAAAAGCGCGCAGGGCGCTGGCACTTGGCACGCATGGTGCGAAAAATATGTCGGCGCGCGGGCAGTAACGCGAAAATACAACACAAACCGCGCCGCGCAGCACATTCACAAACCGAAGTTGAAATCGGCCATCGGCGGCGGGGTGCCCGCGCGCGCCGAAGAGGGCACACGACGACGGCGACGTTCAGCGCGATATTTTCCTCACACTCACACCGGGCACGACGAACGCTTTGTATCGGCGAATAAAGTGCGCCGTGCGTGTCGCCGTCGCTGGTCGCCTACCTTCATCGTTCGTACTCGGCGCGGGGCGGGTGGGAGGCGAGAGCGCACTCGTTCAGCCATTTTGTGCGCGGCGAGACGCTCGCACCGCTGTTGTCCGTGGAACGCCGCGCGACGTCCATCTCTCGCGTCGTCTCGCCCTTCCGATCTCGCCACCCTCCGCTAATTAGCGAGCGAGCGTTGTCGCCGCTCGCGACCAACCACCTCTGTCTGACGAGACGGACGCGGACGCGCTTTGTGGACCTTTTCTTACATCAATCATCGAAAATCACGTGCGGAAATCGACTCTCCAGTGATCGCATACATAGCCACACCGCATTAGTCATCAATGACGAAACAAATAAACAAATAAATGCAAGCCAAGTGAGTTCCAGCAATATATCCAACAAGAGAACCGAGTGTGTGTGTGCGTTGAGTTCTTTCTTCTTGCGCCCGGTGTAGTAGGTACTACCTGCACTTGTGCTCTGTCTGTGCTCTCTGTGGATACCCTTCGGCTGCGATCGCGTTGTGTTTATTATTAGTTCCATCCGCGCAGCACTCTTACCTGCGAAACGACGCGCGCGAGCAGCGGAGGAGAAGAAAACGAAGCACGGCCAGCCCCAGCAGTGTCCGGTTCAAGTTGAGTGATATACGAGCCATTAGTGCGGTGGTCGCGGCGAATAAGTCCAAGTCGTCCAGATCATGCCGCAATAAATGATCGCTGCGCGCGGATTTCGAGCGGTCTGCTCGCCGGATTTAATCATTTCAGTAAGTTTTTCACAAACTGTCACTGTCACAGCAATCAAACGTTTCAATTTCATGTTGTTTCTGAGTGAATTGTAAGTATACATCGCCTGGGTATAAATGTGTGGGTGTGTGTATCATTGATCCGTTTTCGATTCATAAATATGCAGGCATTGTTAATAAAGCGGGCGCGCTTTGCCTCTCTTGCTGGCTGTGCGACGCGTCTCGGGGGCTTGGAGCGGACGGACGCGCGCGGTAGAGAAAAAGTTGCTCGCCGGCGCGCGCGGCGCTCTCCTCCGGTAGAAAAACATCTGTCGTTGACGCACATTATTCCTCCGCGCTGCCGCTCGTAATTCAACGTTCGCATGCATACAGCCGCACGTCCTAAAAATATTTCACTCGAGAAACCAGCGAGCGCGCCTTCCTACTCTTGCAGTACGAGATGATGATGATGAGTATCTATATGTATGTGAGTACTGCGGCCATTATTACAATTTCGCATTGAAATTCCGCGGCGTTAATTAATCATCAAACATTTTGCGTTTTATTATCACCGCCGCTTGCGTGTCGGTGCGCGCTGTGGTGACTTGCGACAAAAACACGTCGATATTCGGCCGCGCATGGCATGGCGAAGAAGGAAAAACCGCGCGCCGCACGAATAGCAATTACACTCGAGTTGCTTGCTGCTTGCTTGCCGTGCATAATATGTCAGGGCAAAGCGATTGTTGGTCGCGCAAACCACGCTGCTGGGTTTTTTGTATGTATATGTGTGTGTGCTCGTAAGTAATTAACGATTACAGTTATGTAATGAGTTTCCTGCAAGGCGATTGCACACGTAAACGAAGAAATAGACAAATTTCTTTGTTGGCGCTGAATTTGGTTCAAAGTAAAAGGGTTTGAAGGTGTTGCTCCCCTCGATGTATCCGCTGTAGTAATTTGGTTAAAATTATTTTTCCTTTTGTCGCCGCGCACAGAGTTCAATCGCCTCGGCGTGTACAAGAAGTGGTGCTCCCTCGCTTTGTGTCGCGCTTTGCTCACCGACTTGTACGATTGTACAGCTATGGACTTTTCAACGCGATTTAAACTTTAATCTGTGTCAATTATATTAAAAAGCAGGTCAGTTTTCCCTGCTGAAAAGCGCTGAGATTTAGGTGTTTTTTTAATTCGCGTTTGGTTTGTGATGATGTTGATGTATCTCGGCTGTCTCTCGTTGTTGCTGGTCTCAATGGCGTCCGCGCGATGCGAGTGTGTGCTTCCTCTCGTTCCTCCCGATCGCTTTACGCTTTGTGCAAGGCAAACGCGTCGCCCGCGACCGCTTCGAGTCGTCGTCGCAGCGCGCGGCGGCCGTAACGAGCTAAATCCTGAATGTGCCCCGATGCGCTGCTTTCTGCTGCTTCTGCTTTTGCTTGCATTAGTATTAGTATATTAGTGCTGCAGGCGACCCTGCGCCTGCAGTGGGTTGCTGCTTGCGTGGATGATGTGGATTTGGAAGCGGCGATGGCGTCGGTCGGGGCGAAAAGGAAGAAAAAGCGGCGCGGTGCGGCGCGCGTAGCGGTGCCCGTGTCGGTGCGCGCCCGCCGACCATTTGTATCGATTCTTTATTTGAGGAGAGGACGCTTAAATTTATTACGCGACTCTTCTTGTTGCTTCTGTGCGCGCCGCGCGCACCCCAATGCCGGCCTTACACCGGCGTGTGCATTCGATTTTAATTCAATAATGAGTTTTTCTTTCTTTTCTGACATTTGGAAAATAATTAGAAACGAAACCGTATGGAGTGAACAATCGCAGTTTACCGTAATACACGCCGGTGAAGACGCAGATTATAACAACGACTACGACGACTTTGCTCGGTGGTAATCCCGTTATTGCCGTTCGACGCACCACAAACTTTTATTTGGTGAGAATGCGCGCATAAAGCTTTGTTGTTTAGCGAATTTGTTGTGCATTAATTAACGCGTCTTAATATGTTTAGAACATCGTAAAATATAAATGTCAGCGGAATCACAACGCGAGAATATTACATCAAAATTATGTGTACGTATTATCGAAATTAGTAGGCAAATAGTGACAAGTAGATAGTTGAGGAAATTGATTACTATCTGTTTATTGATTATACACAACAAGTAGGACTCTATTTAATAAATAATTAATGTCGAACAGTAGAAAACAACAAGTTGTTAGCTTACAGAAGTAAAATAAAACTTTTTTTTTTACTTTTTTCTTTGAGAAAATCGTGAATTTATTTATAATTTATGATTTTTCTAAAAGAAAAATTATTTTAGGTCTTGTAAAACAGCTTTGTTATTAGTTTTCATTAATAATTAAGGTCTATCAGTAGAAAACAATGAGTTATTTACTTAGAAAAGTCTTTTAAAGTAAAATAAAACTTTTTTTACTTTTTTCTCTAAAAATTGTGAATTTACAGTCAATTCTTCATCATTTTTCCCGATTTGAGGGCTTGTAAAGTTATTAGTCATCCCTCTCTAAACGTTTCCTCCTCTTGCAACCACCATATTGAATTTAAAACCTCTCCTCGTTTTCATCTCTTGGGTTCTCGTGATCCATCAGATTCGTGCCGCGGTGTGCGTTGCAACTTATCGACCGTATGCGAGACCGTGTACAATACAATATTTTTTATTGCTGGAGGAGCGCGTTGCATACGCGCGCACAAACGCAGCACAACATATGATGCGATATGAACCCGAACCCTGTTCCAGTTGGGTCCTTTCCTCCGTATGCGGTACGTACACGTACGCGCGCATTATGTTAGTCATGAGTAGTGTTGTGTCGGCGTTGTATGGCACGGGATGTTGATTGACTATGTTTAGTCGGTGTTCGCTACTCGTGCTCGCTGCTCGGCAGGCAGATGTTTCGATTCCAGTTCGTGCGTTCGCGGTGATGCCACCACAAGTCCGCCATTAGAAAATGACGCCGTTGTACTAGGAATATAATAAAATTTTAAGTGTCTATGGTAAGCTAAAAAAATAAAAATCATAATTATAAGACGGTTGTGTTATACTATGCTTAAATCACAACCAAATTGATTTAATTGTGTTTAGTTTCGTTTGTTTTGTGTGTATTGAAATATATTTCGCATTTTTGCGCCGCCCACGTGCACAGTTTTAGCTTGTTATACAATAAATGATATTGCTTCTCGCCGTCTCGTGAGTACGGTCAATGGTTTGTTTAACAATCCAACTCATAACTCGTAATTGTTGGCGATATGTATTGTTAATGCGGCACGACTTGAATGCGATAGTTTCAGCAGCTCGTGTGTTATGCGTTTGTGTTTGTGTGTTTGCTGTTTGGGCGTTGCGGACTTTCTGTTTTATAAACAATTAACGGTATGCCATTGCAGCTAGGCTTTCGCGATGAATGCTAATTTGATGTATGTGTGGCGTTCATCGTCACCATTAAAATTTGTGCATTCAATTGGGGACAATTCATTTTTTTTTAAATGTAAAATCGACATTTTTTATTTTAATCTGATTATAGTTGTTCACTTTTTATTTTTGTCTGTTTGGCAAGCTGCATGCTGGACATAAAGCAAACACAGCCACGTAACCGGAGCGAATGGACCGAGAGAATATAATAAAAAGGGCAAAGGGACGAATTCAATATTCTTATAAAGTATTAACTAGAGAAAGAGGCGCGATGGGGAGATGCCGAAATAAAAATGAAAACACAAGCAACCCGAAAGAAAAGGAAAGGAAAAACCGGTGTGTGTGTGTGTGTGTGTGCAGCGAAAGTAAAACGTGTTATTGCGATTCTTTCCCGTTTTACTCTGACATTTCGCTGCGCTTCTCATTTCCTCTTCCTCTCTCATCATTCTCATCCCATCGCTTCGGTTTCTTGTTATTTTAATATGTATCCATCTTATTTTCGTATTTATTTGGAATCCAATGAATCGGGAGGGATTTCGAAGATGACTATCATCGATATCATCTCATCGAGTGTTGCTACTTTCGTTTTCGTACGGCGCTTTTTTTTCTCTTGCGTGTGTTTATTTTAACATTTCAAGCCGAAAATAGATTTTTGGCAAACGCTTACGTAGATGATAATATTTACCAAGCAGATGTGATCTTTTTTTCATCGACGTTTGTGTAATATAATCTCGTATCAGATTATGATGGCTCATATTCATTTGTCTGCGGTGTGCACCTCAATAAAACATGCAAATGCTTGGAATGTCAAACATTCGAGCCAATTATCGAACGGGAATGCGCGCCGCACGCACGTACACACGATTTTTTTTATTTGGCTTACTATAGTCGCGTATTTATTAGTGAAGTATTCGAGATTGTTATCGACGCGAGCAATTCGACTTCCTTTACCACATTACTTTGTATGGGGTTATAGCGCCTGCGGCGCTAGTTTAATAACAGGAGGCTTTGTTTTCATAATAGTTGGTTGTAATGTGAGCAATTGTAATACGTAATACCGATTGAGATATTTTATCATAATCAATATACATGCGTTCGAGAAATTGTGATTATTGTGATAAGCATGAGTGGTATTGAATAATTTGTGATTAGGAGGCGTAAGGTGTTTAAAACAAAATAATCTTTGGTGATTTTTGTTGATTTTTTTATGGTTATCGTTGAATTATGTGTAATTTTTAGGTAATTGACCTTAGCAGTGTATTTTAATGATGATTTTTGTTTTGTTTTAGTGTTTTTGGTCAACATACACTACCTGTGATAACAATAGGAGCAGTGCTGCAGTTACGGATACTATCGTTAATGTAATGTAAGTGGATCTTTGAAGAAAAACATTTTTTTAACTTTTTGACTGTTTTTAATGTTTATTAACAAAAGTTTCAAACTTTTGACTTTGGAAACTGTTGGTACATATAGTAGACACTTCAAAAAGTGTCCCAGAATTTTAAAATAATTTTTCGAAGCCTAGAAACCTTTGAAAATCGCATTTTTCTCCAAAAATTCTACTTTGGCAAATTTGAATCTTGTGAGTTTTGCGTTTGTCATGTCTATTTCTCACTTTGGATGCTTTGCTTGAATGCACACACGCTAGACCGCGCAAAAAAGACCCACACGAACGAACCGAGCGTCCCGGGCGAGCGGAGAGATTCTTCGCAAGCGACGCCATCGCGCGCGTCGCACATAAAAGGCGGGCATTATTATTAGCGAGAGATGAGACATGGCGCTGCGCCTCTCGGCCATTACAGTCATCACCCGAGCGAGAGCCGCGAGTCCGCTGGCTCTAGCAGGAACAGGAACAATAGTCGTGTGTGCATTTCGCATTTTATGCGTGTGTTTCGTTCGTCCATTACGAAACGCTTTGAATACACCAACTACACTCTCTCGATGTGGTGCCCCGGTCGACAATCCGCACATCACATCCTCCTCTGCGTTCGTATATTTCCTATTGATTTTCTATCTGTACAATACACAACGCCGGGCGTCGTTGAAGTCGTCGGTCGTTGCTGCACACGACCCAAGCGCGCCGCGGCTCGTTTTTGTGCGCGCCTTCTGTCGATGACTAAAAACTTTGTACGGGAAAAACGCCACCGCCGTAATCGATTTGCAGCCGCGGTAGGAAAAATTTGTGCTGAAACTTTGGCGCGGAGGAGTCAAGTTTTCGAATTGCGCGCATGAAAGTGCAGAGCGCCACAATAAGTCATTAATTTTTAGTAGGAAATGGAGGCATTGTCGAGATGGAAGGAAAATCCGATTACATGCCGGTTTGTGAAGTAGAGGGGCGGCGAACAGCTGTGTGCCTCGCTCTTCTCCTACATGTGTATGTGATTCAATTGAAATGGTAATGAGATATGTTTTATATATTTTTGTTTATAGGTGGATTTATTCCACGATAAAATTTTAGCTCTTTGATCTTTGGATGGAATAAAAATTAATTCCACTTTATTTATCTGTATTTTGATTGTAATTGCGTGTGGCGGCCGGCGCTGATGAATCATTTTCCATTTCCTCAGGTGTGGGCAGGATGTCTCCCTTCGAATGTTTATCGAAGTGTATCCGCGCATTCGCGCGCATATCGAGCGCACCACCGCGCGCGCTACAGTTCGATATGTAAATACATAAATGTGTCGTGTGTGTGTGTTTGTGTGTTCCGTATGCTTTCTCGCCTAGCTGCTGCTGCTACCGGGCGGGTGTTCCGGATCTCGCGCGTCGCTTCGAAATTAGGGGTGAGTGACGCCGCACAAAAACCCTCCGGCTCGGTCGGCCGGTTCGATCGGTGTGTCGCCTCGTACGAAATTCATCCGCGCGCGCCACTCGAGCGCCTTGTTTTCTGTTCTCTGTGTGTGTTATACTGGAGAAACTTCAATGCAACAGCAATGCGAGATGTGAGTTTATGAGCGTGAATCAACTCCTCTGCGTTGAATGTGCGCACATATTTCATGCTGTTTTGTGTTCTTGATTACGTTTTTCATGCGAGGGGAAACAATGCGTATTACGTGTACATATTATTACGACTTTGTCGCCGCGCACACCCCGAACCGAAGGAAATTAATCATTTATCACGCGTTGCGCGTATTTTTAGCGCGCGTGTGGAGACCGCAATACACAAAAAGTTGGGTTGTTATGAATTGCAATTTTGTCGGCGTCGTTGTCGCGCCCGCGCTAGTAAATGTGTGGTAAACCTGTTTATTTTTGTCCGCCGAATATGACACCCGGTGGACGGGAATAGACCCGACTCCGACACTCTCTCTCCAAGTGCGAGTAATGATTTTGTGCGTTCGTGTGTTGGGCGCGGGGATTAGTTTCGTGTCTTTCGCCGCGAGGAAAGTCTAATGAAAGCCGTGGGAGGAACTTCAGTCGATAATAATCATTACTTTCAGAGGCCCCGAATCCGGTTAAGCTCGGGCGCGCGTATTCACGGGATGATGAACTATTAGAGCCGAGGGTGATCTAGATATCAAGATGCTTCGACATTTTCGAGATTTACACGCGCTGCTTTGCGTCGGCTGGGATGTTTTTCAGGTATTTGACTACCTGGTTGACCAGAATTGTCAATTTCTCGCCCTCCCATCGAGTGTATTATTCGCCTTCCGCTCCGTGTGCAACGTGCGCTGCGCCTCTGCACCTTTCGCATTGCGTTTATTTCTCTTCTTTCTTCACTCGGCTGGCGGCGGAGCAGCCCAGCATCCGCGTTCGTTAGCGCTGCGCGTTGTGCACAACATGTGAACAAATGCCGCGCTCCGCGGTCCGAGACAGTCGAGCATATTCATAACACGGGCGCGGGGCGTACGAGAAGAGACTCTGCGAGAGTCAGCCGCTTTGCCGACCACAGTCGCAAAGGTAACGTCTTCGACGACGCGCGCCGTGTCACGCGATTTGTTGCTCGAGCAGCATCGAAATTTTGTGTGTTGTGCGAATGTTATTATTATTGGATTAACACGCTCGGATTTAAACTAAACACAGGTATAGAATATAATACTTGTTACTGTGTTGTTATGTGTAGTGTTTTGTTGTATTCTCGGGCAGTTCTTGTCTGTGATTCGCCCGCAGACAGTAGTCGGTATTGCAATCTGTAGAACAATAACCGAAGCGATTTGCAATAACCGCACTCGTTCGGGCCGGGCAGTTGTGTGTACGCCGCTGGAATAACGAATATAACGAAACGACGAACTCGACCGCAGCCCAGGCCAGGCCGCCTGCGAGTAAACACGCATGTACTCTCCGCGCGGCGCGCACAGAGTTCACGGAATAAATTCTTCATTTTCCTCGTTCGCCATTCCGCGCGTCTCTCGTTCGTTACACGTTATTGTGTTATTGCCGCTCGCGCGCGCACGCCGAGTGCCATTATTTCACGTCGGCATGCAAGATGGCACATTGTGCGCCATTGTGCAGGCGCTTTCTTTCCAACAACGACGACGACGTCGGTTTGCCGAATGCGAAAGCATCGCCAATCATATCCTCACACACCAATACACATAATGTGTATAAATAATTGCTCGTAATTTGCATGCGCGTACATATTGTGTGCTACATTTCCCAATGTGCAGCGCCGCCGAATATTTCTCCAAGTGTTTTTATTTTGCTTTGATTGTTGGGTATTATACTCACACATGCATATTGAGTTTGTACGTTGTAGGTAGTTATTGTTGGGTCGCGTTACTCAATTAACGCTTTTACTTCTTTCGGCTCGTTGTGGCAGCGCACAGCGCTCGCTTTACATGTGTACAAATGGCGCGGCGCGTTCGTAGCAACCGGTCGATGGACGACACGACGATGGCGGAACGCGCAGTAAAGAGCCGGGGAGCCAGCCGGTTGTAAGAGTAGAGAAGTGTGTGTGTGTATGTATGTGCTGATGGACGGAATTGGGAATAAAAGCGAGCGAGCAGCAGCGCAACCGGCGACGATGACGACGAGGCCGTTGCGCAGGTAAATGCGAGTGCGATTACCATTTGGTGCGCCCGGTGCGATGGTGGCGCAGAGAGGAGAGTTTGGTGCGTGTGTCTTCTTCGTTTTCGGTTGCTGTTAAGCGGCGTTGGCAGGAACAGATGAATATGTGAGCTTTCAGGTGGAATTGAGTTGGAATTTGTCAATAGGTGGATGGTTTTAATGTTTTGTAGGCGTAAGAATGGGAATTACACGTGGATTTGTGGAAGAAATTATTTTTTATTGTTTTTTTCGTGTATTATGGTAGTTTTTGGTCATTTTTAGGTTTGTTGCGTTGTCTTGAGGTGATTTCATTGATATAAGTTCATATTTTGCCTTTTAAAAGTTTATTTGACGAAATTTTACATCGAGGAACAAAAAATTACCAAGTATTGGGATTTTATGCTGATCGTCGTCTGTTTAATCCATTGTAAGCTGGTTATAAACTCAATTGCTTTTGTAAAAATACCGGTAAAAATAGTTGTACACATTTTTTCTCTTTTAAAATAATTATTTTATTGAATTTTCAAAATTTCTAGTGGTGATTTGTGAATTTTAATATTTAATTATCTTCGAAAGTGAAAACAAAGTAAAATAATTAATATTTAACACGAACAGAGCGGAGACAAATTAATTTTTCCCATAAAAACTTTCCTGAACTTATTTGGGTCAAGTGCAGCACCAACACTAACACACTTCCTACAAATAAGTTCAAGAAACTCTATAAAATTTAAAATCACATGCATAAACTTTCACAGAATCGCTTAAAAGATCCCAGTCATTGATAAATTTTCAGATTACTCGTATGCGTGGGCGTTTATTTACAATTTACACACATTCTCCTACTCTACAACGACACACAACTAAAAATGTTTGCTTCCCGATACACGCGCACACCAACACACACTATAAATATATACTTATGTACATACAGTGTGTGTAAATGTGTGTATTTGTGTATGTGGTGCATTGCGGGTCGTCTAACTCGTTCGCGTCTCTAGGTCAAGTTCGCGCCGGTGTGTCGAACCGGTGCTGAACGCTGCGTCTCTCTCACACTTCCCACTCGTGATATTATTTCTCTCTCTCAATTTCTGCATCGCGCTGTATATCGGGCGGCGGTGAACCAGCCGAGGGGTTCGGCGTGGGGGGTGGTGTGCGGAGGTGGAGGACAATCGCATCGCACTATCCCAACGCATCGTTCGGCCTTGACCTTGATACCACACACACCATACGGCCTCAAGTTTAAAGTGAGCTTAATTTGAATAAATAGTGCGCGCCACTGCCGCTTTCGCTTTCGTTACGGTATAAAATTGATTATTTTTTTATTAATATAATTATGGTAAACATTGAATGAAAGAAAAAGTGGAATTTTATTTTTATACGACGTGATTATGTTGTAAAACGTGCTTAATTGTCTGGATAATGGGATTATAATTATGCATTATCGTATTTATCATAGATTTATTGGTGCGGTGTCGGGTTACAAATTATTTTCGCGCCGATATTAAATAAATATTAATATTTATGATGCGTGACATGTTTATCAGTGCGTGTGTGTGTGTGTTGGGTAAATTTAAACAGTAAACACAAGGAAATAAAAATTTCATGCGTTATTTGCGGCGCGTTGAGATATCTGTAAGTGTGCGGCGTCTTATCGCCGAGCGGATGCTAATAGATGTTAAATTGTTTCGTATCGCACCTCATTAAGATAAACACGATATACGGATGCTTCATAAATTTCTCTGACACATAATCCTATTAATCTTACTAATAATTTGATTAATGTTTGTTAAATTGCATTTTTTTCATTTTTGTTTGAAAATATTTAATTTTTACTTTTTCGTTAGTTTATTTAATTAAAATTAAAAGTGTTTATTTTACCGGAAAGATGTATTAATTGACCGGAAGTTTGCAGGTTTTTCTATCAGCAAATAATTTGCGTTAATTCATTAAATCGTTTTTACTTTTGAGTTTTCTACCCACTTAACTCGCATGGATAAAACAAGCAAAGCGTTAAAATGATACCCAGAATGAGTGAGAACTGGATTGAATCACCTTGATCGTTAAAAGTCGCTTTGTGTTGTTTCATTCTTGCTTTTTGCTGCATCTTTACGTTTTGGTTTTATTTTTATCTTGTTTCACAGCTTATTTTGCTCGCGTCTCTTCGAGCCGCAATTTTTTGCATTCTACATCTCGCAACTTAATGAACTCACATGTTGTTTATAAATATAAAAATTTCGATCTAAACATTTTCTAACAAATGTACGAATTTACTATTTAATTAAGTACGTGATTACCGATAAGATTAACGCCGCCATTCGAAATTAAACACGCGATTCATGCGGCGCTTAATGCGCTTCATTTAAGTAATTAAGCGAATTGCATTCGTATCACTTTACACTACATTAATTAATTAATTAATTACTTTGTGTATAAATATTAAAAACTATATTTACAATGTAAAATATAGATTACTATTTATTATTGTATAAATACGTGTCGTAATATCGATATTATTAATGCATGCTGCAGTCCAGTCGTAAAAAGTAAATTTGTTCATTCATTCATTCGTTGGCGCGAATTAAATTTCGCCTCGCGGTCCGCGTGTTGCGCTGGATGACGTTTATTGATTTTATCCGACGCGCGCGTTATATTTATTGCTTGTTATGCGTCGATTAGGTAATCAATGTGCTGTGCGCTGCTCTTGGATGGGTTTTTATTGTGTGTTTGCGAAAAGTAGACGATTTTAGATTAACGCAAATAAAACTAAAACAAAATAAAAATTAACTTCTTCAGGTGAAAGAAATTTTGTTTGTAGTGAAATTTTAAATGTGAAACTTTCGACTCTTAAGTAATTATGTTTTTCTTTTGTTATTTTACAGGTCGTGCCACATGATGGGTTGAATTCGTGGAATGTTTTCACAAAGAAAGCATACAGCTAAATCTGGTAAGAATTTAATTAAATATCTATATGTTTTGAATTGATTATCGCGTGTATAATGGTGATACTCTTAATGTTATTGAAAATACTCGTTTGCGAATGTAGAATTTTTCTCTTTGTCGCGGCAATCGTTTAGCTGCATGTAGCAGCAGTTACTAGCGCACGAACCGTTCTCGTTGCCAGTTACGCTGACGTCCGCGCGCGCTCGTCGCTGCTGGTGTGTACGTTCGTTCTTCATTTTGCAATCGCTCCGCAATTCCGTATCGCTGTCCGACAACGTTTTCCAACTCGAGCGCGATGCACGATGTATCCGCGCGCGCGGCTCGCTTTTCGCCGAGAGGGCGACGCACACACAGCGAGCAGCACACAATGCCTTTCGGCTCGCCGCACCGCGAATCGCACGGCGATGGCTGCCTGCCTGGCGCGTGTTGCTCTGCTGCCTAGCGATCGATACATTTATTACAAAACAAAATTTCGTGTCGCACACCCACAACGACGACGAGGACGACGACGGGGCCGGCAGCACAGCAAGCGGGGCGCGCTACTAGCAGCACCGCATTACGTATACACAAAACGCAGGACAACGCCGCTGCTGGTGCGTTGGAAATTGCTACATGTCGCGTTTTCATTCTTTAATTTGTTGGCCGTGGTGCGAAAGATCGGGATGAACGCGAGCGGTAATAATCAGGGCGTGTGCCCTCCATGAGTTCGACGTTGCGTCGTCGCTTATATTGTGCTCGTAAATTAAAGAGAGCTCTAGACACGGCCATGGCTTGCTTTTCGCTTCGATTCCAGTCGAAAACCCAACGCGAGAGATTAAATTTTGCGCTGCGGATGATTTTATTTATTATTCTTATATTTTAATAATCTATAATGAGATTTTCATGGTTATATTTTATCTCTATGGTGATGTCTTCATCGCCAACTGTTTTTTTTCGGATGTAAAAATTGCGTTTTTGAACTAAATTTGAAACTTTTCACACGGAAATAAATTTATTTCAAATTTTCATCAGCAACCTCAATTCGACACGCGCATTTTGTTCTGGTTTTTGACAGTAAATATTTTTTTGTCATCGCATTTCGTCCCGGAATTCGCCGGCTGTGTGTGAGCTTACGAAGGCAATTAGGTAGTGGTGCAGGTTTACCTCTGATAGCGAATGCAAAGTTTCGAAATCAGACATTCGCATAGAATGTTGTGGGGTGGTTGCTTTGCATTGCGCTGTGTTCGCCAACCGCAATTCGAAATCGCCGGTATGTGTAACAATTCCAATTCCCTCATTCTCGGTTGTTGCAGTGCATTGAGAGTGCGGTGCAATGGATAAGGAAAATGGGAAGGGCAGCGAAGGTAGTTCCGGTTCCAGCAAACTATCCAATCCAGCAGATCCAGCAGCACTTTTGGACGCGGCGAGTTTATTTGGCGGTAAGTTTTCGAAATTCCAATGTTGAACTATTGAGTTTGGGATTAATTGTTTGTTTTTTGATTGTTGTTTATAGCTTATTGGCCCCGAGGAGATGCAAACACGGCAAATCTTTTCGCGGCGGCGGCGGCCGGCGGGTACGGTTTGGGCCCGCATGGCGGCATGCCGTTTTCGATGCTGCCCCCGACATCGGGACGCGGCGGTGTGCCCGCCTATCCCCCGGCGTCGGTGGCGTCCAGTGCCGCGGCCGCCTACAACAACGCCTACACGAATACGCTCTCGGTGGCCGCCAGCCAGGCAGCCAGTTTAGGCATACCTGCTGCAAGTAAGTGATTTGTTCCACAAAAAAAATAATATCATGTGTGAATGCGCCGGGTTTCTTTCTCTCATCCGCCACCCTCCCCCTAAATCCATCCGGCTGTCTGCTCGGCTGCCATTTATGCATTATGATTTATTGCCGCGCGTAATGGCAGCCGGCTCATCTGGGATGTGCGAGAAGCGCGCGAGGAGCCCAAGTATTACTACGGTAAATGTAATTCATTTATTGATCTAGTTTCCTCCCTCCTTTGCTGGGCCGCGCGGCGGCCGGCCGAACGCCGCGAACATCCAGGCAGAAGGGGCACGCGGGCACAAAGAACGCGCCACCGCCGCCTGACGACTCGAGAGCGCGCGGAAAACGCGCGCCATCATTATGCGATTAATATTAATTGCGCGGCCAGCGGGGGGAGGGACGCGATCGCACTTGCCACTCTTACTTGCGCGTGCATGCGTTACCAGCGGTTTCCACGTGGACGGATTCGTCAATTAGTTCGAAAGTATTCGCTTTGTTTTTCGGACCGCATGCGATCCTAACCTGGAAATTTGTTTGCGCGCGCGGGGGCGGCAGATTCTCTGTCTGTTCTGATTTTATCGGTATTGTCTGTATCATGCGTTATTTCGGGGAGTAATTGATGTTTTTATTTTGTAGGTGCTGCTTGGTGGTCGATGGCGTCACAGTTGGCGGCGCAGGACTACCTCGCGAGGCTACAGGCCTCCGGCCTGAACTTCCCCGGCCTCAATCCTGCCGACCCGTACGCGGCGCTCGGTTTACCGTCGCTCCCCGGCGCTGGTGGGCATCACAAGTCGTCGAAGTCGAAATCACTGCCGAAGAATTCAAAGGATAAGAACTCGTCGCACTCCAACTCGAACTCAAAGCACGACGCCGCCAAGAACAACTCGAATAGCAAGGCGAGCAACGCGAAGTACTCGACCGCCTCCGGCCTCACCATCCACCCCACGTCGAGCGCGTCGACGATGATGGCGAACAACGTGGGCGGTTCGCACGAGAAGCGCCGCAACAACTCGCACAAGAGTAATAATAGCGCCAATAGTCTGAAGAGTTTGGTGCCGCCGCGCACGGCCACCTCCAGTATTTTCACTAGTCCGCTCAGTCTGGCCAGCGCCGCCGTTTCGGAGGCCGACCGACACAACAGCACCAACTCGTCCAGCACGTCGACGACGCAAAGCCTCAGCGCCACCACCCCCAGCCTACCGCCCAGTATTCTCAGGTTTGTACCAACAACAATCCAACAAATCAACTAATTGTGATTAATCCAAAATTAACCAGCAAAATAATTTGAATTTATTTGCGTTCTTCATTTATTTGATTTATAATTGTTTGAACGTTGAATTAATTATTAATTACTAACACACTTATTATTTGTTCACACATTAGTGCTGCATTAGAGGGCAACGGGTAAGTTTCGTCACCTTGCAGCACTAGCCACAAAAAAAATAAGAATAAAAACAACCATTGCATCATTGCAAGCGCACTTTTCTGCTCGTTCCGTTCCTTTCCGGGGTTTACGTTCTTAAATATTTTAATTTACATTTGTTTCTTGGAATTCTGTATTTTATAGTGATCCTAATTCTATTCTCGGTGGTGTGCGTCTTCCACCCGATACTGAAATAATTAAATACACGTCGTCGATCGTTGGACCGAAAATTCCGGGCACGACGAACAGGGGTCGCAAGAAGACGATCTCGTTGGACCCGCCGCACGTCAGCGTTCATCCCACGCACTCCAGCACCGGCATGTTGATCGAGCGGAGCGCAAAAAGACAAAGACTGGTTTGTGCATTTAAGATTTATGCGATAAGTTGAATTGACTGAACGATCAATTTTCTTTTGCGCGCGTGTGTGTGTGTTTAGGATTCTTCCGGATCAGATCACAATAGTACGACGTCGAATTCGGGAATCAACGACAGGGTAGAAGTGATAAAGCTGCCGGCGACCAACGGCAGTCCATCGACGGCGGGTAGTGGCGGCGGTGCGTACAATCACAGCTACGACGGGGGCGGCGGCGGCGGTGGTGGTGAAGCGCCGCTGAATCTCTCGCTCAAGCCGACGACGAGCAACCACAATAGCAGTACGTCCTCCTCTCTTAATTCGCTAAGCAACATGTCTGCAAATATCGGCCTGGATCGTATATGTATGTCATGTTTTTAGATGTTTTTTATTTTACACTTTCTCACTTCACCCCTAATTCAATCTGTTTATATTCCTTGATTTTTGTTTGTTTTTTGGTGTTATTGTTGCGTAGTTTGTCTTATATTGTGGATGGATTTGTTTTTAGCGCGTAGAAAGCCAGGACCTAAGCCGCGTAAAGTCCTACAGCCATCACTGCCTCCGGGCGCACCTAGCGCGTCCCTGGTGCAGCTCTTTGCGAGCGCCGACGTGCCGCGACCCTCTAGTCGCTCCGACGCTGATACACCGCTGACGACAACTGGCGGCACTACAATCAGTGCGTTACCTGCGCCGGTGAATCATAAAGACGCGCGGCCGAGGAATCTCGGTCGTGGTGTCAGCAAACCCAAGAAGAACACGGTCGCTTCGTTGTTGGCACAAAGTCGCGCATTGGGTAAGCAAGCAATCCTGAGAAATGTGTTTGAGTTGATATTAATCGACTTGTTCACTTGTTTTAGGAATTAAACCAATGCCAATTTTAGATCCGAACGCATCCATGTCGCAACAAATGTCGCTTCTCAAGTCGAACATTCTCGCCGCCCAGCAATACATTGCCGAGGTGGGCGGGGACGAAAAGACGCTCAACAAATTCCTCCAGGAGAAGTTTCGCGGTGCGCTGAGCGACTCCAGTACAGTGGAGGCGTCTGATTCCGATAATCTCACCGACTCGAATCAGACCGACTCTGAAATGGAAGCGGACTTTATTACAAAGCGGCAGAAGCAGTATGACGAACGCATGCTGAAGATTCCGCTGGAGAAGGGCTGGAAACGTGAGACGATCATCAGAGGTATCACAAAGAGCGGTGGAATCAAGGGTGATGTGACGTATGTTGCGCCCGAATCGAGCAATAAGTTCAAACAGATGTCGGACGTCACGCAGTATCTCGAATATCAGAAGGCCACTGATCTCACCAAGGAAAACTTTACGTTTAGTTGTCGTGTTATCCTCGGCGATTATTTGCAAGCGATGCCTCCGGAGTTTGGAGGTGATGGGGAGTTTATTCGAATGTCCGAGGAGGATGTTTCAAAGAGGTAATAATATGATAAAATTCATTGGGCTTATGTTTTATTATTGTTTGTTACTTTTAGATTAGAGGAATTGAAAGCCGCGATGCGAACAAGCCTACCAGTCGAACAAAGAATTGAAGTAGCACGTAGACAACAAGCTGCCCGTGCGGCCGCACGAATGGACCGCGAACAAGCGCGAATCCAAAGAGAAATTGAACGCTCTGAGCGACAGGAAGCTGCCAGAAGAGACAAGGAAGCCCGAACGCAACAACTATTGGAGGTAAGTCCTCATTAGCTGTCCATCATTCTCGTATTATTGTCGTTGTTTTTATTATTATTTGTCTAATCATGAAGTTATTTGTGTGAATCTTGATGTTGTCGTTGTTGTCCATGTTGTTGTTGATGTTGCGTGTGCTTGTTGGCGCTCACATCGTGTGTTTGTGCTAGGGCCGCAAGCGACTAGCGTTCACTTTAGAGCAGAAGGTACAGATAATATCTGAAATTGAGGGCGGCAAGTCGAAATCAGACGTCTCTCGAGAGCTCGGCTTGGCGAGCTCAACGGTCGCCACGATTTGGAAGAACCGCGACAATATTATCAGCGCGTACGGTACCGAATATTTCGGCCGTGACAGCCCCAATTATTTTGACAAATTTGCAAAGGCGGACCTCACGATGTCTGATTGCGTTCACCCGGTAGGCAGCCATTTTTACCGCAAGCATTTTTTTACTTTCTCACATTAATCTATCATTTTGTTGTTTTTTGTTCTTAAAACGAATATAACCCGGGTTATAAGTTATAAGAGTATGCGTCTCTGCCAGACAACAGCGTCTGGTTGTTGATGAGTATTCTTGTACTTGTGCCTAAAACCGATTTGGATGGGGTGTCAGGTTTTTTAAAACCTACTAACGCAAAACCAACGCTTTTACGCCAAACATCAGCAGCCCAGAGAAATGCCAGCCGCACACTCATTCATGTTGATTAGTATCGCTCCTGTCTCCACACCTTTATTCACCCTAGACCGCTGCGTTGTTGTTGTTTGTAGATTATGTCTCCTCCCATCATGCATTAGCGTATACTTTGTCGTACTGATTAACACAGAGAAGCTGAAATATTTTTGCGATCATAATCATCACACATTGTCGCCATGAGTAAAAGTTGTGCATGCGTTACCCTTTTTGTTTTGTTGACTTGCGTACGCTGCGATTATTATTAAATGTGAGGAATAACGCTTTGCGCGCATGATTTAATCAATTTAATTGTTGCGTCCACACGTTCGAGTCGAGTGTGGATGATCGTAGGCTGACTAATTCGAAGCATTCATTCTGTGCGTTGTGTTAAAATTTCTGGATGTGTACAGGCAAAGCGAAAGCGCCAGGAGGAGCAGGAGAAGATGAAACAGGAAGAACAACAGCGCAAGCAACAGGTAATTACCGCCATTTCCGCCATTTTGTTATACACATTTAAGTTAAATGATTGCAAACCTTTCAGGAGCGAGAATTGAAGCGACAACAGGCCGCGCTGCTGAAAGAACAGGTAATGGAATTGTTGGTTGAGTTATGGCTCACACATGCGTTTGATTTTGATGGTAGTTGATCTCTATATATTCATCACATCATAGTGCTTGATCATTCGTTTTTAATTCGCATCTATAATTGGATTGGCCATATTTTTTCGTACTGTTTTGTTCACGATTTTCTAATTTCGACGATGGCAAAATTTATAAACGCACAAAATTGTCTAGAAATTTAATTGACGAATACTTAGTCACACATTCAGTTATTTTTTGAATTGTTTCTTTTGGATTAATGTTCAGTTACGAATTAGGTGTGTGAGACGACTCGAGAACGTAACAAATGTTGTGTCATGCTTGTGTACATACTGTTATACTGTTTTTCTCCCATAGATGTACATACAGGAAATCAGTAAACAGCGAGAGTTGCTCTACACTGTCGAACTGGTATGGCTCACACATTTTAATGAGAACAATCGTTAATTTGCACGCTACAGATATGTACCACATATATGCATCTGTGCTATTTTTTTCATATATATTGATTCATTACCTGCCTACCATGCCAATTTTTCAAAATTGATATATTAATCAATTATATTAATCAACTTCTGCTGCTATGCGTTTTAGTTTCGTGATATATTCTCTAACCAAAACACTAATGGTGCTGGGCTAAAACGATTTTTACCTGCCAGTTTTTTGCGATACACGCACACATACACCACATACTTCATTAATTTACCGATTTACCTAAGGGAGCATGTTGCAATTTATCTATTAATGCTTTTTTCATTGTGCGTCGCTGTTGCGCGATCTCTGCATGTGTCTGAAATGTGGATTTCTTTATAGGAGCGCGAACGCAGAAGGCAGCACATGACCCTGATCAAGAGTTTGGAAAGTCGCAGGAAGTTGGAGGAGCGCGAACGAAAGAAGCAGCAAGCGTTAGCTGAGAAGCAAGCCAACAAGGAGAAGAAAATGGAACAGCGTCGCATTGAACTAGAGATTCTTGCAGAATTGCGTAAGCCATGCGAGGATTTGGAACTTGTTGATCAGGTGCCGATGCCGGAGTTTCCGCGCATTACAGGACTTAAACTGTGTGGTAAAGCGTTTGGTGATGCACTGATGGTGTTTGAATTCCTACACAATTTCGGCGAGACGCTTGGGTTTGATATGGAGTCGCTGCCGACGTTGGATTCGCTCCAAACCGCGCTTCTTAGCGGTGAAGGGTCACAGGATGCCGAGGAAGAGATGCTTTCGGTGATGTCACATCTTATTATTTGCGCGATTGAAGATCCAGGTATTCCTAATCCTGCCAGGCATACTACTATATTGGGGCAGAGTCTCAGGCAAGCCGACATTACTCACGCAAACCTGTCGGAGATTCTCAGGATTTACCTGTATGCTAATGCAACAGGTGAAGTGAAGGCATTGACCGGGGTTGCGTTCGAGCGTGATCGTGAGAAGCGCGTGGCGGATCATCATCAGAATGTTTGCGAGATGCAGCAAACTGTGGCGGGGAAAAATTCGCATTACTACGAGCAGCTGCACGATAATCCTACGTGGAAGATGTCTGACATGCTAAAGGATAAACCTTTCCTGGCGCTGTCGCCTACTGACAAGGCTGCAATTCTTGCGTTCATTTGCAATGAACTGCTGCAGAACAAGGCTGTGATTCGCCAAATTGAAACGTCCATGGAGACTGTGGCGCAGGGCAGAAAAGATAAATGGGTGATTGACGCCAAGGTGCGGAAGTTGCGCATGTTGCACAATCGTAAAGTGCGTACGGAAGCGATTGAAAAGGAAGTTCGATGCGGATTGAAACCTGAGGGTGAAGCTGGTGCAAATGAATCAGGTGTAATGGATTCTCCTGCCTTGAATAGCAAAGACGAGCTTGGTTTGGACGAGGAGGACAACGAAATGAGCGAAAATGAGAGTCTCTGTACACAACCTGAGGAGGAAGAAGACTCGAAATTATCAGGCGAGGAATTGGGTAAAAAGTTAGAGAAAGTATTGAAGCACTCAGAGGCGCAGCTGCAGTTGATCAACAATGCGTCGCATCAGTTGAGAGCGACGTGTTTTGGTCAAGATCGATTCTTTCGCCGTTATTGGACTTTGCCGACAGCGGGTGGCATCTTTGTGGAGGCTATGGAAGCTGCCGAACCGGAAGCGTTGGAGGACATTATCGCGGCTGATAAGCGCTACGCCGAAATGGGTCTCAGAAATATTGAGGATCTCAAGAATGTGATGAAGGATGTGGACGACGAGGAGGAGGATAATACTGAAGCTGATATGGAAGTTAGTGAAATTGTATCCAAACAAGATGAAACGGTCGACAAGGAAGATACTGCCAATGAAATCATCGAAGACGTGGACGTTGATAAACAAATAGATAACAATGCTAACGAGCCGCTGAAGCCGCCTAAACATATGGAGAACGGCGAGGTTTACGACAAAGTCGAACACAACTTGGACGAGCTCAAGAAGAGCGTAGACAAGATGGTGAACGACATTGAGAAAACCGATCAGGTTGATGCCAAAGACAACAATAAGGAAAACAAGGAGATCGAAGTCAACAAGACGGAAAACTGCATCACACCGACCATCAAGCTGGAACCTGACACCGATAAAAAGTTTAATCTTTTTGAAAAACTCGGCGAGTGCATGGAACGCGAGCACACTAACGATGTGAGCGTCAAACAGGAAGTCAAAGAGGAGCTGAAGCAGGAAATTCTCAACGAGCTTAAAACCGAAGTTGCTACCGATGCAGTTGCCGAGGTTCCGGTTCCAGCTCGCGAAATAAAGACTGAAAATGACGAGGAGAAGCCTTTGATCGAAAGCGAGCAGAAGTGGTTTAGCATTTTGGCCAAGGACGGCAGTAGTTGTGAAGGCATTCACATGACTTCAGGCAATCGCTGGGATAATGGTGTTGGTGCATGCACTCGCGACAACATCACCGAACTGAAGATTCCCGTCTTCCCCCCGCCTAACTCGAACGCTTCCTACTGTAGCAATAGTTGCGACAGTCCAGCGCCTCTACAGATTACTCCAGAGGAGAGCGCTCAGCTGGAATATATTAAGAAACATGGTTTGCCAAAGCCGTGCGAAAGAAAAATTGTTAGCGAGGATAAAAGATATGGCTGGTGGAGGATTACGGATGTGGAGCAGTTGTATGCGGTTGTCGATAGTCTGCATGCGCGCGGTGCACGCGAAAAAGAGTTTAAGCGGACATTGCTTACAACAATGCAAACTTTATACGAACAGCCAGGGAAAATGTTTATTGAAGAGGGAAATACTGATGCGACTGAACTGATTCTGGATGATGATTACGAAGAGGTTGACTTTGGGGAATCCGGAGCACCGCGGCCAGATGAGCGGGGAGAATGGAATGAAGTTGTTGCGCAAAGAGTTGACATCGCTTTGCTTGAGCAGGTATTTTATATTTAAAGAAATTGTGAAGTATATTTTAATTTAATTCAATTTAATCTAGGTGGAAGCGCTTGAAGACAAAGTGGCAAATGCGAGTATGCAGCAGAAAGGTTGGAAGGTACCAGTCAGGGAGTGTACAGATGCGGATGCGTGGCAATCTGTTGCAATGGCCAAGGAGAGATTGGCGAGTTTGGAGGCGGCAATCGAAAGACGCTACTTGAAACCGCCGTTAGGTGTCAAGTATGTTTGCTACTTATTCATAAATATTTGAGTTATTAAATTTAAATTTTTTATAGTACTGGTGATCCAAATCTGGCAGCAATTGCTCAGGAAGCAGGAGGGGCAGCATTACCCGCACAACCAATCCCGGCACCCGACGAGATTCCAAAAGGTCTGGCCGTGTGGCGCGAGGCGGTGAACCGATCGGGGACATCTGCGCAGCTGGCGATGTGCCTGTACACGTTGGAGGCGTCCATCGCTTGGGACAAGAGTATCATGAAAGCTGTGAGCCCCTCTCCTGTCTTTAATAAACAGAGAGCCCGAAAATATAACAGCAAGCTGAGTGTGGGTGCTTGTGCTTCTTTTTTAGTTTAACACTGCAATGGGGCGTCGCGACGCATCATTTGTTCGCATACCATAATTAACCTATCGCCAATTACACGGATATATCAGTCTAACACCGCGCGCTGCGTCTCATTGCATTTCATTAACTTATTATTTGCACGATATTTCACTCTTTTTCGATGACATTTGGGTTTTGAACACGTTTGAATTTAATTACTAATTTTTGACGGTCATATTGCAATCACTAGCTGATTTATTAAGGTCATACAGGTTTTAGACGCTCTGTCTTTCTTTCACAAACCCACACTTACAAAAAGGGCGTTTGCGAACGAAGCATGCTTATTGTTCAATGTTGTACTTTTTGTTTAACTCGTTTCCTTTATACATCAGTATGTTGCATTGCAAGGTTCTAGATAGTTTAATATTGTGCACTTATTAACAGTTATTAATTAGGAGCGATTGTTGGCGGTGGAAGGTTTTATGTTTTTGCTTTGTTTTGCAGAATTGTCAGTTCTGCAACAGCGGCGACAATGAAGATAAACTGCTGCTTTGTGATAGTTGCGATAAAGGCTATCATACGTACTGCTTCAGGCCAAAGTTGGATACGATTCCGGACGGAGACTGGTAAGTTTCATTTTAACTTCAAACTTTCAGTGCTGCGTTTGCTATTGGATACATTGTGTTATTGGGTTGGTTCCAGGTATTGTCATGAATGCATGAATAAGGCAACGGGCGAGAAAAATTGCATCGTGTGCGGTAAAAAGCAGTCGGCGACCAACACGCGCCTGATCACGTGCGAAGTATGCCCGCGCGGCTACCACATCGACTGCATGAACCCGCCGATGAGCAAGGCGCCGCGCGGCAAATGGTATTGCGCCAATTGCATTTCAAAGAAACCCCAGAAAAAGGCCGTAAAGAAACCGAAGCCTAATCGGGATAGTGAATCCTCCGAGCATCCCCCTCTAAGGTATTAGCCGACACACCAAACAAATGCCATCTCTCTGTCTCTCGCCACACACAAATCGCCCCCCGACTGCGCAATATATAAGTCCTCTTTTCTTAGTCCAGCAGCATCGCACAGCTCGGCAACAACCAACGAAGAGATAGGTGCGCTTGCGGCGGCTAATCATGCGCTAGCGGCGGTCAACCACGCACCGGCCGCGAGTGCAGCCGTCGTCGCGGCGCCTCCGATGCCGACGCAGGCCGCGCCCGCAGCGACGAGTGCGTGCGACTCGGCGCCGCAATCGCCGCCGCCGCCGCACGTGCACGCGGCGATGCCGACGACGCCGCCAGCGGCGCAGAGCACCAGCGCCGCGCGCAAAGAAAAGCTCGCCAGGAAGCTGGCCAAGGAGCTGGCGCCTTGTAAGGCCATCTTGGATGATCTTGAGGTACACGACGATGCCTGGCCTTTCCTTCTTCCTGTCAACACTAAACAATTTCCCACCTACAAGAAGATTATCAAAAGTCCTATGGATCTGAGCACGATCAGGAAGCGCTTACTTGACTTAACGTAAGTACCCTTTTTATTCTTTAGGATTGTTAATTAATTAAATAACGCAACATTTCGGATTTGCAGATACAAGTCCAAGGAAGAGTTTTGCATCGACGTTCGTCAAATCTTCAACAATTGCGAGACGTTCAACGAGGACGATTCTCCCGTAGGGAAGGCGGGCCATTGCATGCGCCAGTTCTTTGAGGCGCGTTGGAACGAGTTGTGCCTGTCGCATCCGCACAGTTGAGGTTTGCTTTTGCCCAAGCGCCCATATGTGCGCAGGGCGCGCCCGCCTGATGGGTTTGCCATAGGCGATTGTGTAGACGAGCACCGGAAGTGATTTCTTCGACGACAAGTATTTTGAAGTGTGTGATAATCAAAGAACTTAATTAAATGTATACTAAGCTTTGAGATACTATTGGAGACTAAAAGTTGACTCATATGTTGCATCGAAACTTAACGTGCATGACTTAATAACACTGAAACTGAGGAGAAAAACTACAATTTTATAACAAAAAAATGAATGAAACAAAAAGAAAATTGTATACATAGCTGATAAAAATCGAACAAATGTTTTCTGACAAATGGAAGAACAAACGTTTTTGCGTCATGACTTGTGTTTATATTTTTGATATTTGTATTTTTTATATGCTTCGGAATAATTTATTGTAATAATCTTAGCTTTCTCGGCTTATTTATAGAGCTCGTTCGGCTTAAATCTTATTTATTAATTAGTTATGTACAACGTCCAATGTGCTTAAGTTTTAAATTTACAACAAGAATGAACGTAATCATTCCAAGGTGGACACCGATGCTGGCGATCGACAAAGGCGCGCATCTTTTACAATGTATTTGCAGGTTTGCATTTAAGTTCTCTATCAGGCTGATAAAGACTTGTATAAATTGTATATTATTGACGACTTAAAAGAAGTCTACGCCCCTAATATTTAATTAAAAATTCTCTCAATTTTGGTTCCACTTTGCTGAACATAGTTCTGACTTCAAATTGTATTTGACGATATGAATGTGTTTTTGTAGCACTAGTTCTGATCGTGGCCGACTTCGCGATTGGCTAGAAATGTAGTTGTGTAATCGAGTGTAAGATATTTATATTATTTAAATATAAATGTAAATATTAATAATTGAGTGAATTTTAAAATGAGGTATATGCGTTGTAAATAAATGCCGGGTGGTTGCGCTGTGGTTCTATTGGCCTTGTGATAGTATTACAGTCCATGCGCACGCTCCGCGCACGGCACAGGTACTTTCGGCGCACGCGACTTTAGTTGAGCCGCGTTGCCCGAAGTCGCGAGTTTCTCCGCACGCGTTCCTCGCGATCCGCCATCTTATATCATATTAGTTTGATTCGGTTAATCGTGGTAGTGTAATAATAATCGAAACATTTTAATCAAACGTGGCGTTTGGCTCTGGGTTTATTATTATTCGATCCTTCAACGACCGCGTGTAGCTGCTACGGATCCTGTGGAATATCATTTCATCTTCGCTATAGATTTTCACTTGTAAGTAAATAATTGAATTTATATTTGTATTTTAACATTCAATCTTTGTAACGTCCGCGGTATTGTATAAGCTTTTAGTGGCATTTTATTTAATGCTTCCTTACCTCGGGTACCCCGATGTGTCACCGTAATCTTCTCACCGCTTTTATCAGTGTTAGTTTGTAAACAACTGTTTTTGTCGCATTCAACTCTTGCACTATTTAGATGTCTCTTTGAGGTGTTTACCACTCGCGCGTATACTCGTATTTTAATATTCGTACATGTTTCTAACTTGAAGTAGGTATATTTCAGTATATTTTACTGTTGGAAATATAATTATTTTATATTTTTATCTGATAGAGACTTTTCCAGTCTTTTATAATCAGCCATTTATTGGTTGCTGTTTTATTTTCAGAGATATTAATTATCTAAAATCGTCGATATAAATGATAAGACGCTGCGATCAGATCTTATATATCTCTTTTAGTTTACGAGATATTCGCGATTGAATAAAATAGGCAAAAATTGATAACTGTCAAGAATTTTCCAATCTTTCATAATCAACTATTCGTTGGTAGCTATCTCTTTTAGTTTAAGAGATATTAATTTTTGAAAATCGTCGAAAAAAAGTATCAACACCCCCCCCTTGGCAATTTTTTTCTTAAGAATTAAAATTTTGTCTCACAGATTTCCGTTTTAACTATCCTATCTGATAGAGAATAGTCCGTAGATTAAGACGCTGAGATCAGATCTTATTTATCTCTTTTAGTTTACGAGATATTTGCGATTGAATAAAATGGGCAAAAATTGAGAAATGTCACTTTTTAGCACTTTTAGTCGCGTTTTTCGACCTTTTACTGTGAGAAATATAATTATTTTATATTTTTATCTGATAGACAATTTTCCAATCTTTCATAATCAACAATTCGTTGGTAGCTATCTCTTTTAGTTTAAGAGATATTAATTTTTGAAAATCGTCGAAAAAAAGTATCAACACCCCCCCCTTGGTAATTTTTTTCTTAAGAATTAAAATTTTGTCTCACAGATTTCCGTTTTAACTATCCTACCTGATAGAGAATAGTCCGTAGATTAAAACGCTGAGATCAGATCTTATTTATCTCTTTTAGTTTACGAGATATTTGCGATTGAATAAAATGGGCAAAAATTGAGAAATGTCACTTTTTAGCACTTTTAGTCGCGTTTTTCGACCTTTTACTGTAGGAAATATAATTATTTTATATTTTTATCTGATAGAGAATTTTCCAATCTTTCATAATCAACAATTCGTTGGTAGCTATCTCTTTTAGTTTAAGAGATATTAATTTTTGAAAATCGTCGAAAAAAAGTATCAAGCACCCCCCCTTGGCAATTTTTTCTTATGAATGAAAATTTTCATCTCTGAGATTTCCGTTTTAACTATCCTATCTGATAGAGAATAGTCCGTAGATTAAGACGCTGCGATCAGATCTTATTTATCTCTTTTAGTTTACGAGATATTCGCGATTGAATAAAATGGGCAAAAATTGATAAATGTCACTTTTTAGCACTTTTAGTCGCGTTTTTCGACCTTTTACTGTAGGAAATATAATTATTTTATATTTTTATCTGATAGAGAATTTTCCAATCTTTTATAATCAACAATTCGTTGGTAGCTATCTCTTTTAGTTTAAGAGATATTAATTTTTGAAAATCGTCGAAAAAAAGTATCAACACCCCCCCCTTGGTAATTTTTTTCTTAAGAATTAAAATTTTGTCTCACAGATTTCCGTTTTAACTATCCTACCTGATAGAGAATAGTCCGTAGATTAAAACGCTGAGATCAGATCTTATTTATCTCTTTTAGTTTACGAGATATTTGCGATTGAATAAAATGGATTGAATAAATTGAGAAATGTCACTTTTTAGCACTTTTAGTCGCGTTTTTCGACCTTTTACTGTGAGAAATATAATTATTTTATATTTTTATCTGATAGAGAATTTTCCAATCTTTCATAATCAACAATTCGTTGGTAGCTATCTCTTTTAGTTTAAGAGATATTAATTTTTGAAAATCGTCGAAAAAAAGTATCAACACCCCCCCCTTGGCAATTTTTTTCTTAAGAATTAAAATTTTGTCTCACAGATTTCCGTTTTAACTATCCTATCTGATAGAGAATAGTCCGTAGATTAAGACGCTGAGATCAGATCTTATTTATCTCTTTTAGTTTACGAGATATTTGCGATTGAATAAAATGGGCAAAAATTGAGAAATGTCACTTTTTAGCACTTTTAGTCGCGTTTTTCGACCTTTTACTGTGAGAAATATAATTATTTTATATTTTTATCTGATAGAGAATTTTCCAATCTTTCATAATCAACAATTCGTTGGTAGCTATCTCTTTTAGTTTAAGAGATATTAATTTTTGAAAATCGTCGAAAAAAAGTATCAACACCCCCCCCTTGGCAATTTTTTTCTTAAGAATTAAAATTTTATCTCTCAGATTTCCGTTTTAACTATCCTATCTGATAGAGAATAGTTCGTAGATTAAGACGCTGCGATCAGATCTTATTTATCTCTTTTAGTTTACGAGATATTTGCGATTGAATAAAATGGGCAAAAATTGAGAAATGTCACTTTTTAGCACTTTTAGTCGCGTTTTTCGACCTTTTACTGTGAGAAATATAATTATTTTATATTTTTATCTGATAGACAATTTTCCAATCTTTCATAATCAACAATTGTGGGTTGCTATCTCTTTTAGTTTAAGGGATATTAATTTTTGAAAATCGTCGAAAAAAAGTATCAACACCCCCCCCTTGGCAATTTTTTTCTTAAGAATTAAAATTTTGTCTCACAGATTTCCGTTTTAACTATCCTATCTGATAGAGAATAGTCCGTAGATTAAGACGCTGAGATCAGATCTTATTTATCTCTTTTAGTTTACGAGATATTTGCGATTGAATAAAATGGGCAAAAATTGAGAAATGTCACTTTTTAGCACTTTTAGTCGCGTTTTTCGACCTTTTACTGTGAGAAATATAATTATTTTATATTTTTATCTGATAGACAATTTTCCAATCTTTCATAATCAACAATTCGTGGGTTGCTATCTCTTTTAGTTTAAGGGATATTAATTATCAAAAATCGTCGAAAAAAAGTATCAAGCACCCCCTTGGCAATTTTTTTCTTAAGACTTAAAATTTTGTCTCTCATATTTCCCTTTTAACTATCCTATCTGATAGAAAATAGTCCGTAGATTAAGACGCTGCGATCAGATCTTATTTATCTCTTTTAGTTTACGAGATATTCGCGATTGAATAAAATGGGCAAAAATTGATAACTGTCACTTTTTAGCACTTTTAGTCACGCTTTTCTACCTTTTACTGTAGGAAATATAATTATTTTATATTTTTATCTGATAGAGAATTTTCCAGTCTTTCATAATCAGCAATTTGTAGGTTGCTATCTCTTTTAGTTTAAGATAAAAATTATGCAGGGTACTTGACAATTTTTTCTTAAGAATTAAAATTTCATCTCTTAAATTTCCAATTGAACTTACTTATTGAAATACAATGGTAGGTAGTACGAGAGGGTGAGTATAAGCTAAGTAAAGTTAAGTAAACACTTACTGTACCCTATACCCTCACAATATCGCCAAAACGATATTTTTACTAAACCATTGCAAGTCAATGCAAGTATTTGTCAAGCCTGATGTGGATAGCTATTTCGACCATGCAGTATTTGTCAAGCCAGTAGGTGTGCTGATGAGACCTCTAATGGTCGAAATAGCTATCCACATCAGGCTTGACAAATACTTGCATTGACTTGCAATGGTTTAGTAAAAATATCGTTTTGGCGATATTATGAGGGTATAGCGTACAGTAAGTGTTTACTTAACTTTACTTAGCTGAACTTACTTATTCTTTTCGTATGCCGAGAAATATTGAAAGTAAAAGTAAATTTCGTGTATGTGTATTACAACATGCTGAATTTTTAGTTTCGTCTTCCCAACTACGTGTTTATCAGTACGTTTGTGTATAAACAACTTTTTTTTGTTCGCCTGACGCGTGTTATCGCTGCATACCCACCTTGTACCCGGCTACGCGCAGCGCACACGGCAGTTGTTTCACCGCGTGGTGCGGGAGCGTGTCTCTCTAATCGCCACGCGTTTTGAGGTTTTAATTGGATTAATCGTCGTGTATTCTTTCGGCCATCGGCAAATTATTTGAATTGTGCATGTGTGCCTGTTTTGTTTAATGATTTATGGCGGTTAGAGTCTTCTTAAGTGAGAAATAAGTGTCCGTTAATCCCTACGCGAGTTTTCAGTTGATATAATATATTACAGGATAGAAAATCTCCTCATCAATGCACAGGTAGGTGGATAATTAAAATTTTTCGCGGAAAGTTAAGGCGGTTTAACTTATTCAATTTGAGGGATATTAATTTTGTAGATTACAAACATGTGGTGGCATTTGTATCAGAATTCTTCTAAGTCGAGTTTCCGAAAATAACATGCTTATTTAATAAGGTTTTTAAAATTATCTGAGGATTATTAAAATGACAATATTCATATGGTCGACCACGCTTACTTTGCCGTCGGCCGTCGGTTTGGTCATGTTTTCGAGGATCACGTAAACATTTTTAATCGAATTGCATCATTAAT